AAAAAAAAAAAAAAAAAAAAAAAAAAAAAAAAAAAAAAAAAAAAAAAAAAAAAAAAAAAAAAAAAAAAAAAGAAAGAAAGAAAGAAAGAAAGAAAGAAAGAAAGAAAGAAAAAAAGCTTACAGTATTTATATTAACCTCTTCCTGAGGAATCTCTTCACCCTCATAAAGATGGTTTCCAGACGCCGTGAACAGTTGGTCCGTAGTCGTGATGGTCCACTAGAGAGCGATCAGGCCTACCAACTTTCCAAAGTCAAGCAACAAAGTATAGAGACAGGTCAACTCACATTGGCGCGTTTGATAAACCTGCCTACTCCAAGCTTTAAAAAAAAGCGATCCATGCTCTTCTCCAGTTTTTCTTTGTACTGTGGAACAGGCTTATGGATATCCCGGAGTTTAAGGCCCAACTTCTTCGAAGTGTTGAAGCCATTGGGGAAGCATGTCACAAAACCTCTGAGGGTAAAGCCATCTCCATCATTGGATGGCACTAGAAAAAGAAGGTCATCCTCAATTAGGCCGCCCATGACCCGCAAGGTATCCAAGGGGTTCTCTTCAGGGGATAAAGGAAATGTCTCGTCTGTGACCAGGCTGTGCAAGAAATTTGGCTTCTCCCCTACGGATGACCGCAACTGAAACATACGAGGGTATCGTGTTGGGAGATATGTTCCCACCAGCCAGGTGTAAAATTCGTCGACTGCTGGCTTGACACAACCCTCCGCGGCCAGTACTGTCTCAGGATGCTCTGTCATGATTCTCTTGCGTAGGTTTATACGATCGAGATAGTTCTTGTCTATCTCGATAAGCTCGCTGACTGTCCCTTCCTGGATGCCTGGGTTGGGGATAGGTTAGCCTTAATTGTTCAGTATGTGCATATTACATACTCATAGTAAGATGGTATTTCGGCTTGAATGGCCGAATCTTAACCGGCTCTTTCGTCTTCCAATCGAAATCTGGAAGAGGCTCAACTGGTGGATAGCAGTGTGGCTCGCCCGCATCTAGGTCATCACTTGCGACACGACCCATTGATTTAATATTTTTCTGCCGTGTTGCTAGAAAGAATAAGCAGCTGGAAATGAAACTGAAGTAGAAACATGTAGACCACCCCGGCCACTGTACAGGGAGACTCGAGTTGAGCATTGTCAACGGTTAAATTCAGATTGGCAGCAAGAAGAGCCTTGTACTGATGAGGGAGAGGTATATATATATATGTTCAGAGCCAAGGGCTACAATAAGACAATTGGAAGCCATCAGATATGCCATGCGTACACAGGTTACTTAAATAAATACAACGATGATTGTTCTCGATACCCCTCCACCATAATTCGATATTCGATATAGTGCTCATCCAACCTGCCTATTCAGGCATTCCGGCTTTTATCATCCCTGCGCCGGTGGCAGATAAAGAAAGATAAGATGCGGGGGACGATCTTGACCCCACATCACCTGACCTGCCACTGCTCATTTATTTATCCTGCTTGTTTGGCAGAGGGTGGGTTTCTGAATCATTGAGATAAGCTAGAATTACTTGATGCTCGATCAAATACCTTGTCCGAGAGATTTTGAGAGTCGTCTTTTCCTATCGGGTGTTAGGGCTACGGCCGGTGGGTCATGACAGAAATAAAAGCAATCTGGCTGGTGGCAGTGTAGGATATCATTCTCATTGCCCTTGTGGTACTAGACAACACATTATACTCGGTCCATGATTCGACATCTCGTTTTCTTAATGGGGTGCTAATGGAGACCTCGCTGGATCGGCTGAGGTATTGTCTACTAAGCTTATACTAGGACATGCATATATTTAATATCTTGTGATGCCAGATTATGCATGAACTACCCCTTGGATGGATGGCTAATTACAATACAGTCACTAGAGATAGCAAATATTGTAGTGCAGTCTGTTGTACTTTTCTTACTGCCTTCCATGTTAAAAGAAACACAGAGACTCTTTCAAACCCTAATCGATGATTACACAAAACTTCATCTGACTGGTGCGGTAAATTACCCGTTTTGAACTTACCAAGTAATAATAATACCAGACCTTCTATGATGATGTACCAGTATGAAAGATACGATAGTCTCGAACTACAGTAGAAGCTTGGATGACAAGCCGGAATGATCCGCAGTGAGAACGAAAGTCTAGCTATAAAAGTTGGTTTGGCCCCATTTGGGGATGGTTTCGTGGAGGCGCTTGAGGGTATAGGTATAGTGTAGAGCCTATAGCCATGGCTGGGTCTAGGCGAGGCCACCTTAAGACGAAGTCACACCACTCAGGTCTCGGATACGGAATCCCAAAGTATGCTTGCGTCACGACGATATTATATGCGGCTAGATTACGCTATCAATTGATCCTAGGACATAATCGACGTATCCAGAACCAGCAGAACCAAGGTTCCTGGTATGCCTTGACTTTCTAGTGGACAAGACCGTGAAGAACGGAGGAGACGCAAGAGGATATATAGAGAGATATGTACCTTTTGCAAAATCTTTTAACTTCAATATAGGTATCAAGCTTATTAACTTCGCTGCACTACTCCGTGGAAGAAGAACGCCAAACAATTACTTTCCCCATTCTCTCTCTTCAAACAAAAGACAACCGACGTATAGCTTATTCTCAATGGCGGAAAAATCATCAACACTGGAGGCCGATAGAGACAGAGACAGACAGACTGGAGCAGCTCCTGCTGACCGGGCCAGTAATGGGGATATTAAGTAGGCGCTGATGAAAGAAAACTTTTGAATAATACCGATTTCCTATGTACGATGCTTAGTAGACTCAACCTGCTTACAACCTCACGATATATTAGTATGACAGAAAAACCGACCCCAACGTCACCAGATGCACCACCTCCGATTCAGTCGGCCTCATCACCAGCATGCGTCCATTCTCAAACCCCTGCACCAGGAGGGTATCCGCAAGTGATACCTTTGATTGCCCTATCAACTTACCCTGCGTTAATCGATTGCCCAAATTGCCGTGCACGGACAATGACTCAAGTGAATTTGACTCTTGGACCACGAGCTACGTAAATCGCCCCCTACGCTTGTTGATTTGATAGTGAAAATAACATCAGTTGGCAGTTGTTGGTCGTGCATATGCTGTCTTTTCCTGGGCCCGTGTGCTGCTATTTTACCCTGCATCTTGCCAAGTTGCAAAGACTACGAACATTATTGCGGGAATTGCAACAGGCTTCTCGCTGTGGTGGAACGAACGGGTGCGGTTCGCATTATAGTCTATTAGGCCAGATATTGGTAACTATGCAAGCATCCATATCAGGGATTATTGACAAAAGACCAGCTTATTACTGTTCCAATATACCTTGCGATCATACTGCTGGTAGTTAAACACAACTATGCATCTTCATATATAGGCCTGCCTGCTAAGAAAGTGGGTTCGCCCACGTGAATGAATTTTACAGTTGTCGATATACTTTTTTTTATCTTTTTCTTTTTTCGGCGTCAGCTCACAGACTACGTCTATTCCAATAACGGCTGTAGAATGTGTATGTTGATGAAAAAATTCCTACTTTGCGTGTGGAGCTTTTGACCCCAGCTCTCATCCAAAAGCTCAGTTCATCACGAATTCTGATGCCATTATACCCCTACTCCCTTCTTTACTCGCGACTATACGTTGATTATAGGACTCTTGGTTGCTCAGACCACAGGTGAGGTCGAACTTCTTTTCTTACCCTTCTCTTTCCGTTTTCTTTCGTGGTCGACTGGGTTTCTTAGAAGTTCCACTCCTCTAAATATCAAACAGGTATTAGGAGGAGATGGTATGGCTAATTTGTATTCCAGGAAGTAATCATAATTCGATCTGATTTACAGGGTAGCAGCTTGAGACTCCGTATTCATATCAATGACTGTCTGCCAAAGGTTCACAACGCCTTTGCTTTCCCAGCCCTCATAGCGAATATGGTCTAGTATCTGTTCTAACAGAACACGATCATCGCTGGTAATAGAGCCGTCATCACCTTGTGCAAGCATACGCTCGGCTACCTTCTTGTACGCCAGTTTGTGAGCTCGGTGCTTGATTGTATTCCTCATTTCGAAGTAGAGCCACCGCCGACAGTGAGCAAGGAATCCGATTCTCTCGAGCGAGCTGCGGCCGTCAAGTTCGTCTCTGGAGTCTGCGGCGGGGCCACCCCTCGTCATCACCCGCTGTTCTATCTCGCTGGCGGTCAGTTCATACGCTTTGTTCTGGACCAAGATTGCCAGTTGAACCGCGCTGATGGGCTTCTTCGCCTTTAACATAACACCCGTTGTCAGATGTTGGAGCTCACGTTTACCCATAAGGTAATCTGCCACGCCCTCAGCCAAGGTCTCAACGAGAGAGGCATAGGTATGTGTTTTCTCTGCTCTTTGTACCGCCTCGATCTCAGACGTGAACAGAACCGTGAGAAGCTCGCTGAAGACAACCCCATCCGAACAACGAGGCGTAGGATCCGCCGTCTTCATTTTAGGGCTACGTATCAGGGCCGTCAACTTAGACGGGAGTTTGATCAGGTGCGTAAAGTACTTCGAGCCGTATAGCTCGGAGCATACGGAAGCAGCAGTAAGGTGGGCGAAGTCATGGAGGTCCCAGATTGCGGACGATTTATCCAGCATGTCAGTACTATCTGCCTCGAAATCTTTTTCCCGAACTGCAATGTGGTTTGGGCCAATTGATGAGATGGCGGTTGGGGGAACGAGTTTGGTTTGGTAATCAACTGTGAAAGTGTTGCTGTTGACAAGGCGGTGGACACCGTAGTTGATGGCTCGGATGGCATTGTTATCGTGAGAGAGGAAGGTGACGATCTCATTGAAGAGGTCTAAGTTGGATTCCACGGCTGGAAGGAACTCGTCACGACATTCTGAGCGAGTGGCGAGATATACGACGCCAAACTTTTGAACGGAGATGGCTGCGCTCCAAAGCGTCTCGTGTTGATCGAATGAAAGCAGAAGTGACATATTGTCCACTCGTCCCAGAAGAATTCGACATCCTTCTAAGATGTATTGGAATAGGGGACGCTTGACTTCCTTCGTCCGGAGTCGGATTCTGTCAGCGTTGTTGAAGTGGGGATGTGCAGGACAGTGGCCGTCTAACCACCATGTTGAAGGCTCATAGGCAGGAGGAAGCTCTTCGAAGGGGCTTAGGTGTATCTCGGAGGAAATGGAGGTTGGGTGCAGTGGTTTGTTCGGGGGTTGCTTGTCATTGGAGTGAGTTGGTTTAAGACTCGGGGCCTTGAGTGTTTCACGAAGAAGAGTTTGGACGGCAGTAAAAAGTGATTCCATTATGTCGACGTTCACAGTGACCAGTTTCACATCCCTGCCATGGTCGACGCCTCTAACGGCTGCCTTTTATAAGAAAGCCCGTGCAACGCCCTCTGTTTATTACTGGTTATAGTGCGTTCTTAATCCTCGATATGCGCCACAGTTTCGGATGGGGCCTAGGGAATTTCAGGGTTTCGTCAGCTCCGCAACTCAAACGCATGCTCTTGCCGACCTTGCAGTAGCGTGGCACGCCTGGATCTCTTGCATGTCCGAGAAAACATGTTGGATTGATAGGATCTCATGATACTCGCCGGTGAGACACCATAAGCTGCAGGTCAGATTCTAGTCCTAGTGAGAATATGCTACTGAATTCCGCTGCGCCGAGAGATACGGAAATATATGGACTATACTGTTCCGGGCCTTCGTTCCAATCAAAGTGTGCCCCGGTCTTCCCCAGACCTTACGGTGATGTATGAGATATTTTTAGTGTTATATTACCTTTGTGCCAGCCTCCTTGCAGAGAGACACGGCGATTACAAACCGTTATTGTTAGTCTCATAAATCCTTATTGTACAGACACAGTGCTTTGTTAGGTTGGGCCACTTTTCGCTATGCAGATCGTTTACCGTTTAGATGGACCATATTTATGTTGCAACTTCGCTAACTAGTTATGGTACTTTCTGCTTATGCCATTCCAATAACGCGTGTCTCACTCTCACTCTGACTCTGGCTCTGGATCTTCTTTTCTCTTTCTCTCTCTAGGGTCATACGGTCGATAGGACGATGTATTAAATCTAGGGTTAATCTTTAAAGATTAAATCCACAACTCCACCCGATTGGCTGTGGGGCCTTCTCGGCGTAATCCGAGGAGCAGGACCCTTACATTGGAATTCACGGAAATCGAGCCTCCTCCACATCATTAGGTAATATTTGAGGCAGGATCAGGAAGGAGAGAGCAATATCTAATTAGGGTAAGCAGTAGTGTGCATCTTATTAGTTTCCAATCCACCTCGGGGGTAAATATTCAACGTGCAGTTAAGCTAAAGCATGGCCTCGTATCTGCTGTGCTCCCTTATCTCTGAACGATCCAACAAGCAAAGCCTGGACCCACGCGATGTAACTCTGGTCGGGGATAATCAATGATCCCCCTATAGCCCTTTGTATTAAGGGCTTAGTTCATGGGGGCTAACAATTAACCTTAACTCCGACTGGCTCACACATGCAGTAGGGGGAAAGTCATGAAGGAAACGAATCAAGGAAGAAAAATTTTACGCCCTTGCTTCCGCACACGAGGTTCACATACCTTTCAGCCGCCGTGGTGAAAACCCATGACTAAATACGGAATCTTTAAGTTCGAAATCAGTCTTTTTTTTTTCTGTCTGCGTGTCTTTCAAATCGCAGTACAACTGTCCGAAGAAGACCAATCAAGTGTCAACCCATGGCGGCCAATCCTACTGCGGAGCTGAAAGGCACGGTGGCTGCCACTGGCACTGAAACTCCGGAGGATGCAACGAGGCATGTGGATCACGGCTTCCGCGCCTGGACAGTCGTGGCCGGGGCATGGTGTTGTCTGTTTTGTGGTTTTGGCTGGGTGAACGGTACGAATGGTCCTATCCTGATTTTCTCTCCGGTGGCGGCTTCACTCTGACGGATGCTAGCCATTGGTATCTTCCAAGATTATTATCAAGCCCATCAATTGCGGACGTACTCGGCGTCTAGCATCTCGTGGATCTTGTCTCTGGAACCGTTTGTTCTCTTTGCCGCGGGACTTGTCATTGGAAGGGTATGACCCTCCATAAGCCCTAAATTGCACTCGGGTGGTCAGATTAATCAATTCTTCAGGTTTTCGACAATTATGGCCCCAAATGGCTCCTTATCATTGGGACGTTTCTGCACGTCTTCGGTCTCATGATGACCTCCATCTCGAAGGAGTATTATCAGTTCATTCTAGCCCAAGGCATCTGCAGCCCGCTTGGCGCAAGTTTTGTCTTCTACCCCGCGCTCTCCTGTACAGCGACCTGGTTCGATAAGCGACGGGCCCTGGCCTTTGGAATTGTTTCTAGCGGCTCCTCACTCGGTGGGGTTGTGTTTCCAACCATGCTGTCTCGACTCTTGCCGCGAATCGGATTTGGTTGGTCCCTGCGCATCTCGGGGTTCATGGTCCTTGCCATGCTGATCATTGCCAACCTGACCGTCCGGTCGAGAATAGCGCCCGTTCCGCGACCTGTCAAGCTTATGGATTATATCGGTCCCTTTTCGGAGGTGCCCTTTATTTTACTCATGCTAGCTGCCTGTTGTGGGTTTTTTGCCATGTTTGTCCCGATCAACTACGTTATTGTGGAGGCGCAAGAGGATGGGGTCGACCGTGACTTGGCTGGGTACCTGTTGACTATACTCAATGCTGCAAGGTACGTTTCATATTTGGATTCCTTTACGAGGTAGCTTGATTAACTTGCATAGTCTTCCTGGTCGTATCCTGCCCGGCTACCTGGGTGACAAACTGGGCCGATTCAATGTCATGATTGCCATGTGTGCATTGTCCGCCGTCGTGTTGCTGGTCTTGTGGCTTCCCGGTACCCTTCTCTCCCCTGGAAGTGCGGCCATCTATATCGTCTTCAGCTTGCTGTATGGATTTGCTTCGGGTGCATTCGTCGGCATGGTTCCTGCCCTTCTGAGCCAGATCTCTCCCGACGTGACCAAGACTGGGGTTCGTCAGGGCGTTCTGTTCACTTGTATCAGTATCGCTTCACTTACGGGGAGTCCTATTGCTGGGGCGATCCTGAGTCGACAGAACGGGACCTACTGGGGCCTACAGGTGTTTGCGGGAGCCATGATGGTGGGGAGTGTATTCTTCTTTGTAGCGGCGAGAGTAGTCCTTGCAGGGGTTTCCGTTGAAAAAAAGGTATAGATGGCAACATAGTAATAGACTTGATTGAGATATATCAACATGTACAAACTTTACGTTTCACAGTAACTATCACAGAGCTGCGCCAGCTTCACATCCAACTCGGTCAACCCTCTCGGTTGGTGCGTGGTCCATCGTATAGAGACCTTATTATAAACCTGCATGTAAATGTCAGAACGACACAAGCCCCTGGAAAAGTAACTCAAGACAACATACATTCGTCCACTCCGGATGATGGCGATACTTCGCCGCCGCATCAGCAACCAGCTGCATAAAAGCCTTCAAACCCAATTAGCAAAGTACAACCCAGGAGCCATAATCAGCCATGATTCCACGCAAAAACTCACCCAAGCCTTCTTAAACGAAGGAAACTGAATCTCGCGCTCAATCCCCAACCCATCGTCCGTCAACTCCCACCGTCCCCCATTCCGCACCAGCAAACCCTCCACCCCCGAAACAACACCATCCACATCCTCCTCCCCCTCCGCCACCACCGGCCTCACCACCTTCTCCTTCTCCTTCCACGCAGCCCCATAAATCTTATCCCCAATATCTCCATGCGTATACGGCACCAAATACCCAGCCTCATCACACCTCTCCGCCCTCGCCGCAACAACCACATACTCCACCACCGGACAAGCCGCAACCCTCTCCAATGCCTCCGGCGCCGCATAACAACACAACACTGCCACCGACCTCTCCCTCCCCCCACTCATCTCCCAAAGCTCCTCACAAAGCTTAACCACCGTATCCCCCGTCGCAACCAACGTATCCAGCACCACGATCTTCCCCTCATCCGCCGCCGGCGGAAACGGCCTCCGACCCGGCCACTCGACCACAACTTCCTGGGTACCCTTTTTCTTACTGCAGCGGGCCAGGACGCAGGTAGTAGCCGGGAAGAGCGGCGCCGCGGCAACAAACATGGGGAGTGCGCCGCGGAGAATAGGGATCATGGTTGGGTTGTGGGCGAGATTTGGGTCGTGGGATTTGGCAGTGGTGATGAGTTCGGTGGTTAGGGCGTGGATGGTGGTTTGCATTGTTTGGGGGGTTGCAGTTGGGGAGAGGAAGGTTTGCATGAGGGTTTGGAGGGTTGGGTGGGTTGGGGGGAGGGTGAGAATGGGGGCTTTGGGTAGGTGCATTTTCTTGTTGTTTTTTTTGTTCTTTTTGTCTTTTCTTGGGATTGTGAGGATTGGGGTTGCTTTGTAGAGGGGGGATTTAATTTAAGAGTTCAATGTTCTGTAGAGTGTAGTTGGTGATGATGATGATGAAGTTAGAATATTTATACTTCGTTGTTTACTGCATCGTGTATTTATCACATGGACGTTGTATGTATCTTACAGGTCAATGTGAACCAATACAATTACAAGGATTTTCTTAGATTAATGGGTGTGTCATTAGGAAAATAGCCTTAGGCCACTCTTCCTAGCGCAGCGATACGTAGAATGGAGGAAATTGCTCGTCCCACGGCCCCCCCCCCCATCAAGCCCTAAACCTTGACATTAGGACTTTTCAATTTGGGCTTATGATTAATTTATTCCTCAGATTGTCGAGAATATCACGATTTTATAAATAGTCTAGCCCCCTAGCATAGATATAGACATTTACTCCCCTGTAAAAATTGATCAACAGTCCCATGTAGATGTTATCGGTAATAGACTGCCTTGGGATACAAGAGTCTACAACTCGGGCTACTTAAAGTAACCTCAACCTGTACTGTACTATTTTCCAATGCTGGAGTGAAACATTATTTCCTAACGCTACAAAAGAGCATACAGTATGGCCCTTTCTGAGAATTACTACTAGTCACCTGAGAAATTAAAAATAATAAAAAATACCAGTGGGGAATCTGCCCTTGCTTCTTTGCAGGTCTCGATAAAGCGATCATAGATCAGCCCTACCATTTCCCAGTTCAGACCTAGCCATATGTACAGTTTATGTACAGTGTACACAGCCTCCCGGAGACGCAAGTAAGTGAAAATATAGAGAAAAGAAAAAAAAAAAGAAAGAATCACACGAGACAAATAAGCACTAGTCAACTCAATACGACGTCAATAGTATATGCAAGAATGGGTAACGGCCACGTAACCCAAACCCCGTGTCAAATAAATCTCCACGGCCCCTCCCGAAGTTTCCCCCCCACCCGAACCCATTTATTACAGTAAATCATGCTTAAACCTGAACCCTAGAAATAGATCGACCAGAGTAACAATTTAAGCCCGAGATGAAGACTATAAAGAAACAAAACTAATCCTCCCCCCCCCAACTCTCGTTCATACACAACAACCGATATTCCACATCATTGAATATATACATATACATTTATATATATACCATTCAATTCTGAAAATCTTTCCAAAAATGCCTCCTCCCACAACCCTCGCAATCTTCGACTTCGACGGCACCCTCTTCGACACCCACGAATCTATCTCTCAAACTATCAAACTCACCTTCGACGCCCTCCTCCCCAACCACGCCCCTCCGCAACCTGAGATCCACCGTCTTATTGCCAGCGGCGCCGGTCTCTCCGACACCTTCCGCGCCCTCCACCCAACCCCCGACACATTCACCCTCCAAGAAGAAACCCAATGGATCGAAAAATACCGCGCCCTTTACGCAACCCATGGACAACTCCTCATCAAAGCCTTCCCCGGTGCCCAGGAGCTCCTAACAGAGCTCAAGGCCCATAATGTGCCCATCGCTATCGTCAGTAATAAGGGCGTGGCGGCGGTGAAGACGGCGCTGGAGCGGAACGGGCTGGGCGGGTATGTGCCCGAGGAATTGATTATCGGGGATAAGACGCCTGGGGCACAGCGGAAGCCGGATCCCGCGAGTTTTGTGGATGTGCTGGTCCCGGTCTTGGAGGGGACGTTTGGCATAAGGGTAGAGGCTGGCGAGGGCGTGTTGGTTGTGGGGGATACGGTGGCGGATATTCAGTTCGCGAGGAATATTGGGGGGCGGTCTTGTTGGTGTCGATATGGGTATGGAGATAGAGGGGCTTGTGAGGGGTTGAAGCCGGATTATGTGGTGGATTCTTTGGGGGATGTTGTAGGCATTGTTAAGGGGTGACTTCTGTTTGGTTTTTGATTGTTGATGTTGCTGTTTCTATGTATTGTGGACTCGGGCATGGATTGGTCGGGCTGGAAGATTATGGCGAAAGAAAAAAGAAAGAAGAAAAAAGAGTCATTACCCCCGCTGGAATATATGTGGCATTTTGTATAGAACATCATGAGAATGGAGGCAAAAGACGAAGCCAATATGCAGATAAAAGAGTGTATCATCCAAATCCCATGCAAAACGCCCTTGCCATGCATCGTCACATTGAGTATCATAAAAAGAGTAAGTAGCACTGCTACCGAAAGACGGACCCGGACCACTAACTTCACCGTTTACCCACCACTTGCCTCTTAGCTTTATCGTAGTTCAGCACCTTCCGTCGTCGGTGAGTTTGCGCCAGTTTCCATCGGCAGTACAGAACCAATACATCTTTGAGGAGAACGAAGGCACAGCCGCCGACCACACTTCGGCCCCATCGGGTCTGTAGAAGTCCCGGTCGACTACGCTCCAACGCGGACGGCGCCGTGGTCCATGCCTTCGGTAGGACATATTTGAGTAGCCCGCCCATCGAAGCGGAGATGGCCGGAAATGCGAGAGCTCCGAGGATGATATCAGCAAGGTTGCTTGTTTCATGGATCAGGTCGTCTCGTCGACCCAGTCCCATCTGGCCATTCTGAGCAGCGCCCTGGTTTTGGCCTTGACCACCGGCCCCATTGTTGTCGCCCATTCCCACTTGTAGTTCCAGATCAATTTCCATGAGGATATGGCCATTTCCATCGTCCCTAGGCGGGTCGGCCTCCGGGTGTTCGGGAGGCGCATTGTCGTCGAACTCGTTGACATCTGATTGCCGGGGCTGCACCTCCGCGATCCACTTCCTTTCCAACTTGCCGAATAGCCTTTCGTAAATGGTGCTGTAGAAACTTTTGACATATGGAAGAGCCGCAAACGTCATCGCGGCGCTAGGTGGCCAAAGATCGAAATCGGGATCATGACCGGGATTATGTGTGGCGAAGAATAAAACTGGGATAGCTGGGAGCAGGCCTTCCGCATAACGAGTTCGCGAGAAGATCAACACCAATGGGATGAGCGGGAGCCCAAGATTGAGACCTGAGTTCCATGATCCATCTGCGCTTTCTTCCAGGAGCTGTCGGGCATCCTCCGGACCGAAAACAAAATACATCGAATACACGCCGTGCGCACAGCATCCAGCCCAGACCGTGCCCGCGAGCGTGAACACCATACCGGGAAGAACCAGCCGGCCAGCAACCCGCTCCAACATCCGGACCGTGTCAACAATATAGCTGCGTGGGCGCGAGACGACAATCTCGGATTTACACTGGGGGCACATCATCTTCGCGTTGCGGCCATTTCGTTTCCGGGATCGGGGGTTTTCTAGGTCGGCGAGCCAATCCAGTAGGCAGGCTTCGTGGGCCGTCAAGGCGCATGGACAAGGGGAGCGCCATTCTGTATTAAGGGGGGATTCCTCGGTTTCATCCGTGTAGCAAATCCAACATTTCCGCGGCTCATCGTCATTTGATGTATTGACGGGGTTGGAACTCTGAATCGGAGATGCACCGGAGATGTTGCCTTCACTGGACGAAGGCTTATTGAGAAAGACAGTCTCATTGTCCTCCATTGATTCCGTCGTAGGTGAGGTAGATGTTTCGGGTCTCGATGCGGCTTCGTTCCTGGTGGAAGCGTTATCGGAAGATCGCGGTCTGCCGGCGGAGGCTGAGTAACCCGGGATTGACTCCATAGTTTCGTTTGCTCAAGCAAGGCTGTACCCAGTAAGATGAGTCAAATGACAAGAAACGTTGATCGGGACTACTGGGGTAATAAAGCACAACTGTACATCCTGCGAGGGAGTGCCGACTAAGTATCATCGATTCATGGAGGTAAGACAGGGGAAAGAGTTTGCGGCGAGACTGATGGGGTAGGTTTCAGTCACAAGGCTGCTCTTAGTTATCGGAACTGCCACTAAGCAAAGCTGCTAGTGCTTTCGGGTCTCAACCGCGGCTTTGGAGAGGCGAAAACATTGACGAATTTCAACTGGCTTTTCCCTCGTCACGTGGGGCCTTGCGGGGCGCTGGAGACTCGGAATAATTGTTATCCCGGGGATATTCTTCCTTTCTCGGTCTAGTCTCTTATCACATCACTCTCAACTATCATTGCGGTCTCCTCGGACTCCGGAGTATCGAAGACTATTGGCTTAAGCAGCAGCATGTCAAATAGAAGTATCTGACTCAAATGGAGATAATCAGAATTGATGATCAGGTTACTGGATACTAAGGTAGAGATAGAATAACCAACAGTTAACCGTCGGTTGATCGTTAGGGTATAGTTGAGTTAACTCACTCTTAGTTTTATACAGAGGAACCAAGTTTACATATCTGTCCACTTTATAGGACTCAGACACCTACGAAAACATGAGATTCACATTCTAGTAAAGGCTACTTCGGTGCTTCTGTGCTGCCGTCCTGTTTCTATAGCGAGAAGCGCAGGGAGGACCACTCGTACAGTCATATCTGAAATCCGATCTACCTCCACGGCCCTAGATATCAACTCCGAGCCCCAGAATGCTGGATAGTATTCATTGGCAATGATAACCGCATCATCGTATTACCTAGTAGAAACTGATAGAAGCATCTTGCTACAGTAAAACTGCTGCGGTAGTGGCAATGTTGATGTATAGTATAGTATAAGGAATGCGCTGTTACTTTGTACCCTACCAACTGCTAAAAGGCCAAGTGCAGCTAGGCTATGCAACCTCTCTTAACGGACGGTGAGCTCATCCAATGAAACGACTCTTTAAGTAAACTCTTTCCGTCTTCTGACTGCTCTTTCCCATTTCCGCCAGCAACAAACTAGTAATGCGGCGTACGAGCTTCCGGTACTTACCTTGATGTTTATGTCTTTCTATTCATTTGTTCTCGTGGTTGGAATAGAGTTGAGGTCGCAATGTATCCGATAAATGCGGAATAACCAGCCATAAATTCCAAGGAACTGCCAAGCTGATCTACAGAACCGGCAGCTTGGCCATGCCTCTGGACGCTATCTTAGTGTCCTTAGCTCCTTCCTTCGGGGTGGCTTATTGGGGGCCTTAACCGGAAGGCATTATTTCTAGGGACCTTATCCGGGGGCCATTGATGGGGTCGAACATGTATAGAAACAAAAAATAAAAAAAATATAAATATACAAAGCCTTGTCTGTCTATTCTGACCTTGAGTCCTTTCCCATCATCAGTGATCCATTTACTACAATCTAGTACTCAATCATCAATCAAAAAGATTCTTATCCACCAATACAGAAGCAATCACATTAACATGTAAATCTCAATTATTGCAATCTTTACCCTCCTGGGCCTTGCAGCAGCGGCTCCCTCTACCAGCAAGCGTGGGCAAGGAGAATCTTCTTTTTGTTAATCCGGAAAACAGTCGTGCAATGGTACTTCATGCTTTGCCAATTTAATTAACACAGAGTGTGGTAATGGATCTGTGAGTATCTTCCCTCTTTCCCTCCCCTACTAGGCGTTCTTAAGTGAGTCCTGTAGGTATGACTCGAGGCTGACTTGAAGTTTCCCCCTTCTAGTGTGTGGGTGAGGGTGGTGGTGATGGAGCGACTTGCCATGTCCAAAAGAACCATGGCATGGCTTTCTGCCCTGTTGGCTGCGACAACGATCAGGGATACTGCCCTTAAGCCTCTACGAGAGTCACATATGTTCTAGTGAGGCCAGGCAGACGGATTAGTTGTTCTTAGTTCCGCTGTTAGATGGCATTGCTTAACGAAAGATGAAGAGTAGCCTGGTTACCGGGAAATTTAGGGCGATGAGGAGAGAGAGGTATATGGTGGACAGTTCTTATTATAGGGACATTTACTAAACCTATGCTACGTGGTGTGAAGAACTTATTTTAGATAGTATTGTCACGAACCTCATTCTTTATTATTCGTTCGGTCAATCCTCCCCAGGATACACCGGGTAGTTCTGGATATAGACTGGTACGGTTCCATCTTGTCACCATTAGATGAAGAGAATTAGGGGTGTCATATCTCTCCTACCCAAAATATGCTTTCTATGCTTGTATTATGCTACATATTACTACAGCATCCCTATCCTGTGCCCTATTATACATAACTTCTGTTGGACTTGATACCAAGCTCCATCACGGTCCCTCTGATTCTCTAATTCTAAGATCATCAATGCCGCCTTGACTATGTCATATTGCCTGGCATTACCATCTTCAAAAAACCGTCTTGCACACTATTTTTTTTCGAGCCCGAACCGAGGCATTGCCGGTCTTGATACCCGTAGCTTTGGGATCTACCTCTGCCTGGGACATGCGTCGGAGGGTTCTGCGGGTACTGGGAGGTTTGCCATCCTTGTTGTATGTGGCCCAGTAGAACAAGATAAAGAGAGCAAGGTAGGAGCTGATGACGATAATCCCGGCAAACGCGGCAAACTCCTCTCCAGCGCAGTGGCCTGCGTTCGGCATCCAGGGAAAATATGTCGAGGTAAAGTAAGTGTAAGAGGCAAAATAGACGAAGCCCAAATCGATGACAAACTGGATGATTTGCAGGCGGGTCACCCACTCCTTCCACCAAATACGGATGCCCCGAGCACTCTGGAAGTAGTACCAGTACATAACAACATGAACTAGTAGGTTTAGCGTGATGGGGACCCATGAAACCGCTGTGTTACCGATCAGCTGTGTGTAGCAGAGAACGGCAGTCGCTCCATGGTGGTAGCAGTGGAGGAATGTCAGAGGCTTTTTCTTGAGAAACAAGAATATGGTATCAAGAAGCTCGAGATATTTAGTCAAGTATGTCAACTGACAAAAGTCTCAGCATCTGGACTATGCAATATTTGGCATAGATTTGTTTCACCTACGTAGTATAGAACGACTAAGCGGTTCGTCCAGCCACCGTCCCGATGACATAAGGCATAGAAAATGCCTTCTCGGAAGACAGTGGGAGCGAGCTCCTCTATGTAAAGCGCGAGCAGAATGGCACTGATTGCTGTGAGGTAGAAGTTGTGAATCAGAAACAGCGACTTCAATCTGAACGGTGCTCGGTTTCGCATCACTTCACGGCCCCCTAGGATAATTGTATAATAAACAGCCACAAAAACTGAGGTCTCCTTTAGCGTTGACATAGGGGTTGTCCCCACAACAAACTTGAATTCCTCGGCAGGGTCACCTGCGACAAGTTCGAAGGCTTTGCTGAAGTGCGACCAAAGATGCACACCAAACGGCCTGTCGAGAGATGGAGTGGGAAACGACTCTATAGCCATGACTTGAAAAGAGACAAAGTTGAACAATATTCGACACACCGAGGAGATTGCGACTGAATGGGTTTAGGAAAGAGTGTGAGTAGAACTAAATTGCATACACAAGTCATTGTTTCCCCCTTAATATAATGGCCCCAAGCGAACTAAAACCTGACATTTCCTCTCCTCATTCATGGTTTCCATTCGAAACAACCTGATCTTGAGTCGAGTCAATCAAACACAACGATTTAAATCCATCGTTTCGAAAATCAAAAGACTAATTCCTTCATTGATCACATGGAAACTTTTTAAGTGTTCCCCACACACAAAGCGATGATTCAACGAGTCCCTTTGATATTGGGCGCCCAATAAAGTGCCGACAAGGCGTCAACCGAACGAAGACTACGGCGGGAAAAGTTTCAAGAGGCGTTTCATATATACACTCAGTCGGCAATAGAGCTTATATCTCAAGCATAGGAATACATGTGGATCTTGACCACACAGATGTGAGCAATCTAATAAGTACCTCATGATCGTTCGCCCCAGTGTTGCATCTGTGGCACCGCCCAAGATCTCCAAGACTACCACATCAACTCTGAACGTCTGCATGACTTAATTTTGCATCTCTACGGTGATAAGAGAGTCCACCTTATAGATATGTAAAGGCTAGCTTAAGGATCTAGCTATTGAGGTTCACATTACGAGGTAGCATCTCTTCCGAAATCGTGAGGCTGGTAACGACCTGCGAGTTTGTTGGTTCAATCTAAAGAAGATTGTCATGGAACAACCAGGGGCTCTCTTTGACAATGATTACACTGATAGTACATTCCTCGACACATCATACGTCAAGTCTAGCCAATTTGAAGACGAAGTAGCGTCTCACTAACGAGCTCCAGAAAGAAAGTTCCAGCCCCACTAGCTTAATCCACGCCAATGCAACCTTATCGGGCGTACCGTTTCCGAGGTTAACGAAACTAACTACATCTATAACGCCTAGATCAAGCTGCGGAGGAGTGTGGCGGATTGATTCGTATTCCAACGGTGCATATCTGGGGTTGGAAGGATGAGACGATTGAGTTGGATAGAGGCGGGCCTGATAAGGCTAACGAGCATTGTCTCTTTGGCTGAGGTGTAATAGGAAATGATTGAATCAACCAGCTCTTTGTTCTTGTGCGCATTTCCGTTTCTCTTTGGTAGCTGCATGGGACATGATTACTCCTTGAATTCGTGGTTCTATTGAGACATACCCTATCTTATATATCCATTTCTTGTTTACTATAATGAGCGTCCGTCTAGACGTACTGTGCCTAAACTAGGAAGACTAATTTCCCTTTGAGTTGTATATATGGCTACGATACTTTTGGACTATGAACCTTTATCAGCAAAAGACTTTATGCTCTGAACCGCTGATCATGAGTGACTTGAAAAGCTTTTGCCAACAAGGCGTCCCGAATCATTCAGCAAATTTCAAACTGCTTATCTGAACTTAAGCCAAAGTATTCAAAACTCATAGGATAAGAGCTCTAGTCATTCTATACAGCAATGTCTAAGCAACAGGACCTTTACCTCAGAAGAGACCTTCCCACGAAGCTAGGCCCATAATGTATAGTCTAGCAGGTATGCCCTATACCGAAGTTGATAGCCTGTCTTCAACTTTCCCTCCTCTGCTTCGTAGAGCATATACCAACCTTTCGTCCAATTCCCTCCCTTTTTTCATTCTGTTATACCTAGCATCTCTACCAGAGAGACAACGTTACTTCTCCCTAGAACTTCTACGAACAAGACACAGGTCAAAATGACATCCTTTCCTATTATTCCCTAGAGTTTCCAACATAGGTAACATGATAAACATAAGGATTATATACAATGTACAGCCGCCTGGAACCGAAGAAACTTTTTGGCGAATCATAAAAGGATCAAACAAGATGCCAATAAAGAAAAAAAAATCAAGCGACTCAAGTTCCAGGGTAGAAGAAGCCCGGCCCCTATCTCACTGGAAGAAATTCCAGCAAGACCTCGGGAGTGCGGGTTTTATCGTGCAGTTTTTCTCCCAGTGACTACGGTCATCTGATGCTATTGGGAGCGACAACAGGCACCCGCTAGCGTTTTTAGAACCCGCCAGAAAACGCCGTGGATATCGACAGATTAAGAAAAGGTCAATGGGCATTTTGCAATTACAGGATCGGTTGGTCACGTCGTGGCATGATGCATGTCAACTTAGACAATGACCTTCCGCTTCCTCATCAGGGCCTTCCGCTCCTGCTCCTTGGCTAAAACACAGAGTTAGTACTACTTCAAAAAAGGGTCCCAAGGGGGAGGTTTAAGAAAACATACCTTCGTCATAAACAAGGAACTCGTGCAGGGCACTGCCAGCGGGCACCATGGGGAGCACAGGCACCTTACGGTCAGTAATGACTTCGAGCAGAGCGGGGCCGTCGCTCTCAATCAGCCACTTCAGCTTCTCCTCCATCTCAGCAGGGTTGACCAGCTTATCAGCAGCAACACCCATGGACTGGGCCAGAGGAACAAAGTCGGGGTTCTTCTGGTGAGTATGCGAATAACGATCCTCGTAGAAGAGGTTCTGCCATTGAGTCACCATACCTTGTTCCTCGTTGTTCAGCAGGAGGACCTTGACGCCGATGTTGAATTGAGCAGCAGTAGAGAGTTCGGTGAGGGTCATGTTGAAGGAGGCATCTCCATCGATATCAACGACAAGGGCATCCGGGCAAGCAACCTTGGCGCCAATAGCCGCGGGGAGACCATAACCCATAGTACCCAGACCACCAGAGGTGATCATACTACGAGGATGGCGCCAACGGAAGTGCTGGGCAGCCCACATCTGATGTTGACCGACACCAGTGGCGATCAGGGTACGGTCCTTCATGTGGGCGGTGAGGTCGCTGAGCTTCTCAATCAAAGTCTGGGGCTTGATGGGACCTTCAGCGGCCTGCTTCTCGTACAGAGAGAAAGGGAAGCGAGCCTTCCAGTCATTGATCTGGGCGAACCACTCGGGACGCTCCGATACCTTGTTGACATGGGGAAGAAGATGGCTAATGTTCTCAGCACAGTCGCCCTCGACGGCCTCGTTGGCCTGGACGACCTTGTTGATGTTCTTAGGCATGATCTCAAAGTGTACGATACCACCACGGTTCTCGGACGCAGCAAGCTTAGCCTGAGGGGCGAACTTTGTGATGTTACCCGTGACACGGTCATCGAAACGGGCGCCAACAGCAATGATCAAATCAGCCTCCTGCATAGCCATGTTGGCGTAGGCCGATCCGTGCATTCCCAGCATATGCAGTGCCTTGGAGTCCAGCTCGTCAAAGCCACCCAAACCCTGCAAAGTCGTGGTGACCGGAATGCAGGCCTTGTCGGCCAATTCCTTCAGGAGCTTTGGGCCTTCGGGGTTAGCGAGAAGACCCTGACCGACGTAAAGAACGGGCTTCTTGGCGACATTGACCAAACGAGCAACGCGGCTGATGGTGCTTTCGAGCTGCTTCATGCTCAACTCACGGGCCGCAATGCTCGCCGCGCTCGGCAGAGAGGGAATGGTGCTGTTCATAGGGATAGGCTTGCGGAGAATACCGGCGGTGATATCTTTCGGAAGGTCGACCAGGACGGGACCAGGACGACCACTGGTGGCGATTTCGAAGGCCTCCTGGATCCGGCGAGGAAGCTCGGCGACAGATTTCACCATGACGTTCCACTTCGTGCAAGCTCTTGAGATACCGATAACGTCGGCTTCCTGGAAAGAATCGGTACCGATCGCGCTGGTCGGGACCTGACCGCAGAAAACAACCATCGGCGTGCCGTCCGAGAGGGCATCCTGCATGGGGGTAATGACATTAGTAGCACCGGGACCAGAAGTAACCAGGACAACACCAGGCTTTCCGGAAGCCCGGGCATAACCTTCAGCCATGTGTCCAGCACCCTGTTCATGGCGAGGGAGAACGAAGTCGAAGTGCTTGGAGTTGTAGATAGCATCGAACACGGGAAGAATGGCGCCACCGGGGTAGCCAACTATACATCGGTCAGTCTTTTTATGCTCTACGGTCCATATCACCCAGAAATGTTGAGCTGACTCACAGACGTGTTTGACGCCGAGACGGAGCATCATCTCATGGAAAATTTCTCCACCACTGAGTCCAACGAAGCTGTAGTTTTCCGAGCATGTTAGGCCATCTGTCATTCAATCTGTGAAGAACTCCACGAAAGCCACGTACGAATCATCCAATTCAGGCACATTTCGGTTCTGCAACTGCGATATTTCACTGCGCTGAGGTTCCAGGTTGAAGGCGGGACTTGGGGCGGGACGAGACTTTCTATACCGGTGCACACTAGGGTTAACAGGGCCAATTGGTTCGCAAGATATCTAAGCAAACCGAGAGACTCACGTAGTAGCAGCTGTAGCAGTGCTCTGGGATCGTTTCTGAGCAGAAAAGCGGTGGGGCGAAACGGCTGCGGCCACCGAGGAAGAGGTGAAACACCTTCTTCCAGAGGTCATATACCTCTGGTAGTGCATAGCGCGCATGGCGCTTTTGGATGGTCTTAAAGGCATCATCTTTGCGGCGGATGACTGCCAGGCCAAACAGAAAAAAGAAATGAGTTTTAAAAATGGGAAGGGGAAGAGACCACGGACCTGGTGTGAGTAAGAGGTCCTTAAGACCGGGCGGAAGAAAGACTCAAGACTGAGAGACTGGTGTGGCTAATCCGCTCCCGGTTAGCGTCCTGGAGTCTCGAATAATCTCACCCCCTTGATTGGTTCAATCTGCCTGTTAGCTCCGATCATCGGCGCCCATTTTCAGGTCTTGCCGTCACCTGATTGGCGAGTGGCGCCTCAGGCAAGAGGGAAAAAAAGAGGATCCTCGGTCAGTGGAATTGGCACTAACCACGGAGTAGGGCCCTAACTCCGTACATTGGATCTGGGGAAAGCAACCGCCTTTGAAACCTGAAATTCAGAGAGCTACAGGGAAAACATATATGCAAGAAATGTCAACCATTTATTTCATAATGACGACAGTTACAATCGCGATCTTGACCAATGTTTGGGGGAAACCGGCGAGAAATAATTCTATTGCAGGTATTGCATGAGCAGTCGTTGATTTCCCTACCACTCACAGCCTTGCCGATTCCGGAGATGCACATGCAACAACTTGTCGAATGAATCATCCGACGAAAGATTCCCTGAGGTAACAACAACAATAACAACAATATCCACAACCCTCATTGAAGAACGATGACTCAGTTTCATATATTCATCCCATTTTGATTACTTCTTCTTTGAACCTGGTGAGAATTGACAAAGGCAATAAGCGGAAGAGGGAAAAAAAAAAAAAAAAAAAAAAAAAAAAAAAAAAAAAAAAAAAAAAAAAAAAAAAAAAAAAAAAAGAGAGAGAGAGAGAGGAATAGAAGGAGTAAATCTAATATATCTGCAGAAACTACGCCTTATCCGCATGTATTTGAAACCAGACTACAGCTGTGCTACAAGTTTCCCGCCTATGCTTACCACCATTAGTCTACTCTGTATGTAGGAACGTTTTCAAGCTTTATTTGAGGATACCTTTTAATTCTGCTTTTCTTTAGGCCCTAATTTCAGTTATCCCTATTAGAATAAGTTGCCAAGAAGGGGTAGCTATTATTATATAATTTTACACACGTAAAATTTGCATCAAGACTAGCCACCTTACCTTTTAGTTGTACACCTAAACAGACAGAGTTGTATAACTTCAGTATCAAAGACAATGTATTATAATTTTTAATGCAAACTGTCCGCAATCATTCGCAAGCATCACCAACCGGGATTTCATTCTTGGACCAAATTGCACTTTATGTACTACTACGATTAATATACAAAAGCTCAAACTGTACAAAGTGATAATCCTCTTTAGCCATTTGTTTCCCCCCTACTTCCCTTTTCTCCCTTCTCAATTGTCCTTACCTTTTTTCCTTGGGGACGGGAGGGGCGTTTTTGTGCAACGTGGTGCAAGGGGCCGTGCCGTACTATGTTGCAGTTACATGCCGCCACTTTCGAGGTTTCGTACTCACTACCTTCTATGATGAAGATGTTATTCTGCACCAAGTCATTTAGAATGCTCAATTAGGGTCCTTTAGATGAGCCTTACAGGAGTTACTTGACAGGTAATAGACTATCCCCGATGCCATGCCCCTAACACGTCTCAATTCTCTTCCTTCTGATACCTAAATCTAAATCTTTTTGCATGTCTCGGAAAGATGGATGACAGTCTGGGGCTCCAAGCAAGAATTACCATGCTGAATTAAGGCGATAATGGGGTTACAATCGCTCTGTTCAATAGACGGATTTACACGTCGTTCACAATATGAGATATACTGCACTCTACTCAGCCGTCTGTTTCCATAGAGGTTACTGCTGTGTGTTAATTTTTGTTTTCCCTTTCCTTCATGGTTGCTGAAATACTGCCCCGGAGCAATTCAGCATGTTCAAGTTGGGAAGTCTGGCATTTTGCCAACTCAGGGAGGGTGTATCTCTTTTGACCAAATGATGGGTAGAAATCTTTCTTATGTTACTTTCTGTTCAGAAAAACGATGATTTGATACACTAGAACATAGGCTAGACCTAGTGTATTAGAAGGTGTGTTCTTAGGAAACAGACACGGTGGGCAGGTATGATGTGGTGGGGTGGTGCGCCGTGTCGGTGCTTTTGAACAGCCTTTTTTTACTTGGGTAGACGCGAAGGAACGTCGGTTAATTTCATTAGACTCGGTATAGCCGGCTCATGGCGACAGCTAACAGAAGCATTGAACTGGGAATCCAGACAGTTTGGTTTGGAAAAAAATGATAAAATTGGGAAGGAGCGAAAAAGAAAGCACTCTACAGACTAGAGTGCTAGAAAACAAAGAGGAAAGCTTGTTTTAAGAAAGGAGACGAAGGTGCCGTCGGCTATAAAAAGACATGTTTCGGGGGGTAATAAGGCGGCAGGCCGAGAGAGACTCGGGAGAAATGTGGGGTTCGGTTGAAAAAGCTGGAGACTCGGAGTGCCGGTGAGCGTTGGTGCGTTCTCCAGGCACGGGATCGCGTGGGCGGCGTGATTAACTTGTTCCCCGTTTATTCCGGGCGGCCAATCACCCCCCGAGCTGGAGTCGCAGGGTTCTTGTCTCGATTGCGGGGCATTTCATTTTCCCACCCCTCTTATGATCGCATTTTTTTTTTCTTATGTTAACACGTTGATTTAAATTTAAATACCCCTCCTCCTCTCGCCTTTTCCTCCCTGCTTCTTTGTCTTTGCGTTCTTTCTTCTTCCCTGTCCAACTCGAACAAGCAATTCCCTCCGCCATGTCAACAACCCCGCAAGAGCTCGTTCCCCAGACGGAGAACATCGCTGAGGTCTATGCCACAGACGATGCCTCAGTCACATCCGTTGCTCCAGAGCACCAGGCGCGTTTTAACGGTCTGATCTCTAAATTCAACCAACTGTACAACCATCGTCCCGACTTTGTCTCCCGCAGTCCTGGCCGTGTCAACATCATTGGCGAGCACATTGACTACAACTTGTACGATGTCCTTCCCACGGCTGTCAGTGTCGACGTCATCATGGCCGTGAAGGTTGTGCCCTCTAATGGAGAGCCGTTCGTGAAGATCGCCAACGTCCAGCCAGAGAAATTCCCCTCTCGCGAATTCACAGTACCCCGCGACACTGATATTGAGATCGATCCAAAGCAACACGAATGGGTTAACTACTTCAGAGCTGGACTCTTGGGTGCCTTGAAATTCTTGCGCAAAACCAAGCAAGATGGCTCCTTTGTGCCTGCCAGCGTAGAAGTTCTTGTGGATGGTAATGTGCCCCCAGGCGGTGGAATCTCCAGCAGCGCGGCTTTCGTGTGCTCGAGCGCGCTGGCCGTCATGAAGGCGAACAACCACAATGTCTCCAAGCAAGATCTGCTCGACCTCGCTGTGGTCTCGGAGCGTGCAGTTGGTGTGTACTCTGGCGGGTAAGTACTGATAACAACCCCCTCCCCTTCTGTCCACTACCATCTACTCTTCTAACCCCCCCCCCCAACAGTATGGACCAAGCAGCCTCCATCTTCTCCCGTCGCGGATACCTGCTCTACACCCAGTTCTTCCCCAACTTCTCCGTTCAGCACGTCCCCATCCCCAAGGCCGCCGAAGAGATCACCTTCCTCATGGCCCAGAGCTTCGTCACCTCCAACAAGGCCGAGACCGCACCCCGCCATTACAACCTGCGCGTCGCAGAATGCACCCTCGCCTCCGTGGTCCTGGCGGCTCAGCACGGCCTGACCCTCCCCAAAGACAACAGCTCGCTGGGCTACAGTCTCCGTAACTTCCACGAAGAGCTCATGCGCAAGGAGGGCCGTCTAGGCGATCCCCTCGAGTACCAGATCGACTCCGTCATTCAGACGACCATGGAGCTCCTCACCCAGGAACAAGGCTACACCCGCGAGGAGATCGCCAAGCTCCTCGGTATCACGGTTGCAGATCTCGAAGCCAAATACCTCTCTTCCTTCCCCGTTCAGGCCGAGCGTTTCCTCTTGCGCCAGCGTGCTCTGCACTGCTTCACCGAGGCCCGCCGTGTGCTTGACTTCAAGGCTTGCCTCGCCAAGGCGTCTACTCTCGATGAGCGTCGCATCGAGTATCTCGGACAGCTGCTGAACGAGTCTCAGGCTTCCTGCCGTACTCAGTATGAGTGCAGCGCGCCCGAGGTCGATGATATCTGTGCTATTGCTCGTCGGGCGGGTACCTGGGGTAGTCGTCTTACGGGTGCTGGATGGGGTGGTTGCACTGTGCATATGTTGCCGCAGTCTAAGGTCGATGCTGTTATCAAGGCTTTGAAGGACGAGTACTACCTGAAGAACTTCCCCGATATCAGTGAGGAGAAGCTGGCCCAGGCTATGGTTATTAGCAAGCCTTCTAACGGTTCCTTTGTGTATGTCCCCTCCCTGGCTCCCCCTTATGTTGTGAACAATGATTGTGCTTCTTACTAACTTGCGCTTCTAATAGGGTTACTGGAGAGGCCATTGCTCAAGTCAATGTTTAAAATAAAACTCAAGGGGAAATAATCAAGAATAAAAAAAAAAGGAAAAGGAAACAGGATGGATGAATTTGAATTTTGAATTAATATTGTACATAGTCTTCAATCCATCACTGGAATAGTATTGGCGCTAGCGTCAGATATGCGGACATTTCCAGCAGGCCTAAGGGCATGTCGTCGAATGTCTTGAGAAGTCTATCCTTTCTCCAGTCGTAGAGCTTCTTATTTCTCGTGATTATTATCTTCGCTGAGGCGCTTGCATAGTGTATTGCGCCGACTCGCTCGACTTGTGTAGGTCCCACCTATTACTGGGTCTTCTGGTCTCAATGACTCTGCTTGTATTCCATTTAATACGAGATTCTGAGAACAGGCCTGATGTTCTCCGTTCCCCATGAGGAACCGAGACCGGAGAGTCACTGATAGCCAGAAGACTGAACGGCGAAGCCGTCAAGTGTTGGCATGCAACTGCCAACATGAAGTCTGATTCAGTGCAGAATAAGGTTTCATGCACACGATTCAAGATTTTTTCTTGGAGGCCGCCTTCGAAAAGAAGTCACTCATCTTTTTCATTCCCGTGGTGTTCACCTTTTTCAAGTCTCGGACTCCACGGGACTCTGTCGCTTTCTTTTTCTTCTCTTCTTCCTCCTTGCGGCGCTTCTTCTCTGCTCGTGACTCGGCACCTTCGTCGTCATCGATATCTCGCTTCCGGCTGAAGTCTCCTAAGGACCGAGACGCGAGCGCCTCTGCGCGAAGCTCGGCCACATGCTTGAGATGATCATGCATAGGCTTGAAGTCTATAGGGCTCTCGGAGCTGGAAAGCAGCCCATCGACTTTAGTGCGCAGAGCTGCAGACAGATAGGAATCCTTCATGAAGGTTAGAGCCGTCGAGATCCTCAGTAGACGAGCCACATCGTCTGACGCAGGCGGTTCATTTGGAGGTGATTCTGTAGCAGGGGTGGATAGGTCCGAGGGCGTAGGAACCGAAGTTGAGCTTGCTGTTGTTGTCGGTATCTCTTTGTCTTCCTGTGGCCCTGCCTCGCCCTCACTCTTATGATTGGACAACGCCGCATTGGTTGAGGCATCCTCTCGCTTGACAGCCATCATAGGCGTGGACAAAGCTTGGCGAATAAAGCGCTCTTCCATGCTGGGAGGAAGTCCCAGTGTTACCATCCGCTCTGCTTTAGCAATTAATTCCTTCAGAAGTTTCGCCTCACTGAATCGGAACATTTTCTCATCTCCTGCCTCTACCGAATCGCAAATAGCCTCCGCTCGCGCCTGTAAGACACCCTTAAAAGATTCATCATAGAGAACGTGCCGGAAGTGGTTGGGTAAATCGTCTTGAGAGTCGATGATGTCGTCAAGGGGTTGGAATAGACCTTTCGCCTGGGACGATGTCGGGCATAGTAAAGGAATTAGGAAGAAGATCACATCTATGGGCGTCGCAATCAACAATTGCGCAGTTTTCGCTATACTCGCATTTCCGGGCTTTGGACGTTCTCCATCAGTTGCCGTGCTGTTCTCCGACTTGGGCGTAAAAAGGACACTTCGTGGGGACTGCGATGAAGATGTAACCACGGTAAATTCGTATATTCCCAGCTTGGGGCAGAAGTAATAGCGAGTGAGTTCTCCGGTCTGGGGATGGGGCAACTGGAGGAACCGAGCTTCGTCGCTGGCGGAAGAAGGGAGAATGAATGTCTTGCTGGGTTTCTCAGTCGGCGGTGGCAGTTTGGAAGGTTGTTCCGGCTTTGATTGCTCGGACGAAGGAGCCGACGATCGAGTGCGCATGGCGAGTGTGGTGGAAGAACTTGTCTGAGAGTGGAATTGGTTGGCGGTTTCGAAAATAAGACTACTTTAACGCGTGCCTGAGATTCATTTTAACTCAAGACGCGACAACACGCGCTGCTCCTTCCCCGCAGCCAATCACAGTCGCCGCATCGCCGACCAGTAGAATTAATTACTAAATTACCTTCTCTGAATACTAACTAAACTAATGCAACTCACCGTGTGTTGTCTTTAACTATGCCTTGCTGATGACAGAAAGTTTGCTGCTGAATGCTTACGTCCTTTTCACGTTTCTGGTCGCCCCCTTCTCTTATAAAGTGTCATTATTTCTTGCGCAGTGCTCGTCCTCTCCTTCTCTCCCTCAATTGACATTCCCCGCACTATTTCGCGTCTGAACATGGCCAAAATCCACAGGAAGGCGCAATCCGAGATCAAATAGTGGCATTCTTAGCGTGTCAATAGTGGTAGGATCGGTGTGGCTCTACCGCAAATCCTTCTTTTCCAAAGACAAAGAAAAAACATAGACCGATGACCAGCAGTGAGTACGACAATCGTCGCTATCCCTTCCGCGGACATTGACTGACGAATTCCTCGCCGAAGTGGTAGACATCTCGTGGCCCCCCAAGTCCCCAAGGGAGGCGCTGCTGAGCTCTCCCAGTGGCCGAAAAAAGTATGAAGATATGCAGCGGCGTCGAGAAAATTTCGGGTCTCCTCTCAAACGTTCAACTACAACCCCGGACATACGAACAAGGTCGGGACAGCTCTTGGAGGACGGTCTAGAGGACGACGACGAAGACGACGATGAGGAAACGTTGAAATTGAAGTTAGCAGCAATCGAGGCGCGACTGAAGCTGAAGCAACTCCAGAAAAATCGTGGGAAGCCAGGCATATCGGGACCAGATGCACACGACAGAGACGATGCGCTATCCCGGCCAGGGTCGGCGGTTAGCGCCTCGTCACGGACTCAGGACAACATATCAAGGATGAAGAGCGCGAGAGAAGCGACTAGCCGGCTCGAGCCCAATGATGTGCAGGTCCCATTGTCACCGACACGGCGTCCGACATCCGCAGTTCCACCCGCCTCCCCGCGAAGGTATATACTCGGCATCGACAAGGGCCTCAAAGGCGGCGATGTTTCTCTTAAGCGACCTCCAAGCTCAAGGACAACCGGTCGACCGACCAGCGGAGGTGGTATTCGAGACGGCATGGCTTTGCATTCCCACACTGCCCTCACGCAGGCTCTAGCAGGGGAACCAGGAAATCGCCCCAAGAGCTTCAGTGAGCGAATGGCCGAGAGCAGATCTGCCGACAAGCTCCGAAGAGAACGGGCAGAGAGACTACAAGTGAACAGAAGTTCAGCGTTCCAATTCGATAAGGCAGAGGTGGACGCATTCAAGGCGGCAGCCGAGGCAAGGAAGGGGTCTCCTACAAGGTCTCCAACCAGAAATCGACAGGCTGAAAGCTTCAGCCGAGAAGACATTCTACGGTCATGCAATAATCTCAAACCTGTCGGTTTGAAACGAAGCCAGACTCTTCCCAGTGTACGAAGGAACCTTGATCAGGATGAGCCCGGATCGTATCTCCATAGACGAAACCAGAAGTCTGAATCGGAAGCACAGACAGCTTCGTCTATAAGCTTTGAACATACCAGTTCGGATGAATCTCGCGAAGGGAGTGCATCAGACAAGACTCCTGACTCTTCGAAATTCGAAGCCTTCTCCTCACTTCATCTTTCCAATCGTATTCTACCTCACTCCTTTCTAGCCCGTACCCTTGCTGACAAGAAGGTCCTCCGGATTCCTGATCTTCTGAGAACAGTGAAGGGGCCTGCCTTTGAGCTCCCTGAAACGATCAACGGGGACTATGTGGTCTTTGGAATAGTAGCCTCAAAGTCAGAGCCTAGAGATATCAAAGACTCGAAAAAGGTATCGGCGAAAGAAGCTGATCCGTTCGATGAAGGACTCAACAACAGCAGCAGATACATGTGCATCCAGCTCACGGACCTGAAATGGACCATTGATCTTTTCCTTTTCGACACTGCTTTCCCGCGGTATTACAGGCTATCTGAAGGCATTCTCATTGCAATCCTGAATCCGACGATTTTGCCCCCACCGAAGCACAAGCTAGACACCAACAAATTCAGCCTCGCGATATCCTCGTCTGATGACAAGGTCTTGGAAATAGGCTATGCGCAAGACATCGGCTTCTGTAAGGCCGTTAGGAAAGACGGCAAGACATGCCAGGCCTGGGTTGACGCCCGCAAGACCGAGTTTTGTGACTTCCACATCGATATTCAAGTTCGTCGCACCCAGTCTCAAAGAATGGGAGTAAACAGCGGGACAGGCATGTTCGGTCCGGGTGGACGCTTGGGGTCACGAACTGGCTTTTTCGGTGGAGGCAAAGGGAAAGGAGAAGGTCCCCGAAAAGGGCTGAAACCAAACGGCGCACAATACGATTTTCAGTCCCAGTCTCTATATTACGTTGCGCCGGCCCCGAAGTCCCGAGCTGGCAATAGTTCCTCCTTCGTTATGCCAGGCGGCCAGTCCGCCGCTAAACTTATCGACGCCGATGACGAAGACCCATTCATCGCTGCAGGCAGGATGGGCCGCGGAATGGAAAATAAAGAAGAACGATTCCGCCGACGTCTCGTGGAACAACAGCGTGAGCGCGATATAGCCCAGAAGCTTACGTCTCGTGGAATTGGAATGGGCGCCGAATATCTTCGGGCTCGAAATTCCGAGAACGTCTCGTCTCCTCTTCCAGAGAATATCACACCGGCGAAGACAAACCCAAACGCGGAGACCCCTTCGAGTCACTCCGGCCTTCTGGGTTTCAGGAAAGCAAACTCGGTGAAATTGGGCCCGTTGAAGCGCGCTCATGATGGCACACATGGCAATAGCGTGAAAAAGACCCGATTCATCACCGCTAAGGGTATCAAGGAAGCCGGCCGAGATAGTCTTGGAAAGGCCGAAGCGACGAAGACAGGCTTCGATGATGACGATGACGACGAGCTTGATATCATATAAGACAGTACAGGCAGATGAACATAGACGCGAAAAGAACCAAGACCCACAAGGTATGTTTTGATGAACGCTAACGTCCTCAGTTTAGAGGCTCTTGGAGTTGTTGGAGTTTCTTTCTCTTTCTTTTCTTTTCCTTTTTTGTTAGCCTTGTATGTACTATTCTACTCGGCCCTTCTTGTACTTTGATAGTCTCTTCTGGCTGCCTTTATATTTCTTACTTCTAGCAGGCTACGGAGTATTTTATACCTCTTATTGCAATCCATTCCTTTTTTTTTCTTTGAAGAATAGCCTATATAGCGATATACAAACACCACAGCCATTGATGTTCAACTGCGTAGCTCTGAATAGGAAGAGTAAACAGATGTATTCAATTACATACTTTCTGGAAACATAAGGGGGTTAAAGAGAACGAACTTGGTAGATACGATATTGGTTGTTCATTGGATATCTAAAACTAAAGCTATCGAGAGAAGAGCTCAAATACACGCCGGGCTCAACAAAGGAAGCAGAAAAAAGCATGAGAAACGAAAAAAAAAACTCCATCCAGTAACGGGCATGCCAGCCAAATACCTATCCTGTCCATTTACCCATTCCCGTATCCTATTCCGACTGCCGTCCAACAAAGAACTTGATTGTATGAACAAATGTAAACTGAGCCGGGCTATTAAACAAGGCTCTTAGCCCTGAAATATTGGCATGCAAAAGCCGACATGTCTGGATAGCCAGAATCGCCATTAAGAAAAAGACGTAAAAATTCAAAGAGTGTAAAAAGGCGGATTACATCGCATACCAACAGCATCTGAGATTATGCAAGTCACGACGGTGTGACAGCAGCTCGGCTTCCTCTGGTTTTCTTGGTAGCCGGGCCACCAGGGCTGCCAGCCGTTTCAGCAGCGTCCCTCTTCTTGGCTTTAGACCCTGCGGGCACAGGAGTCGGTTTCCTCCTCAGCCAACCATCAAAGGGACTGACGCGTTTCTTTTTGGCCTCTGGGACCGTAGGTGTTCTGTGCTCCGGCTCATCACGCTTGGTTCGAGGACGCAATGAGCGTATTGTCGCACCTGGCGAGGGAGGAGTTTCAACAGTATTCGGTGGGGGAGTGACTGGTCGCTGCTTCATCTCAACGTCGACAGGGCGATCCACAGTTTCTACTACGTCAGGAACGAGCATGTGGTCTTCAATGTCAGTGGCTGCTTCTTCATCGACATCACCACCATGATTTGACGGAAGCGCGCGGTCATTTGCTGTGGGGAAGAGCACACGAGGCTTAATGGACGAGCGAGTGAGCGGTCGAACGTTGGCAGTAATGTCTTCGTCCAAAAGATCTGGGCGAGCTGCGAGCAAGCCCAAGTCGTCATCGCCATCATCCCCATCACTGTCAACTGGGTCGACAAACTTGCGGAAAATTTTCTTGCCACGGCTGCGGGGTTCGTTAGTGAGTACGTTCTACCGATCCCAAAGAATATACTTACAATACATAAGTCATACCATCGTCACGTTTGACTGATTCGTCAACTTCCTTATCGCGCTTAATTTGCTCTGCCCTGCGTCTCGAAAAACGTGTAGGTGCAGTGGGCCTTTTGCAGAATGGATTGTCCTCGCTTTCGTCCGGCTCTGGGATTCGGTCACGAGAGTCGGTGTAAATCTGGATATCGGATCCGCCATGAGCATTATCGTCGAAGCTATCCAGAGAAAAGCCGGTGTATTTCTTGCTCTTCTTGGGGCGTCCAGAGGGCGGAGGAAAGAGAGCCCGCGCTGTGTTTCCAATATCACCAACTGCTTTCTTCTTGGGTGTTTTGGCAGGTGTTGGTAGCATTCCCTGTGACATGGTGGTCCGGAAGGCGTGTAATGGACGAGTTGAGCTGGAAGGCTCAGCGGTGTCGAAAGGATCTGAGTCGTCTAGTTCAGAGACGCCATCTAGCGAACGTGAGGCAAGGAAACTGCCGATCCGATCGGATGTCTTCTTGCGGGGGGACCTGTGAGCCGATTCAGGTGGTGACAATGCTCCCAGTTCCTTATGTTGCTTCTTTGTGCTTTTGGAACTTTGCGATATCGGAAAACTCGGTGGGGGAGTGGTGTGTCTCTCCTTTGATGCCCGTTGGCTAGCTAATCTGGCGGAATGTCGCGTAGTGTACGGTTCATATTGGTCATATCCGGGTCCATGTCGTGGAGTGGGCGGCACACGCAGAGTTGACGGCGGCGGAGGTGTCGACGCCATTGTGGGAGGTGTTCACCACGGTTCAGTCCGAACTCAGGTTATGCACACAATGGATTGAACAGCAATGATTGAAGACAAAGGCCGTAACCAAGAGTGTCCGTAAGACGTGGACGTTGTGAGCGATGAACTTGGGCGGTCGCGAGTCCAAGGGGGTACCAAGGGAGGAAAGACGCGCGCGGGTACGCCAAAAGCCGACCGAAGCAAGGGTAGAATTCTGAAGCTATCCGGCTAACGATCAATTCGTGTATGGAGTCGAGTGGGTAAGATCCGGTGAATAATTGTCGATAGAAAAAGGAGAGAATTAAAATTAATTAATTCTTATCAAGCGATAAAGAGAGCGATAGCGATGGTGGAGTGAGAAACGAGAGGGTTGGAAGAAGTTTGGTGTTGGTGACGGGGGAGCAACGAACGAGGAATGCTTGACGTCGAACCAGCCACACTTTTAATAGCGAGGCTGAACCAATCATCCGCCTGCCCCACCGCCCCTCCTCCTCAGGCATTCATTGATTTCACCACTCCCGCCTTAGATCTTAGGCGACGATACCTGGACCTTTATCTACACGTGCAGGACACTAAAATAGTCCGATTTGTTTGCTGTCCCTCAAACGCCCCTCCTCCACAACCACAACTTGAGCCCACAACTATTCCTCTTCCTCACAAATCATGGCTTTCCGCAGCACTGCGGAAGAAATGGAACGACTCCAACTCTCCGAAGAAGACACAGACGACCTCTGGGACTCTCCCTCGAAGCGGGGCAGTAGGAAAGTGAATCGAACACCCGTTAAAGAAGAGAGCACCACGCCCCCGCCCATTCACTCTCATGATGGTGAAACGCTGTTCGACCGCCAAGAAGCGCGCGAGGCAGCCTTGCGGAACGAGTTACAGAGTGTCCGGAACATCAATCAGGTGATTGAAGGCCTCCTGAGCAGCCTTGATCGGGCAAAGGGTAATATGGATGTATGTCGAATCTTATATTTACTTTTTTAATTAAGGCATTTTTAGATCGCTAATCAATAAAATCCTTATACATAGACTGTTTCGCGTACTGTTAGCTCCGCATCAACATTACTAAACACTTGGACGCGAATTCTATCTCAGACAGAGCATAACCAGCGGTTGATCCTCAATCCAAACTGGCAAGGTGCTGTTCAAGATGTCGCCGACTTGGAGAATGAAGAGCGCCTCAAGCAACAAGCCGCGGAAAGACGTGAACGAGAGTTACAGGAACAGAGGGAGGCAGCGGCTCGGAGAGCCGAAGAAGAAGAGAAGAGAAGAACGCAAGCCGCTACTCGAGGCACACGTGGCAGGGTCCGCAGCAGCGGTCTGGGAAGAACACCAAGTGTCTCCTACTCGAGAACCAATTCGAGTGCAGCAAAGACCACATCAACAGCGACAAGAGGATCTACAACCACAACTACACGGAGACCGGTCAGCGGCATTGCCCGAGGCCCTAGCGTTACGCGCGGTCGAGGTAGAACTTAAAAAGCTTTGCATAATTGACAACGGGACGCGTTCATGTACATTACGAGATTTAAATGAGGTAAAAGTGTGCAATATGATACCCAGGGGCATAGAACGGTATAAAACCCTTCTCTTTTATTTCCCTCCATATTTAGTTTTTTTTTTTTTTTCTCGGTCATTGTAGTTTGGTGTAGGGCAGTCGTAAACATGATACTCGAGATGGAGAATCATCAACACGACGCGTTTGCTGCCTCAGGCGCCAAGACGTCACCGCCATCACAAGTGGCCGATAAAGCTTTACCACCTGATAAGAATCTCACACCATAATTCCGACGTCCACCTCGCCTGCGATCGCTATATTGAGTGCAATGAATTTCGCTCCCTATCAGGATGAGTCGCCCGAAGTCGAGCGGGCAATGTCGCCTGCCCTCGGCGATGCCAATCGCGTGAAATCGCCCATTATCCGATCTCCTGTCGGCTCTCCTCCGGTTCCAGGTCTCGCATCCAACGCGCTTCCATCACCGAGTCACTTTGGCGGCAGTGTCCAACCAGGAGCAACTGGGTTCGGAAACAGTGGCTATGGCGGAGATGTCGAAAGTGGGAGATGGAACATGGGAGCTTTCGACACGAGCCTTCCCATCCGCATGGATTTTGAAGCTATGCTGGCATATCTACTTCTACCTCCTGCGGGGGGTGTCTTCCTTCTGCTAGTAGAACACAAAAGCGATTATGTACGGTAAGTGTCTAAAATAATCCGAATATATACCTCTTGGCAGTTTTACTAATGTTATGCAGCTTTCATGCATGGCAGTCAAGCATGCTTTTTACCGTCATGTTCGTATGTCAAGCCACGTGTCCGACATTGGGTGAAATGCGCACTTACCATTCTCTAGATCATTCATCTCATATTTGCTTGGTCGAGCTTTTTCTCGTGGGCTTTATTTCTATGCGATTTGGCCATGATCGGTTTCTTAAGCATGCGTGCGTATCGTGACGGTAAGTCAAAAGAACATAGACTGGATAACACCCTGCGGAAACTAACCAAGTCCCAGTTGACACACTCGACCACTACGAGGTTCCCATTTTTGGCCGCCTGGCAAACTCCTTTGTTGACGACGAATAAACCTAATTTCACTTTCAATGGCGATGCATCCGTTTCATATACCCCTCCCCTTATGTTTCTCGTGCCAACAAAGCATCGCCTTTTCCCCATGGAAAACACCCTTTCCCCCAACCCCCACCACCCCAGAATCTACCCACTGGGGATGAATTTTCCAATGTATAGTGATAATCGAAAGGGTATTCTATCTACCTTACATCCCAGAACATGTCTTTCACCGAATGGCTGGTGCATTTATCAACCTAGCACAAAGCGTTGATCACACCTCCATCGATGTATATATATACATACACATGCCAAATGTACAACTAAATCCATGGATTCGAAGCCACATCTTCCCGTGAAAGATTCATATCCACCCAACTTTTCCATTCTTGCACTCAACATGCCCACACAGTGCACTTACCCGCAGATTCACAGGGTCAATGTGGAGTTAATCTGTTCACCTTTCCCGCAACATCCCATCCTGGAATTCACTTTCTCACTCCAAAATTATACCAACGACTAAGCTATGCTACACAATTTCTCCCGTGTTTGGTTCCCTCATCTACACCCTGTCCCGACAAAAATCCATTCATTCCTTTCTTTACGGTCGTGCTACCAAGCTCTCGAAACCTATTAGTCTGTCTGTATACAGGTTCCGAAACAATTGCTCGTCTACTGAGTTTCTTTCTTACAGCCGAGCCCTAAAAGCCATCACTCTCTCTCGCTCTCTACGCACATACATACATACATACATACATTCCGAATTGTCAGACCTAATCAAACGAACTCCAGTTACTACTTCTCCGATACCCAATGTGTCGGGTCACACGTGTTATCCATAAAGAATGCGGCCATGTCAACGACCACGTTGAGATGGATTGTAATAGACCGAAGCTTAAGCTCAAGGATGCTCGGTGCGATGCTTGGGATCAGCCGCATTGTGCCATAACCTACGTCCGTCTTTTGAAGTCCTCAGAGGGGTACGAGTGTATGAAATGCAACCATGAGCTGTCGGACGATGAGTTATCGGGTGGTTCTTGACTCCTGACTCGAGATACATCGGCTTGAGATCTTCTTCGTGAGGTTAACGGGGTTAATTTGGGCTGTGCTAGCAATATGGGCTCTGGCCTTTCGTCTATAATACTTGTTGTTCCCTAAGTTGGGAAGTTGGTGGTGGTGCATTCTAGGACCTGGCTGGGCCAGTAGCATTTCGGCGCAGAGGAAACGAAATGTGATTAAATGAGCAATCTTCAATATTTGCGTGTATTACAATGCCGTTCGAGACCACTAATCTCTAATCAAATAATTATTACTCAAATTATAGAAAATTGTAGGACAGAATCAGACAACGCAGGGCAGAACCATGGGATAGTCCTGGGACATCTACCTCTGTCGTTGTTAAGATACAGGAATAGACACCAAACCAAGAACGAACGCTGGCTTCTCAAGAAATTAAAATCCAAAGGACAAAGAGGGTGAAGGCAAACAGAAGGTATGGGTCAAGTCAAAAACAACAACCGGGTGATATCAATCGTAAGCAATTTGGAACACGAAGGAAAAACATGTGCACCAAGAACATAGAAAACCCCATAGAAGTCGTGTATATCCGTATCTACATCATGAACACATAATAAACATCGTTCACCTGTACCCAGGCTGTTGTTCATGAAATGGACGTTATTTAGATAATTTGCAAGTAATTGCTGGGGACCAAACCGGTCCGTCCACGGGTGGTAGTAACTTCGGCTTCCCACCAGCCGTCGTCTTGAAGTCGAATGACCGATAGAACATCACCTTTAGTGAAACCCAGCTCTTCGGGAATTGCAGCGGTATAACTGTACATCGCTCGGGCTGTAGTCACAAAGTTAGCTAAACAGCCTCATTACGTAGTGCGAAGGGTTCCCTTGGCTTACCAAAGTGAAGAATGGGGCGACCATCCCGGCTGAACTGTCTTCCAGGATCTGCAACGGCCAGAGTCCTGCTCCTGGACCTGCTTCTATGGCTTCCCGCGTCATAGAAGGACCCTGGTCTTCCTGCTTGTCTTGGCGAACCGTGGCCACCACCGTACATGTCGACTTGGTTGGAGAGCTGCAACTCCATACCTCCAGCACTCGAGGGACGGGCTTGTTGCCTGAACTGTGGCTGCGGTGAAACGCCACGGCTCATGGGATTTGGAGAAGCTCGCCTTGTGTACTCATGGGGCGAGTATGCTGCATCAGCTGGCCGCTGAGGCGGGGTGGAGACAGTCGGTGACTGACTGAAGCGACTTCTCATACTGCTGGATTGGTATGTGCTGGGGCTCGGGCTTGGGCCTCTGCTGTACTGACCCATGCGGGTGTCTATACGGGGGCTGTTGACTTGAGGGCTTGCGCTCCGTCTTGGGGTAGGAGATCTGGCACGAGGTATATCTTGGGATTGTGCACGGTTTCTAGTTGCAAGGCCAGTGTTGCCATTACCACGGAGCATGTTATGTGCTTGTCCGGTGTACTTCTGCGTCGTCTTCTGCATTTGAGCGGACGTGAATGCAGGCTGGGGGGCATCGAGACGTTTCACCGAAGAGTCGTTATATGCCGGGGGCGGAGTCGCCACAGATGCGCTGCTGTAATTCGAACTAGGGGCTGAAGGATTTGGGGTAGCAATGCCATGATATCTGTCGGCAGAGATCCGGGTGGTGGGCTGTTTGCCCGCGCCTTTCAGGTCAGCCAGGGCACGTGCGATTGGATCAAGCTCTTCTTCTGCACTCTTTGCCGTCTGAGGTGCCTTCTTTTTCTCCTTATCAGGCGATGCCACGTCAAATACATTGTTGCCGACATTAAGCTGGAAATTGGCTCTCGGGTCCACCGGCTCAGGACTAGCGGATAGCTGATCGTTTCCAGGAGGAGCAATTGGTGACTGGGGCTGAGGAGCTTTGGTTGGGCTCGATGGCTTTGACGCATCCCATGTACCACGAGAAGATGGCTGTGAAGGGCCAGAGTTCCGCTCCTTGTCATGGCGACTCTTACGTCGGAATGGGCTGTTGCTGAAGAAAGCGCTCCTCTTCTTCTGAATTTGTTTGTCTGTCCCCATCCCGTGAAGTGGCACGCCATTTGTCGGCTTTGTTGGGGATTGTCTAGCGCTGGGGGGTTCCTGACTAGACATCGACGTCGGATTAGAGACCTCACTCTGGGAATCACGGCTCGATGGTCGGTAGGCGCTATTTGTGCCAGAGCTCCGCTCAGAAGGAGGTCCAGTCCTGCAGAACATGGTCATACCATCCGTTGGATACGCATTGTGAGGCACACTGCCAATTTCTCCATGCTCGCTGGGGTCGTAGTTTGGTGGCAGTTGACCACCTCGGCGAAGATCCAAGGGCGCTGGCTGTTGCGTCGGTTTCTGCGGAGTGACGGTAGTTTCCCTGCTCGTAGGTGTAGGGGGGTTGTTATGAGCCATCTTACTTGCCAGGTCTGACTGTGGGTCGTGATGTGATTCATAAGTCGACGGTTGCGGGGAAGAACTGCGAAACGCCGGATTGATTGTGCGCTGGAATTGGGCTACAGAGAAGCCATCTTCCTCTGAGACCTCGGAGCTCGTATCGTTAATATCACCCCGGCAGAAATTAATAAATCGGGGAGGGTCTGGGATATCTTGACCAGTCCCCCTTTCCTTGATGAAGTAAATGATATCCTTCTCAACCTCACAGCTCTCTAAAGAAAGGCGAATCTTCTCGCACGACTAACCATAACTTAGCAGGCATTCCACTTTAGCAAAACGGGGCACATACAGCATCATCGCTAACGCAAACAGTAGATGCAATGTTCGCATAAGCCCACAGGCTACTCTTGGTAAAGTCGAGTCTTTCCTCTTCGAGGTCTTGGAATTTCTGGACATTCATTAGTTTCATCCACCACCCGCTCGGGTCGTCTTTCGGACATACGTCACAGGCTGATTTCCATTCTTTGTTCCAGCGACCAGTCGTTTCTTCGAGTACTTTAATAGCAGCTTCATATTCACTGCTGCTGGAGGCCAGCTGTATCTGCGTCTTCTCCAACTTTGCTTTGTTTTTGCGTTCTTCCTGTCCCATGACCATATGTCCCTGGGCGAGGTATCCCTTGATCCTTAGGCAGTCTTGCTCATATCGATCCCGGGTCTACAGTCAAATCAGTACGTTGCAATCATTGAGGTAGGCAGCCTCAACTTACCTTGTTAACTGTTTGGGTCTGCTGCATCTTGGTTTTCAGCAGGCGCTCGATCCCTGTTTGTATGATCTTTCTTCTCTCCTTCGATCCACCAGCAAATGCTACCAATGGCTCTTCCAGCTCCCTTTTCATCTGTCCTGCTATAGCTCCATGTGCTTTGGCGATTGCCTCTGTTTCACCGCGAACAACATCGAAGGAAGATCGAAGGGAGCCCAACTCTGTCGACCCAAGGGGTTTTCGGCAAAGAGCTAGAAGCTTGCGCGCATATTCCTCTTCAATGGCAGCCCGGACTGTTTACTTTATTAGGATCTCCTCACATTTACCCAGGGTCGTGATCGGCCCGTCATTCAGAGCACGTACTGTTATAGAACGTCTTGAGTTCATCACAAGACACTTTGGCAGTGTGCATGCGTTCAAGCATGGGCCCAACACCTGCGTCATCCTTTCCCCAGAAATTGTTGGCAACTATTGTAGTATAAAGCGTTAGTAGAGACTAATCATAGTATCATTGGATCTGTTTAGAAGGCATACAGGACATGGCCACTGTTGGCCCATCAGCCACTGTTCCGGGCATAATTTTTTTATTTTATTTTTTTTTTTTGCAGATTATAGTCGGTTAATCCTTCCGAGCTTTGGCCAGCCTTTGCTCATCTGATTACCAGGAATTGAAAGAAGAACAAAGGAGCAGGATCGAATGTAGACCAAAGAAATAAGTAAAAGAAGACGATACTACAACCAGAATAAGATTCCGGAGAATTAGGGAGCAGGAGATAGGTCTGGAGAATATCCCCGGAGACGGCAAAGGGGGAGAGGGGAAAGAAGGGGGAAAGAAAGCCAGAAACCACGGAAAGAATGTTGCAGAACAGCACACAATCGAGCTGCTGGATCTAGTGGAGTTTGATCCTCAGGTAAGGTTGAGTCTGGAATGGAAGACGGGTGATGTTTACAGCTCCACGTTTCTCGGGGCAACCACCGGTCCATCACGGGGGCACGTCATTTAATGTATTTAACGTACTGTACCGTGTACTGTCGTGTCCGCGGCCCACGACCTGCCACTCAAATGAAGAGAATTCAGTAGTCCCGCTGACCCCCCGTGGCTTTAGCGCCCGTTCTGGCATCCAGGGAGTGGGACAACGACTCAAACGTGTGCTGGCAAACCCAATCACTACTTCCAATTTGCCCTCTCCCTTGGGAACTTTACAACGGTTTGGGTAGTAATTGATTATTGACCACGCGTCGTGATTGCTGCCCATTTCCTGAGCGAGTCAGTCAGGTAGGGAAGCAATTCCATCGCCCGTTGTTCAAATTGAGCGCCAGCCACATTTGAGTAGTACAGGTTGCAGATCCATATCGATCCCCAGCCCACTGGAGTATCGCTCACAGTCCATCCCAACCCCAACGGGCTATTCTGCGTCTTTCTGCCGCCGCTTTTTAGTTCCGCCTGCCAAGATAAGCAATCGACGAATTAGCTCCACCAGGCTCCACCACCAATTGGATCTTGCCTAAGGCATGCTTAGTACATACTCTGCACTATGGATATCTATCCACCACTTAGCCCTACTACACATTCTTGAGGCCCTTCGGCTCTTACACGATCTATACCTCACCTATGAGAAATATAGCGCTAACCAACATATGATACTTAGCTCTTTTTAATGTTTAAATAAAATCGAAAGATAGATATTGCTCCTTCTGCGGCCGGTTTCCGAGTCTGTCCCCGTATCCATCTGGTAGGCCAATTCCCATGATCGCGGGCTTACCTCCACACAGGACATGCAATGTTCAAGAAACCACTTTGAAAAGTGCCTAAGGACCTCCTTAAGTACACTGTCTTCGTATAGTAATCTCTAAAGCTTTGCCAGGCATCTGGTGAGTACCTTATCAAGTACAGTACCTGCTGGAACATCTGCTACAGTGCCCGCTCAAGTATCCGACCGCTTCACAAGGCAGCTTCCCCATTACCTAGATCTCATTTTGTACCGTTATTTATCATCCCACATAGAAAGAGTACCGGTGTCAAGGCCTTGAATGTTCCTGTTTCTCAAGAAACTTCCACATCTTCCCAAGTCACGTCGAGGAGGAGGGGGTATCGTTAGGCAGGGCTAATTCGGCCGTCCGGGAGAATCACGTATATAAACGGTAACTCAGAAATGAAGAAGGACCATTTGTCAGCCGTCACTGAGTAGGTGCGGTGTGGTCAACCCGACTCCTGGTCACAATCAGACTTGTGAGAGAATGGAACTCCCATACACATAGACTTCTCTAAGACATTTGGCTAGAAGTGGTCCTACCTGATGAGGAGATATGGAAGAGCATCAGTCTGGTGCCCGAGTCGCACGACGAGGTCGTCAACACATAGAAAATTGAGAAATGCAGCTCAATGATGCAGAGTGGGTGTAAAGTGAAAGGGCAAATAAAAAGCTGAGTTATTGTAAGGAGGCGCGCCTTTTAACAAGGCAGATTGCAAGCAGAAATAGCTAGGTGCGCAGGGAGGAAAGCACCGAGATTTTGAAGACAGGTAGCTCGAGACCAGGCTATAAGCGGTACTTTCCCTACGTAGACGATATTACAACAGTGGAAAGTGCTTCTGCTCAGTTCATACAAGAACATTGGTTTACTCGTAGTGCTGCCATAAATCCATGACCTGGAGATGCAGAATATGAAGCTGATTAGAAGTAGTAAAATATTAGTCGGACAAGGATCAAACCCTTGGTTGGCACCATTCCCCTGCTAAACTTATCCATCGTAAAATAACCTCGAACATTCCTAGTTGCATCTATGATAACATGGCCAGACGAAATTGAATGTGAATATTCGAACTCCGTCCTTCCTCAGGTTCCTAGGGCTGGGTGCCTGGCTATAGATTCATACTCTCTTGCTAACTTCTTATGTCAACTCTAGTTCTAGTCTTCACGTCCGGAAATATACATCCATGGCCCACAACAAAAACATCCCCAAACAAGAGGATCGTATAGCAAGCGACATCGCCGAAGATGAACTTGTAAGTGCACTAAAGGCATGACCAGATGGAATCAGGATTAACTTTTCCAGATCACCTGAGACGGGCCAGGTGATCTTGAATACCCAAAGAATTGGGCCACTTCTCGAATGTGGCTGGCGATTTTCTCAATTTCAAGCTTTGTCCTCATGAATCCATTTTTAACAACTTTTGTCGCTCCTGCTTTAGACATTATTACGGAAGAGCTCAACGTCACAACTTCGCCACGAGTGATCATGTCGATCTCTGAGTTGGAGGTGCTGGATGTACAATGTAAGTTTTTGATTAAATCGACTACCAGAATACTGGCACCTGGTAAACCATAATAGAATATCTTTGGGCAGCTTAGCCTCGAATCAAACCAATCTGTAAATGATCGAGCACTTACAGACCAGGTTATGTCTCGCTGCATGAAGACTTAATCAGACAGCGATACTACCGGCAGGGCTGTGTTCAGCAGCGACCTTGAGGTCTTGTATATAGGTTCCCGCTTCCATTGGGTCTCATTCACAAGCTTTCGATGTAACAAGAAGCAGTTGTACTGTTGGTCCATATAAGTTGTCATCACGACATGTCGTTGTGGAGGAATGTGTTGAGATTCACTGAGCTCGTCGTACTTTAGCTCTTGCGGATTCTAACCCCAGAGAATTTCGTGTCTAGTTAGTATATCCCTAAATAATAGCCATTAGTAGAGCTGATATGGTATTAGCAAGTTACTCACCGAGCTAATATTCCGCTATTATTAGTGAATTGTGTTTGAAGACACACCCCAAGTACCTCCTCTCGAAACTGACTAACTATCAGCTTCATCTGTCTCCAGGTTGAGCCGCGAAATTGTTAATCCAGATTCTAACCATTCGCGTCGACATTACACAATGCGCTATGCAACTCATCACCCTCTAACAGTAAAACTCCATCGTTGATATCATCAGGCATGATACGGGCACAATTTAAACCGGAGATTCTTGGCGGCCGGCCGAGAATAATGCTAAAAGTTTTATCCGTTGAATAGATTTGGGCAGCATATCTCTTTCCCATCTCAAGTTGGTAGAATGGATGGATTTCCTCAGATTTAGCATCCTCGTGGTGAAGTCCAAGGGCGTATAACATACTCGAGAGATCGCCCATACAGCGCCAGAATTGAAAACCTGTCGTATCAACCTTGAGCACAATAGAATGATTCCGTCTGAGTATCTTTCGTAGTTATCACGTAAATTTATTAATTAATGGGTCTCTCTAAGTAAAACTATACTAACAAGGGATAATAAAACTAGGGATCATATTCTGGGCTTTGGTAGTATATAGTACATATATGTGAGGTCGCTTAAATAAATTAATAACTATTATTTTTGAATCATATTAAAGTTTAGGCGAAAGACAAGTCACAGTATCTAGCTCTAAAATTTACACCCTTGCAGAGAAATGTCATTTCTAGCTTGCAAACTTAAGCATCCCTGCTCATGACCGCTTTTCTACTTCAGCTCCACACTAGAAGAACCATCGATTCAATCGTCTAGATCGACACTGGTGACGGTCTTGGGGTTCTGCGCCATTCGTACGACGATGTAATCACGATTCATGGATCATGATTCATGGATCTAGTGGCACCAAACTATTATGTCAGTCGCTTGAAAGGTGGTCTCCTGAACTTATACTCAAAGGCCCAAGCATGTGGGGAAGTCCAACATCTGTTGAAATCACGACATGGTCTAGAGAGACGCAAGATTGAACCCTAGCAAAGGTAGTGCAATTTAATGCAGGAAACGATTTCCGACCTGTCCAAGAACACTTCCGTATATACCAGGTGTACCTGCCATGTAGCTAGAAACAAAGACTCGTCATATGTAGTATCTAATGGTGATATATGGAGCCCTCACGCATATTTTGACCGTTACCCTTGTTGGTGTAGAGACACTATCCATATACTCCTCCTATCTCTCTCTCTATATATGTATCTATATATATGTACGCCTAGACATCCAATGGTCTATTCAAACCCATTTATGATCCCTCAACTAGGTATTACATACATTTACAAAATGAATATTTTGCTGGACAAGACGCTCATCCCTGTCGCACCCGGGTTTTACATCACCCTCACTGTTGTAACTATCCTATCTAGCCTCACAGATCAATGGACATGATAGATCGCCTCACGAAGACTTGACTCAGCAAAACCGATTGTCTTGTTTGAGTCGCGATCTATATACAGTAGTAGTAGTAAGCACTATGTGTTTAGGGGTGGATTAAATTACGCTAATGTTGGGTTATTATAGCAAAATGGATGCACGGCATAGCCTTTTATTTGACTAAGGATACGCCATAGCCATCATGATTCTGTCTTGATTTTATAATATCTCTGCATAAACAACCTATCTGCCTAAGACAGTATTCCGGACGCTTGACAGCCTTGGAGGTGTCATTTCGGGTATAATCTCAAAAGTAATAATAATATCGGGGTCCGAAATGCTCATTGTTGGGTTGTCAACATTTACCTCTAACAGTAATAGTTTGTGAACATGTCTCCTCGGTCATACAAAAGGCTCATGATCCACATCCACTCGGGGTCTCCTATATACTATCATAGCTGCTAGTATCTACATATCTTCGACATTCCATAAGATACCTGGTCCCTCCCGATAGGACGCTGCACTGTTATAGTACATTGATAAAAAGAGGGGGGCAAAGCGAAAATAGTTTTAATGATGGATTAGTGGCCAAAATATCTCAATTATTTGACAGTGAGTGGTTAAGAGGAGAACAAGAAGAACGAGGGAAAAGTAGTGAATGGATGGTCTCAACCTCCAAGCAGCGTGTTATAAGCATGCAACGTTGATGCCAAGCCGCTGCTCGACCCTAATCCTGGCCAGGAACGCCATGCCTCTTCCAGTAACTCGCTGTCATAGCCCCGTGCAGCCATTGTATGGTGACTAAGATATTATATAATTTGAAAACATAGGCTCACGTGCACTCAATATAATCATGAATGCCAGCAACATTTGACCGCAAAAATGTGGAGCCGTAGGCTCTGTGTGCTGAGCAGAGTAGTGTGCGGTGTAAAAAAAAAAATTCTTAGTTATCCACTACATACGAAACCTCAATGGGCGTCTCATTCTCTGTTTGATCCGTTAGGTAGTTTCTCTTGGGCATCATTGTTTATGTTCCATAGCCCTAGTACTAAAGACAGCCTTCGGGGCCCTGTAGCCTGAGGTAGAAACTAAGCACCAATCCGAGCTAGTGCTGTCAGCCTCAGGCAGCATCTCCACCTGCCGTCCACTCAACCTCTCTTTCTCTGTCCGTCATTAACTCGGAACTTCCAACCTGTGCCACGAAGCAACATTCATCCTCATTGTCATCCTATTTTGGCTCTGCCACCGCAAGATCTACCCTTATTGCAATCAAGTAAACAACAGCGTCATAATTAGGTTGCAAACTTCCGTCGACTGTCGTCACGAATAAAAATTTGTCGTCGCCTTCAGATCAAATGATCGCGTCTCCTAGATGACCTTCCCTCCCCCTCCTCCTTCCTCCCAATCGTCGATTGCTTCTGGCACCGATAAGTCTTCCACGATCAGACCTGGAAGGTCACAGCAATCTGCCTGGGGTCCATCCGTGTCCCAGTCCAGCGTTCGCCGTGGACTGACTCCGCTTGCGACCAACAATCTCGCATCGTCATCTTTCCCCTCTGCCTCTTCCCGAGGGCCACCTCAGTCCAGTAGTCCTGGTCCGGGCGGTTCAACTTCATCTCCTTTGACCTCCTCCTTCTCTGCGGTTCTGAGTTCCGCACGAGGCTTTCCAGGCGGCCGGAACGCGCCCTCACCTGCCTCCACACCGTCACCATTCACCTCCTTCCAATCTGGCTCGCAACAACATCAGCAGCCCGGACAATCTCTCTCGTCTCCTAAATTCAGAGCCCATACCCCGTCGTCTGGGTCACATCTGGCTTCCACAGCGGGTTCTATCGCGGGTGGTGGAGGCTCCGGGGGAGGCGGAGGTGGGACGGGATCTTCCAGAGGCGCCACCTTCTCTCCGTTGTCATCTGGGACAACGGTAAACTCACCTACAGGGTTTCCTTCTGACAAATCGGGCTCGGCAGCTGCAGCTCACGCAAGCCAGTCTTCGTTAACAAAAATATCTATCGCTCAAGTATTTCTTCTCCTAGATTCAATTACGGAGAAAGAAGGTCGAGAGAAGTGGGACACGAAAGCTGGTCAGATTCATAAAGTAAGCCAATTTATCTTTGTTCGGAATCCTTGCAACGCGAACTATCGCTAATGTATTGTTGCTTCTAGCTTGTTGAGTCCAACGGCATGGAGGTCTTTTCCAAATATTTCAGGCGCCTTCTCACAGGTAACGCCCCTCAGATCTTTCCCGGTGTGAATAAGTCTGTGGAAAATGCCGGGAACTATCCTCTCCTGGTGCAAGAGATGCAAAAGGTATCTCAAGACATCGAACAGGCCCAGAAAATCGCGGAGACGGTAGATACTTCCGAGGGCGATATTTTCCGAGATTTCGACCTTTCAACGTTCCTGGATCATTTCAAGCTTGATCCTATCTTGAAAGTTTCACTTGCGCTGGCTTTTAAGATGGCTAACAAGTCGGACTTGCGCGCAAAGGGTAAGTCTGTCGCTTCGGATGCTTTTAGTAGTGATCGGTGTCTCACCATTCCCGCTTTTAGCTGATGCAATCCTCTCCAACTCGATACCTCCATTCCTCCAAAGCCTCGCGACTCCGTCGGAGATAACCAAGGACTATAAGAATGCCTGTATCGGAATGACGATTGAGCGCTTCATCCTGTACCCACCACGCAATTTCACGGACGAAGTGAAGGCCAAGCTCGTATATGCGGCCAATCTACGCTATACGAGACTGGGCGTAGAGATGCCTTTTGAAATTGCATCTGCCCTGCAAATGTTCAATTTCATCAACCCGAGATATACTCTAGTCCGTCAATTGCACTCAAAGGGGCCGAAAGCGACTTCAAACCCAGACGCTGTGACTGAAACCATTAACTCAGCCGGCTCAGAATGCTGGAATGAGGAACATCTTGCTAGTGCACTGTTATTCTTGGTACTGTCACAATATTGGCAGGAATTTTCCCTTGAAACATTCCTTGCAGCTGTCAAGTCACATTACGGTGAAAAACAAATAAGCTGGCCTCTGATTTTCCGGAGCTTTGATCGGGAAGGCTTGAGACTAGATGCGAAGCAATTCGCCAAACTATATTCGGCTCTCTTAGCTGCTGCTTCCGAAGACCCGACCTTGGACGTTCAGAAACTCTGGGGCGGCGATTGGGAACATCGTGACACTCAGCTGTCCTTTCTCACGGCTTTCCTTGTCTCTCGAACCGATGTGTCGCAGATCCCCAACCTCCGCGCTACTTTCCCTCCAGACTTTTTTGCGGACGGCCCTGAGCTTGTTCGTTTACAAGGAGAGCGTGCAGCAAAATCACCCCTACGGTCTTTGGATGCCATGAGAGCTTTGTTCGATCTCTCCTTGTTCTCTCAGGCCTCCTGGGCGGTCGCCGAGAGTCAACTGCTTATCAAGGCCATCGTTCAATATGATCTCCCTGTCTTCCTATGCTCAGCGTTGACCCTTCCACAGCCGTGGACCACCGTTCAGCAAAGCTTCGTCCTCCGGACACTAGTTGTTTTCATACTAAAACAAGAGGAAGGATACCAGTTGGCTCTGCATGGAGCGTGGCGTCAAGATAAGCAATGGCTGGCGGAGCAACTTTTCACTACATTCACTCAGGATCCGACTTCTACTGCTGCCATATACGAGCATGCTGTCGAATACAATTGGCTGGATTTCCTACTAGGATACACAAATGGCCTCGCCATGGATCTTGCCTGTTATGCTCACCGTAAGGGGCCTTTCGATTTGGAACAATGGGTGCGCAATGCTGCCCAAAAGGGTCCCATGGATATGGGCAGCTTATTGTCCAAGTTTCTGAGGATAAAGGCGGAGGACGAGCTTCATGTTCAAAGGAAAGAGCAACCCGCGCCTCAAATGGTCAGCCTTTCTGTGAAGACCGTCTATACCTTGCTGTCTGTCTTGGAGGAATACGTTGGTGATCGTGAGAACCTCACACCAGTGCAACGGATCTGTATCCAGACGTATCCTAGGTTGATCAATTACGGAGAAGGTTTTGATGATATTATCGATGCCAACGGTGAAAACGGAAACTCTTTGCCTGAGGCCGTTGATAAGCAGATGCAGGAGTTGTTCGGTAAGATGTATCATGAAGAACTGTCCCTGAGAGAAATTCTCGAGTTGATGAGACGATATAAGTCTTCGCGCGAACCCGCTGAGCAAGACTTGTTCGCCTGTATGGTCCACGGACTCATCGATGAGTACCATTGCTACCATGAGTATCCATTGGAAGCTCTCACAAAGACAGCTGTCATGTTTGGCGGTATCATTAACTTCCGACTTGTTGATGGTATCACCTTAAAGGTCGGTTTGGGCATGATTTTGGAAGCCGTGCGCGAACATGACATGCATGACCCGATGTACAAGTTTGGAGTTGAAGCTATCGAGCAGTTGATCAACCGACTTCCAGAATGGGCGGGCTTTTGTCATCTGCTATTGCAGATTCCGACTTTGCAGGGCTCTCCAATCTTTCAAAAAGCCGAAGAGGTGCTTCACGAACAAGGAAACCAGGCCCGCGACTCCGATACTGCTCGGCTGGATAATGCTTCCGCTGGATCTATTACTAATGGTAATGTTGTGGACGAGACTGCTGCCGCTGACGGAACAAGTCGTAAATTCATTTCTGTACATGTTGATTCCCCTCTCCGACCCGAAGTCTACAAGGACCCCGACGAGGATGTGCAGGACAAGATTCTATTTGTACTGAACAACGTATCGGAGCAGAACATCGAGGAGAAGCTACGAGATCTCACCGATGTTCTCCGGGATCAACACCACCAATGGTTTGCTTCGTATTTGGTGGAAGAACGGGCAAAACTGCAGCCTAATTTCCAGCAGTTGTACCTTGACCTCCTTGATCGCATTAATGATAGGGTGCTTTGGGCGGAAGTTCTGCGAGAAACATACGTCAGCGTTTCCAAGCTGCTTAATTCCGAGGCCACTCTGAATAATTCCACCGACCGTGGGCATTTAAAGAATCTTGGCTTATGGCTTGGATCCTTGACTATCGCAAAGGATAAACCAGTCAAGCACAAAAATGTCTACTTTAAGGGGCTTCTCTTGGAAGGTTATGACAGCCAACGCCTGACGATCGTGATCCCATTCACCTGTAAGGTGTTGGTCCAGGCTACCAAGTCTACAGTCTTCAACCCACCAAATCCTTGGCTCATGGATATCCTGGCACTTTTGATGGAGCTCTATCACTTTGCAGAATTGAAACTGAATCTCAAGTTTGAAATAGAGGTTCTATGCAAAGACCTTGATCTTGACCATAAAGCCATTGAACCTTCCGTCATCATTCGAGACCGTTCAGCGCACATTGAGGATGCGTTGTCGACAGCCAACATTCCTGAAGGTCTCGAAGCGTTTGAAGACATGGCACTTACAAGCATCAACCAAGGCATTCGTCACGAAAGGCTATCACCCGCCGCTATTATGTCGACGCTGCCAAGCTTAGATAAGATTCTTGTCTTGCCGTCGTCCGCAAGCAGCATGGTGGACCCCAACGTCCTTCGACAAATTGTACACAGTTCCGTCGAACGTGCTATTGCAGAGATTATAACGCCTGTGGTGGAACGGTCAGTAACCATTGCCTCCATCTCGACAGTTCAATTGGTCTCAAAGGATTTCGCCATGGAGCCCGACGAGGAGAAGGTCCGACATGCGGCTGGCATAATGGTTAGGCAACTTGCTGGTAGCCTGGCCCTTGTCACTTGTAAAGAGCCTCTGAAGGTCAGCATGACCAACTATATCCGTATGATCCAGCAAGAGTATTCTGACCAGCCTATGCCTGAGGGGCTTATCCTGATGTGTGTTAATGATAACCTGGATGCCGCATGCGGTATTGTGGAGAAGGCAGCAGAAGAAAAGTCACTTCCAGAGATCGAAAAGGTCATTGAGCCGCAGTTAGAAGCCCGTCGCCGTCATCGTGCGGCCCGGCCCAATGAGCCATTCATTGATCCATCGATGAACCGCTGGGGGCTTTTCATTCCCGAGCCTTATCGGCAGGCACCTGGTGGACTCAACAAAGAACAGCTGGCTATCTATGAAGAGTTCGCCCGCCAGTCTCGTGGGCCGGCAACAACTCATATCCCCAATGTTTCGACTGACTCTGGCCGCATTCCAGATGTTCTACAGGATCCTTATACCGCCATACCGAACCTTTCCACACCTGCAGAGCAGCCTGCTGTTCCTCACCGAACACCACAGGCGCAACAGGATGCCAGGTTGCAGCAGTCTGGGCTCGTCAGTGCACAGTCGCAGCTCAATGGGTTCCTTGAAGCACAGAGTCCGCGCGAGAAGGTTGAGAGCATCGTTTCCGATCTTCAACAAGCTGCAAGAAATGCGTCTGAGGAGCGTGTTAGAGATCTTGGAAGAGACAGCGGCGTCCTACAAGAGTACAACCAAGCCTTGCGGGCTATTCTCGCATCTCCCAACGGTGAGGAACTGGCGCGGTTGACGTCACTCAAGATCTGCACAAGTCTATTCTCGCAGACTCAAGGCACATTAGAGATTGAAGTACTCGTACATCTTCTTGCCAAGCTGTGCGATATGTCGTCTCTAGTAGCACGATACACCTGGGCGGTCCTATCGGAAGTTGATGATGAGCACATGTTCAATGTCCCGGTCACTGTCGCCCTCATTGATGCTGGACTTTTGGACATTCGTCGCGTCGATATGATATTGACAAGGCTTATTCTTCAGAAGAATACTGGTGCTCTAGATGTCCTTGCCAATCTGATGGACCGTGTTCTTTTCAGCGAGGAGCCTTCCGCCTTGAGGTCTGACTTCTCAGGCAGTCTTGAAGCTATGAGCCAGTGGCTTGCAGAAGACTCCGGTCTTTCGACTGCCAGCGACATTATCAACAAGCTGCGCGAGTCTGGGATTCCTGAAGTTGTTAACCCTCTACTCAGCGATAAAGCGAGAGCGAAACGTGATCAAATGGAGTACATCTTCAGCGAATGGATCGGAATTTACAAGGCTCCGGGTGCAATTGATCGCACCTATTATTCTTTCCTCAAGGATATCCATGAAAGACAAGTCATGGACAACCAAGAAGATTCTGCCTTATTCTTCCGTCTTAGCATCGATATTTCCGTTGCAATGTTTGAGCATGAGTCTCAAAATCCTAATGGCAGCCTTGATGAAGCCTACCTCTACATCGATGCCCTCGCAAAGCTGGTTGTACTTCTTGTCAAATTCCAGGGCGAGACACCAGGAGCTACCAAGACTAGCAAGTCAGTCTACTTCAATTCTATCCTGTCATTACTGGTGCTCGTTCTCAACCACCATCATGTTATGAGGGGTGAAGCCTTCAACCAGCGCGTCTTCTTTAGGCTCTTCTCAAGTATCCTTTGCGAATATTCCTTGAACGGCCTTCAACAGAGCGAACAACATCAAGAGATGATGTTTGCCTTGGCTAACAAATTCTTGTCACTCCAACCTAAGTACTGCCCCGCGTTTGTTTACGGGTGGCTAGCGTTAGTCTCGCACAGGTTCTTCATGTCAGGTATGTTGAACATGCCAGAGCGTACGGGCTGGGGCCCTTATTGCGAGATCATGCAAGCTCTTCTTGCTTATATCGGCGAGCAACTCAAGCCTGCAAACATCTCCTATGTTATCAAGGACATGTATAAGGGCGTGCTTCGCATCCTGCTCATCCTGCATCATGACTTCCCCGAGTTTGTGGCGGAAAACCATTTCCAGTTCTGCAATGTTATCCCCGCACACTGCGCTCAGCTTCGAAATCTTGTCCTGAGCGCCTATCCGTCATCCTTCCACAAACTACCAGATCCGTTTAGAGAGGGCCTGAAGGTCGAACGGCTGGAGGAGATGCGGGAAGCGCCAAAGATCGCTGGTGACACGGCAGCTCCACTCCAGCAGGCGAACATCAAGAGTGTAGTTGACTCTTCGCTTCACAGCGGAAATGCGTCGGAAGCGGCTTTGCAGCAGATTTGTGAAGCCGTGTACAACCCGACTACCAAGGAGACCGGCCTCTTCTACACGCCAATCAACGTCAATGTGGTGCTTCTGAATGCCCTGGTGCTCTACATCGGCCAGAGCGCTGTCTCTGCCAATGCATCTAAGGGCAACACTCGTGCAGCATTTGACAACTCCCCTCATTCAGCCCTTCTTGAGAGATTAGCGAAAGCCTTGCGGCCTGAAGCGCGCTATTACCTGCTGAGCGCGATGGCGAACCAGCTTCGGTATCCTAACAGTCACACCTACTTCTTCAGTTTCGCAATTCTCCGTCTGTTCGGTTCCGACTACTCAGAACAGGATGAGTCCGACATTCGCCAGCAGATCATTCGGGTGCTGCTTGAGCGACTTATCGTTCATCGTCCTCATCCTTGGGGATTGATTATCACTCTGCAAGAACTGCTTCAGAATCGAAGCTACACCTTTTTCCGTCTTCCCTTTATTCAGGCGGCGCCTGAGGTGAGTCATTTTTATCCCGCGTTCGCTCGATTGAACAAGCAACTAACCAGAGATGTCATCAGATCGGTCGTTTATTCGATGCACTCCTGCAGCACATTCAACAGCAAAGCCCTAGAGCGTTGGCCTAGGCATTGACGAAGAATCAGCACCTTTTGCTATATTCTCTATTAATACGAAGAACTTGACCTTGCCACGATGTCTTATTTCTGACATGAATGTTTTCATGGTGATTGCCGATGCCGCTCATGACATTTAGCATCCATATTTACGGAGCTCTGCTGGGATGTATGATTTGTTGAAGAGTTCTTTTCCTCTATTATCTTTTTTTTTAAGTGGGCCGTCTGTACTGCTTTACCTCGTTATCATTTCTCGGTTGGGTTTCTGGGAGGGATATGCATACCACTAGGAGGACATGTCAGCACGGTTCAAAGCTACATGAAACCTTTTCTCATTTTTTTCTTTCACTTTCTTCACCCTATTCTTTTTTTTTTTTACCAATTCCTTTCTCCCTTGTACTTCTGTTGGACATTTGCGTCACTCCGGTTCTGGTGGCCTGTAACGATAAGTATAAAAAATACGGGGGTATAATGAGGTTTTGTTTTACTTTGCATTTTCAATGGCATTTGGGAGTTTGATCCGATCGACATGGAGTAGTGAATGTGCAAATCCATTGTAATTGATGCCGAAGGATAGAATCTTTCTCGTAGTAAGTAGGTAGTGTATTTGTAGCTACTGGGAGAGTAGTTTAAATTAAATGGATACCTGAGAAGGAAGGTTCACATGTTCCCGCGGAAGAGAGAGAGACCCTGTGACGTCGACGCGACCCCGTCAAAATAGTTCAGGTAGACTCACAATATACTCCGACACAGCTGTCACAAAAATTTGCTTCGATTACCCTCCCTTTATTTCCTCATTACCGCATCATGGAATCTGAGTATACTTCCGAAGAAGATTCAGGTCATAAGCCTACAGTGGTAACTAGGACAACGGTAAGAGCCAACACCAACATAGGAGATGATCGAATTGGTGCCCTAACAGCTCTACCATAACGCGCAGAACGCACTGGTCAAGTACAGCCGACCATTATTCTCAAAACAAGCCCAGAAGGCATATTTGGGAACCTTGCTATTTGTTGGCACGGGCCTATGCATGCTGTTTGGGTCCGCCCTCGCCTATGGGATTTTCTACTACAGATTCGTTCCCCAAGTCGGCGTTGGACGCGTGGTGCATTTACAATTCGGGTCAGTACAGGATTGATCGGCAAATATCTGGAGATAACCTGGATGCTTTGGTCTGAGGCATCTGTTTGCTAATCGTACCTGCTAATAGTGATGGGCATCCTTGGGGAATCGCGTCGCTCGGCTCCGAATTGGTCTCCCTTCAGCCATACGACATAAACGTGGAGATTGAATTGCCTCGTACCCCGTCAAACCTTGCCGCTGGGAATTTTATGCTCGATCTGACTCTCCTTTCCCATCCTTCGACGTCTGTCCTGACGGGCACGAATAACTCTACGTATCCTATATCACGATCGCGCCGTTCTGCTATCCTGACATACGCCTCGCCTCTAGTGGATACAGCCAGCAAGCTCTCATTTATGCCGTTCTATGTGTTTGGCTGGTCACAGGAGGCAGAGAAGCTGGTGGTACCAATGATGGAACGGGTTGAGTTTGCCCGCGGATGGCGTAATCTGCCTGAAAGGTTGCGGCTGGAAATCCATAGCAGTGAGGAGATGCAGATATACAAAACAACGGTGGAATTCAGAGCTAGGTTTACTGGATTGAGGTATGGCGCCCAGGGCCCCAACGGGTTGCTGTTTGGGGTGTGACTACTGTGACTAACGGTACAGCAGATGGATGATGTACAACTGGAAGATCACGTCGTTCTTTATCTTTAGTTCCTTGTTCTGGAGTATCTGTATGACATCAGCAAGCATTTCTTGGGTGATTATAGCTTCTATATCAAGCACGGGTACGCGTGAACCGGAGGTGAAGGAAGAAGCGGGCGACGAAACGCCGATCAAGCAAGAACCTTCTGAGGAAACATCCTCTCTCATGGAGGCACCCTCTGCTTCTTCCACTATTCCAGGAGGGAAGCGGAGGATCAAGAGAGAAGATGAGTATGAGGCAGATGACGACGAATCCGAGGGTTCGCCAAGAGACCGAGGTACATTATCGTCCAAGGAGGTCGGTGCGGGGACGACGGGGTTGGAAAGTGCTGAGGCTCGTGGTGTTCAACGAAGGCGAAGCCGCCTGTTCAATAATGAACCGTCCTAATCGGCTTCAATGTCTTTCGTAATGATTTTCCAAGTCGGCGTCTTTTTTTTTTCTTTTTCACAGGATTGATACCCCATCATCCGCGGAAGCCATTGTGTTGATCGAGACCTCTTTTGAGGCGCAAACGATCCTGTAGTAACACTTCTTGTACACTGAATATCATTTCTCTTGTGCGGATGATCGGGTTTACACGAGATCATGTTAGGCTGCAAGGTGAATTAGTGTCCAAAGTAATGCCACGTACCGAGTACTGGGTACAGATAAAGATAACTATAAAATATATTTAATGGCGTTATCGATAACGGAAAGTGGGCTGTTGGCAAGGCGGGGAAAAAATAGGGAAAATCAGTCCCAATTGTTTGATCATCTTTCTTACCTCTTCGACCAAGTTTGAGACCAACTGATTTTTATCTTCCTTATTACTGACCCTCAATGCATCTTCTGGTGAGTGGATTTGTTCTGTAACCATTACGTCCACTGTTCAATCGCATACTCTACTTAACCCCCCGCTGGTCGCATATGAATTTGCTTATCCGTGAGGTTCTCCTCCTCTAGGTTGTGAACGACGACGGCCCTCCGTCAAATCAGTCGTCTCCTTATGTCCATTCCCTTGTCGTTGCGCTACAGTCGGCAGGCCATGTGGTTTCCGTAGTTCTCCCCCATCAGCAACGATCATGGATCGGTAAAGCCCACTTAATCGGCGCCTCCGTGAAGCCTACCTACTTCCGTCCTGGAACGCTGCATCAGGACGATGGAACGACGCATGACCTGCCTCGAGGTAGTGACCCTGCTGACAACGATGATAACGACGATGGTGATGAATGGATCCTCGTTGATTCTACCCCGGCCAGCTGTGTCCAGATTGGGTTATACCACTATTTTGAGGACCGTGGCCCTGTTGACCTAGTGGTGTCTGGCCCGAACTACGGCCGGAATTCGACGGCTCTATTCGCCTTATCGAGTGGGACAATCGGTGGTGCCATGGAGGCAGCCGTCTGTGGGAAGCGCTCAATTGCACTGTCGTACGCCTTTAGTTCAAGGGACCACGACCCCGTTGTGATTGCCGAGGCATCGCGTCATTCGGTCCGGTTGATCGAGTACCTGGCAAAGAACTGGGCGGACGGTGTAGACCTTTACAGCGTCAATGTCCCGTTAGAGCCTGGTGTGAGCCAGAGCAAGGTTCTCTATACTGACATGCTTGATAACCGATGGACATCTGGTAGCTGTTTTCGAGCTGTTGATGCCTCGGTGCCGAATGCGAATCCCGAACTGCAGGAGCACAATGTGCGACACCAGGATCAGAAATCAGGGCAAGAATTATCCGTGAATGCCAATGGAAGTACCACGAGAAGATCTCGGATTCAACACAAACATTTCCAGTGGGCACCGAACTTCTCGGATGTATACAGGAGTGTGGAGGAAAGCACACCAGGCAATGATGGCTGGGTCGTCAAGGAAGGAATGACAAGGTATATCAATTCTACTATTTCGCCCCAGTATGGTGTCATGTTGGTCGCTAATTCGTGCCAGTGTTACACCTCTGCGAGCGAACTTTATGCATCAACCCGGTATTCAAGGAGAGATCAAGCTGTGAGTGGAATTTCTCGGCGAGTGAAGCCAAGATTAGATATGACTGCCTAGAACATAATGTTGCGGAACTTTTAAACTTCTAAGCTTTTTGGCATACTTCTGGCTTTTCTTCCCTTTCCCGGCATTGTCTTATTACTTGTTACCTGTGGCTGCTTGGAAGACCGGCATTCTGATAGATCTATATCATGTAGACCGGACAATGGTGAGCCTACGTTATACTCCATTGTGGACAGTGATGTTCCATACGTTCAGGATTTGATGGAACGGGCCCTGCAGCGTCGCCTTGGCAAGGGTCGCTATAAGACGATATCTTCGCTGTCAGACCTTCCGTCTCGTTCTGCGCCTCTTTTCCAGTACCGGGAATACGAGCGACTCGACTTCGAACACGTCATGGTACATTCATCTACATCTTTGGCGAATGCCTACATTATCCGCAAGGCGTTAATTCGCAAGCATTACCTATCTAACACAATCTCCAACTGGGTGACGAAACATCCAGACAGCGTTTTAGGAAAGCATTTCAAATTTGCATTCGATTTCGAGCTGGACTACGCAGAATTCCTCGACGACGCGTTACTGGAAGCCTACGAACTACGGGACAGTTTGCAAAAGAATGAGGAGAGGCCGATTCATGAAAAGGAGTGGTGGATCCTGAAACCCGGAATGAGTGATCGGGGACAAGGAATTCGACTCTTCAGCAGCGAAGATCAACTGCGCGAAATATTTGAGGAGTGGGAAGTCGACGAATCTGATATAGAAAGTGGATCGGAGCGCGCTGAAGAGGATGGCGAGAACGAGAATGGAACAGGGGTGGTCACCTCCCAATTACGCCATTTCATTGCACAACCGTATATCGATCCACCCCTCCTCCTCCCATCATCATCTAACCGCAAGTTCCACATCCGCACCTATGTCCTCGCAGTGGGCTCTTTGAAGGTGTACGTCTTCAAGGAAATGTTGGCTCTGTTTGCTGCAAAGCCATACTGTCCACCTTCGGAGGATGAAGACGAGGTCACAGATCTGGCGAGGCATCTTACGAATACCTGCTTCCAGGAAGGTGGAAGCGCCAACGAAGGAACCGTCCGGAGATTTTGGAATTTAGATCCCCACGTCCCTGGGCTCAGCCCCGATTGGAAGGAGAAGGTGTTTGACCAAATCTGCGCTGTGAGTGGTGAAGCGTTCGAGGCGGCTGCCCGTGGAATGATGATCCATTTCCAAACGCTCCCTAACGCCTTCGAGCTTTTCGGCGTGGACTTCCTGGTCGATCAAGACGGCACCGCTTGGCTGCTCGAGATGAACGCCTATCCGGACTTTGCCCAGACAGGTGAAGAACTCAAGGAGGAAGTGGTTGGCCGTCTCTTTGAGGAGACTGTGGAGGTTGCTGTGAAGCCGTTCTTTGGTGGCGAGGCGCCAGTGGATGGAACTGACCACTTAAGGCTGGTCGCCAATTTTGATTTGGGCAGGAAGTTCTAGTCATGCCTGCTTCTCCAGTTCAGGCTAGGCATCAGTATTCTGTTGCTCTTGGGTTGGGAAACTCATAGGGGCAGGCGCTGATAGAGTGTATAAATGGGAAGGAATGAAAAATATAGAAAGAGGGTTTGTGTTACTATACCCAGATATAGTTCCCATATAGGGTTCAGCCGAACACCGGGAGCTCAATATATATATATATATATATAAACCCCCACACAGTCTTTCGGAATACTAGGAGACATCAATTGGCCAAGTGTACTGAAGCAGCATGAAATGAGGACAGAGACAGGCAATGTAGGTTGAAATCGTGTCGCTGCCTTCATTAATATCTAAAAATCATGTACAATGTAATTCATAAGTGCGAGCCACTTCTAGACACATTCCAGAACTATTGGCCTGCAGAGCATTCCCTGTCCTGAGAACATAGTACTGTACGCATGCATTAGTACTGCAGCATGCAAGGTTCCGATCCGTTCCCGCAAGATTCAAGGCAAGACTTGCTAGTATTACAATAAAGACATACCACTAAGATAAATTGTGCTAAATATATGCTTGATTCTAGGTAAACTGTCATAACGCACGGCAGTAGATATGATGAGAAAGAACATTCTTCTGTACAGTAGAAATTTGAGCCGTAGAAAAAAACACAGTATTCTCACCCAAACCGCTGCTTTGCCAGCGTCTTAAGCCATCCAATTGTTTCATCCTCCTTCTGGCGATATTGCTGCAATCTTTCCTCTCGCTCCGCAGCGCGTGCGCGGAGTATTTCTTCCCTCCGGATTTCCCGTTCGTTCTTCTTTCGCTGCTCTGTCGCCCTAGCCCTCTTGATGGCGTCCAGATCATTGTCCGCGGAGCCCATCAATTCATCTTCAGGAGCTCCATCAGGAGAAGCACCCCGTCGGGACTCAGCAAAGGCTCGATTCGCAGCAGCAGCCTCCCGACGTTTCTCCATCTTCCGCTCATGAGTCCCCGGTTCAGCTCGCGGCGCAACCTCATCTTCCATATGTCGTAACTCAGACCGATGCGAGCGCACCTCAGCACGGTGCTGTGTCCGCGAGTCCTCCCGCGCCGCAATAGCGTCTTCAATCGCCGATTCTGCACAATAACAGCACCCCAGATTAACCAAAGTAAGACAACCAGAACCAAGCACTGAAATTCACTCATACCTTTCCGCAACTCCAGATCCTGCATCGTAGGAATAGTTGGACCGGACGACTGTCCCGCACGACCCCCTTCATACCGATCTAACTGGCCATATTTCGGAAGAACAGGCCCATAATCATCCTCCTCCTCGTCGGGATCATCCTCATCCTCCCGGTCCACCCTTTCATCCTCACCCCGGCCGTAATCCGGGGATTGACGGTGCCGCCCGGAAGCAGACATAATGGGCTCGTCGTGGGCACTATGGCGCGCTTTCTCAAGGGTACTCGGATCGTACCACCCTTCCGCGAGTTCTCCACGGTTCCTGAAATGTCAGTTTTCCGGACCATATAAGCTATGTATGGAGGGGGGGGGGGAGGGAGTGAAAAGCGCCCTTTACCATTTGTTGATGAAGCTCTTCCATCTTCCCTTGACTTCGTCTTCACTGAGGTCTTCTAGGAGAATCCCCTTCTGGATATCCAGGTACATGGCGAACATGGGTTCGTAGGTAGCGAGGTCGCGCTTAGAGAGCTCCCGTGCTTGGAAGGGGAGGACGATTGGTTTCGTCGATGGTTCTGGGCGGCGTTCGTGACGGTCATGGTTGTGGCTTCTATGATGGTGACGATGGCTGCGATCGCGTTCGCGGTGGTGACGTCTGTGTTTGTCGGGGGAGCGCGAGCGAGTGCGAGAGTCGCTTCTTCGGTGAGAGGAGTATTCGCGGGTGGACATCTTGTTGGATGGGTTATTGGGTGTTTTGGGGATTAAACGTAGTTGGAGTGTAAGATAAATGGAATTTATTAAATTAAATGTCACGGAAAGTTGAGAAATGCCAAGCTTTGCGGGAGGTTGCCGTTTTGGGGTAAATTGAAGGAGCTTTATCTAATCTTTTGGTTATATTCGAAGGTGGGAGAGAACTGTTACCGACTCTGCTGGCTTGTAGCAATACTCCTACTCAATTGCCGCAATTCTGTTCCTGAGATGGAACCTAAATTGGATGCTATAGGGACGTGGCAGGTAGCGACTGACAGAACAACATCCTATACATATTCAATCCAGTGTAATGCTACAACTATGCACGACCTCTCGAATGCTTGATCACATAACCGGGAATAATAAAGTCCAATCCAACAATCAAATCATTATCTCCATGGTAAGTACAATCACAGGAATGAAAAGAAAACCCAGCAGATAAGTAAGAATGAAGAAATCTACATGAAGAGCATGAAAGAAGCGGCGAAGGTTTTAGCTGGCCGGAGCAGTTTGCTCATCGGCAGGCTTGGTAGAGTTATCACCGGTAGAGGTGGTGGGAGTGGATGGGGACGCGTTCTTCGAGCGGTTGGCAGCGGCCATTTGCCAGGCAGGAATGGAAGCGGATCGGCTGAACTGTGACAGTGGGCTACTGCTAGCGGCAGGAGTGGTCTGGTTCGACTGCGTTGAAGCAGTGGACGACGGCTGTGTAGCTTGTTCAGTCGACGTCGCTGTGGTACCGTTGGTGGCTGGAGAAGCAGGGGCCTCTTCCGTAGGACGAGAGGCGCCCGACACAGTTGGCAGGGAACTAGGCTTTGCAGTGTTCGGGGAGGTAGCAGCCCCGCTGCCCCCGAGCCTGTTGCCCAACAACACCTTCAAACTCTTCAATTCGGTTCCCAGCTCCTTCAAGCGGTTCTCATTTCCTTCCCGAGCACCTTCCAGGGCTTTAGGGATAGCGTCTTTCAATGACTTGACCTCATCGCTGATGCGACGGGTTTCATCATCTCTCCGACGCGAAGCGTTCTTCAGATCGGCCACGAGGTTCTCGACTTCCCGCAGGGCAGTGTCTAGGCGCTCCGTGCGCGACTCTTCAGCTGCCTTCAGGGCTGCAGTATCTGTAGATAGCTGTTCAATCAAAGCAAAGGCACGATTGAATTGTTCATCAATGCTCTCCTTGTCCTGTTCTAGTTGTGGCGGAGTAGGCGGCGCGATAAGGGGTGTGATATAGCGCTGACAATCGTGTTAATCCCATATTTCAATGGGAGGAATCAGGGTCACTGCATTACTAACCTTAGCGACAAAGTAGAGCCCATATCCTACACCTCCTACTGTTGTGGCCATAATGAACCAATCGCGCCAATCCCTCTTTGGGGGCCTGCGAAATAAATCATTAGCTTGCACCCTCATTTATCGCCCCGGGAAAAGATGTGAACGTACTCTGGAGGTGGAGGCTGCCATTGTCCATATGGAGGGTAGCCATATCCATATCCTTGGACAGGCGGAGGAGGACCTTGGTAGGTGGGTGGTTGTGAAGACGGTTGGTACCCTGACGATGCGGTTACTGCAGTAGATCCAGCCGAGCCTTCACCTGCTCGGGCGAGAGCGATGTCGATCTCGTCTTGCGTGAGATTCTTAGACTGAAGAAATGCGACTCTCTTCTCGACCGGCGACGATGCTACTGAAGGATCTTGAAGAACTGCTGAGCAGTTAGCAATTAAACCGAACGGCAACTGAAGTCAATAGTCGACGTGGAACACGCACAAGTAACCTAGAAATGAGAAGACCGGTCAACTCCGATTCCGCAAACAGCATATTTCAGATAGCGCAGACTTACTGCAGAGGAGATGAGCTCCTCGCGTGCCATTTTGGCAATTTCTCCAGTAGGTTAACACACAAAGGGAGGATATGACAGGAACTCCGAAAGGGCACGTTCACGAGGATGAGAGAGAGGAGTTGGAGAAGACGGGGAAGGCGGGAAAGGGAAAGAGAAGCTTATCGGCACCGAAGGATAAATGGACCTCGGAAGTACCGTCGCTAGTCCAAGTCATTTACCGCTTGTGGCGGAGATTCCCCAGAATCTCGTGATCGGAGTCCTGTGATCGGAGATAACTCGGCAACCGCGAAAGCGTTGTTCTTTCGTGATACACCGCCTACTCTGTACGGATGAAGTGGGATATCCTTGTTTACATCCTTTCGTTTTGTTTTGTAACCACCGCAACTGACACTTTTTTTTGGTGCCCAATTCTCTGGGCGGCATTGTTTCTGGGTCCTTTTGTACAAACCTTCGCTGAATTTTTGTTCTGTGCTAGTTGTTAATTTTGTGTCAATTTTTTCCTGCTACCAAAGCCGCAGTCGCGGCTTCCTTGCCATCATGTCGCAAGATACGGGCTTGTTTAGCATCAAACGCCCCCGAGAGGTAATCCATTGCACCACCCCACCATTTGTCTACCAGGATCATGGAACCAACGTTGACCCAATTCAATATAGTCTATGGCGCACTTCTCAGCTCTCCCTCAACCATCGTCCGCCCTGAAGCGCACCAGCTCTATCGGCGCATTTGGGAACCCGCCTACTGCCCAGCACACACGCATGTCGCTGTTGAACTCCGCCAGCCGCCCCCAACAACCTAACTTCCAGCGTTCATCTTCCGGGGGAGCTTTCGGAGCTGATGCGGGTCTCTCCTCGGTGAGGCGTTCTGTCTCCAGCAATATCTTCCACGGGGCCAGCGGCGGCCGCCAAAGCTTTGCGCCGGGCTCTTTTGCTTCCAACACTGCATCCCAGAATTTGCAGCGGAGGAGTAGTGTCTTCTCAAGGCCATCCGCTGGTGTAGGAGGGGCTATGGGTCACCAGTCATTCTTCACACAGGTCCCTAACGCGGCTGGTGTCCCACGGGATCCTCGACCCCTGCGGGACCGATCCTTTCAAGCTCGGATTGGTCAAGAGCTTCTAGAGTATCTAACACACAACAACTTCGAGTTAGAGATGAAGCATACTTTGGGTCAAAATACATTGCGGTCTCCGACCCAGAAAGACTTCAATTACATCTTCCAGTGGCTGTACCATCGCATTGACCCCGGCTACCGTTTTCAGAAAAGCATGGATGCAGAGGTGCCCCCAATCTTGAAGCAATTACGCTATCCTTATGAGAAGGGTATCACAAAGTCACAGATAGCCGCTGTCGGAGGTCAGAACTGGCCTACGTTTCTTGGTATGCTGCATTGGTTGATGCAATTAGCCCAAATGATGGATAGGTTCATTATAGGAGAATACGATGAGGCTTGCGCAGAAGCCGGTGTAGACGTTTCAGGGGATCGCATCATTTTCCGATTCTTGACAGGGGCTTATCATGATTGGTTACAGGGTGGTGAGGACGAAGATGATGAGACAGCCGGACAGAGGTTGGTCCCTCACGTCGAAATGATGGCTCAAGAATTTGAAAGGGGCAACGAGAAGTACGTCCAAGAAGTACAAGCCTTGGAAGCGGAGAATCGTGCACTACGCGATCAGATCGAAGAGATGGAGAAGAGTGCGCCCGATATGGCCAAGCTAGACAAGCATTTCAGGATTCTGGAGGATGACAAGAGGAAGTTTGAGGACTACAACCAGAATGTCCAGGGAAAGATTGAAAAATACGAAAATCGTATTAAATTTCTGGAGGATGAGCTCCAGAAGACCGAGGCAGACCTGCAAGCGGCCGAAGACGAGCGGGCAGGGCTCCAATCCAGTGTCGACCGACAAGGCATTACTATCCAGGACATTGATCGCATGAATACGGAACGCGATCGTCTTCAAAAGACCCTTGATGACACCCTGGGTCGACTGGAAGAGACGCATACCCGGGTGATGGAGAAGGAAAAAGAGGCCAGCGAAAAGCTGGAGGCCCTCGAGGAAGTCGTCAAGGCCTACAACACACTAGGCTATCAAACTAGCCTGATCCCTTCCTCCGCGGTCAATGCGAAGGGCCAGGACTATGAGCTCAGCCTGAACGTCAATGAAAGTAATTTCTCCGCGTCGCAGATTGGCTCCGCACCTAGCAGAATATCCCCGGAGGGCGATCGACTGCTAGCAGAGCCGTTCACGGGCTATCACCCGGCCCATTTACTGAGTCTGGACTTGCGAGGTACGGTTCGTAGTAGTCTGCAAACTCTGCGCAAGGAGGTCAATGAGCGACGCAAGCGTGCAGCAGATGATGATTTGGATCGGCGCAATCTTTTAGATAATATCAAGGAGGCCATGGATGAGAAGCGAAGCGAAGTGGAAGCTCTGGAACATAGACGACGCGCTGCGGAAGAAGAATTTGAGCGAACTAAAGAAATCACTACTACGCAGAAGCTTGCCTCCGATGCCCAAATCGAAAAGATGGAGAAAGAGCTAGCCAAGATGAGGGCTACTATGAGTGAGAGTGTTCAACTCATGGAACAACGTGAAATGAACACGAATATTGAGTACGAGCAACTGACGCTCCGAGCAAATGCGCTACGGGAGGAACTACACACCAACGTGGAAAGCATGTTGAATGACGTGATTCGATTCAAAGTTCATGTCCAAAAGGGTCTTGAGGACTACGAAGGCTTCGTTGTCGACGAAGTCGAACAGGAACTTGGAGGCGACATGGTACCGGCGGATGATATTCCTCCGGAGGAAGAATTGTGAAATCGATTCAAAGGAAATCCTCCGTGTCACAAGTGACAGTGATCGCTGAAGTTCTGACTAGTTTTCCTCTCGCTTCGCTTGGGATGCAGACCGCGATCGGCTTTTATACTAAGTTAGTACAACGCAGCGACCATCGTCACCTGAACTTTTTGCTTTGCATGATATTGGTAGTATCTTTGATGTGGCGCTACTGGGTAGTTTGGGTGTGTGGTGTTTGGATCATATCTTGTTTTCTCTTAAATTTTTTTTTTTTTCCTTGAAAGGCTCGGGATGTGGGATGTGACGTTAATTGATACCTTTTCTTTGGATTGTTTTCCATGTTCATACTGTGAAGATTTAGAGTGTGTATGAGTATATAAGTTTCCAACCAATGTGCACACTCAGTAAATTTCATTTCTTTACTTGCCTCGAACATTGTGAGCGACAGCGTACCTTACCTATCGATGATTATCTTGCATCACTGCCGTGTTGGTGATTGATTCGAGCAGTCTCGATCCTCACCAAAAGACTCCCTAGTTTCAGGTTGAGATTTTGCCTAAATAGAGGCATGACTCGATCTCGACCCTTCGGCTCGTCAAGCCTGCTCAACTTGCGACATTGACCCAGTGCGCCAAGTGAGTTCTGTGGTACCGATGGTAGTTATGATTGGAGTACCGAGGATAGGGTTGAGTGATCGTCGGCCGGACCTCGTCTTGGTTCGTTTCAGCCGACGCAACATTAACCCACTCTGCACTCCAAATCAACGTCTCTTCCCTCCGCTACACGGTAATTGATCGGCAGGAGGCGTGCAACAAAACACGAGGACGTTGTCAATGTCCATTGACTAAGTTAAAACCATGGGAGTCACTCAGTTAGGTCACCATTCTCTGGAGAAATTACGAGTCTGCATGTCCACCCGCCCACGGCCAGCCAACCCCCCCCCCCCTGCAGCATGATCCCATTGATGGATGAAATTATGTCAAGGGAACTGATGATCTTCAATCGGCTATACATTTCTTACTGTCATGCCGTCTTAGCGTCACCCTGGTGAAGTGATTGGACCCTCCGATGCACATTACAGGGCTTATTTCCCTCCACTTACGGTTATTGCTTCAAGAAACGCCAGGGAGATGCGCTCGGGTCGTATGCCACCAGCACGGCAGTACTCTGGAGCTAGTGCACCATCTCTCCCGTGTCTGATGCTTCGGCGTCTGGATAGGTCAACAGTAAGCTGTTCCAGGACCCCTTAGTCTAGGATCTCTCGGTCTTGCCGAGTTGATTAGGGCCTTGAAGGGTCTACTCTCGAATCCACTGAGCCCTAACATAATAAGGACCCTTTGCAACTGTATTCCGAAAGGAGGGGTGTGGTCCTGTTGATCGGTGCCATCCTGATCGTAAGAAAAAAAAAGTGGTTCTTGGCCCTTCCATAGATATATAAGCTCATAGATCGCAACTGATGGCCTTTCCCTCTCAATCATCCTTTCTTTTCTCAACCAGTGCTGTGCACGGATTTTCTATATTGTATACTTTCATTTCATTCATTTGACCAAACCACTCAATACTATACCACTCCTTTACATACCAAACGTCCATATCATCATGAAGGCCTTCACTCTCTTGGGAGCTGCTGCTCTTTTCTTTTCCCCAGCTCTTGCTCAGGAAGACCTTGGCCATGTTACTATCCTTCCTTTTCCTTTTGTGAGTAGCCATGCCATCAAAGTTGCGAAAATCCCAGCTAAACAACCGTTCTAGCCATCTGGTACGCCTTCCGGAACGCCTTCCAGCACTCCTTCGGTCACTCCTACCCCATGGCCCAGCGGAGTTCCGCGTCCTACCGGCATTCGCCCTACGGGTTCGTGGCCAACTCCTTCCTCGAGCGGAGTTCCACCTCCTTCTAGCTCTCCGGTCTTTGCTTTCCAGCGCAGACACGCCCGCCAGGTCCGCCCCATCTTCGTCTAGGCGGCCCCGTAAAGTTTGGATCATTGCCGAGACCGTGAGTTTGGTTGGTCGATGAATGGATAGATTGCTGGATCAGTCATTCGTTCGGGGGGACACCCGGTGACGGGGTGTCACCATGTTTGATAGCAGCTGAATATTTATACCATATCGGCTTATCTTGGAGACAATGTGCCTCTTAAATTGTGCTGGTGCCATTTGAATCACGTAGATATGTATATATTCCTACAAATAGTAGGATATGATATAGGAGATGAACACATAAGTTATATTTAGACTGCCCAAATGTAGCAAAGCTAGACATGTGACAGCAGTACAATATCCCGGCGATGATTGGCTGTGTGATGCTGAGTCAGCGCGATCGGGGAAGCTTTTTCTGCGATCGAGATTCAACAAATCCTCGCCAAAGGTGAAACGAACGCTCCGGACAGCCTACCAGAACAATTCGGATTAGTCGGTGGTGCTCGTTCACTTTACATTATTCTCAAGGCAATGAGGTATCAGTTGAATGGCTAGACATGCGCTACAGAACGTCCGTCCGCCGGTCACATCGAAATTTGGATTCCCTCCGCCCGCAGGTCTCGTCCGATAGATCCTCCGTCGTGTCATGAAAAGGTCCCTGTGTCCAGCTCGTCTGCTGTGTCTGGACCGCAGGTCTCACTTGCTCCATACTGCATCAGTCTCCCCATATCGCCTGCTCAGCTACTCCCAGTACAAAGGGCTCCCAAGTTGGAGACCTTCCTTGGGAAGGCAGCAATGGGGTCGCCAGTTCTCCGTGGGCTCCAGCCCTTCCATCAACCGTCAATTATTGCGTGATCGCATTCAAACGGAACCTAAGGAATTCCCGGTACGCGGATCACAAAATACCCCGGAAGTGTGGGCTTTACTTCTGGAACAATACTTGCCAGGAGAATCCGGAAATGGCAGTACGGCTTTCGAACGGGACGCTGCATCGATAAGCACCCCAGCGTCCATCAGTCGAGCAATCGACTTGGGTGAGCTATTATCCAACGCAAGAACGCATGGGGATCTAGATCTCTTAGCTCATCTAGGGTACCGGTTGAACAATTGGCCGGCTGTTTATGCGTTACTGAATCAGCTGCTCGATGCCGCAGATGCACTGAACGATGTCTCCCTCTCTCTTAAGCCTCTGGTCGCTAGCAGCTGGGGTTACAAATCCAGTGTTTCGCTTGATCAATTGACCCATCAGATAGACTCGGCACCGCGGCTCACGTCAGATCCAACAACACAAGTTTCTGAGTTGACAAGTCTAGATACGTTAACTGAGAGACCATATGCGGATGAACATTCCCGACGGTTCATGGCACAAGTATGGCAGAGCCTGGGCTCAATTGTGCTTGATGCTGCCGATGCCTCGCCAAATGAGTCGAAGATAGCAATGTCTTATGTGTTTCGAATACTTGCTCGTCTGCACCATTCCGGTGCAGTATCTGATAGGGTATATAGATATGTCCCTCCGGATAGCCATCAGGTCGCCTTTCGACCGCCGACGATGCATTTACTTTCAACACATATCATGAGCGTTCTGTCGGATGCAGCCTGGCTTGTACACGAAGCTGAAGTGGCGGCCAAAGCAGCTGCGGCGGGTGAAGACTCGCCTTTCCTTCCCTTCAAAATGGGCATTCGAGAACTTGGGCCTGAGATCTGGATAGAGTTAATTCTTTGGTGCTGTGTGGAACATGGACATATCGCAGAGGGCGTATGGCTTATTGACCAGATGAAGACACGGAAAGGGGATCTGGCTTGGAAATTCCAAAGCTGGAGACCCCTACTTCAACATCCAGAGTCTATATGGAACACTAAGGTTGACTCAGCAGTATCCTGGCGCCATCCGGCCCAAGTCAACGGTCCTTCGCTTCTCCGAAAGCGCAGTAGCCCTTCCCCCTTCAATGGACTAGGGAAGCGAACAATCAGTTTGGAGGTAGCCGCTTCGTTGTTGGATAATCTTCCAAACTGGGGCTATCGAGGATTAGGCTTTCGGGGTATAACGCCGGCTGCGCTTCTTCGCCATGTCTCTTCGCTCAAGTTCACACTGGCGCCGAGGGCGACCGATGATACCCCTTTAGCTACGGCTAAGGAATCCAACTGGTTCATTCTTCGTGTTCTTGAATCCGGATGTCTCAATCCTGAGGCTGATCCCCACGCATTTGATGAGCTCGTCAGAGCCATTCCTCAGGTTGTTCCGCCCTGGGACAGTAATGACCTGTACTTGCCGGATGAGGACGATTTGGAGCAACTTGAGCCATCCCAGATTTATGACGAGACAACAGCCTTAGCTGAACTCGTCGAACACAACATCCGATTCCACTCCCGGCGACACCTGTGCGAAGATGCTATGGGTTCGTTCGCCTGGCTGCAGAGCGCAGTTGACAAAAGCAAGATGCAACGCATAGGTGAATTCTTCTCCTCACGCGTGGACCCGTCCGATGACGAGCACCTTCCGACTTTCGATACCACCAATCTGGCCTCCTTGAAGCCATTTGAATCGTCAATGCCACAAATTTCGCCTATTACGCTGGCTGAACTTCTAGACTTGGTGACGGTGTCTCGCGCATTCACATTCGGCGACTGGTTACTCTTCTCGGACGACATTGACGGGCCCCCGATTCCTCGCAGCGCATACGGGAATCAAGTCTTAGCACCATCAATTATTCGTTACGCTACCGCTACCAAGAATAGCACGCTCTGCGATTCAGTTGTTCAGTCCCTTTTACCGCCTCTCTCTGCGAATACCCTCCGAGCCCTCTTGAACTACCGAATTGCAATGTGCCAATGGAATCTGGTAACTGTGATGTTAGAATATCTCCGCGACTACCGCCTTAAATCCTGGGGCCACAGCAATGTCACCGCATTAGCTGCCGAAATCATCAGATTAGACCATACCGTCATCACGGAACTCGACGCGACAAAAGCGGAAGACAATATCCAGAACTTAGCACAAGCAAAGGGCATCCTGCTGCGAATTCTCAACGGTGACTTCAACGAACTTCACCCAAGAGACAACTACCAGGAGCGCTCCCTCCATGGCCTGCAACGCCTCTTCCTTTCCATCCCCGGCGCCCTCCACGATGTCGCCGCCTCCTCCAATCTCCGCTCCCAAAAGCTCGCCCGAAGCACAACCCCCCAGATTCCCTCAAAAGCCTTCCACCCCATCCTCGCCGCCGTAGTCGACACCCAAGGCAGCGCAGCCGGTAAACGGCTCTGGGACACCTGGTGCGTCGACGTGCAACACCCATCCGCCCGCCGTCTCCAGAAAGGCGGCATCCCCCGTCTCTACCTGAACACCGAACGGGACTTCAAAAAGGGCAACCCTCACTTCGACGAGGCATACTTCAAACAACTCCAGACCAAACTAGTTATTCCCAATATATCCACCGTCCGTATCATCGCCCAAGCCGCGGTGAAGGAGTACGATGAATACGAAGCTCAACACTCACACACCATTCCCGATAAATCACCTCCATCTCCTCAAGCATATGCATATCCCAGAACTACCCATCCTCAGCATAACCCCGCCCGACCCAGCCTCGACTTCTGTGTGAAGAAATTCGAGGCCCTCGGTCTCCGGCGCGCTAGTATAAACATCGAATGCGGTGGCTTCGTATACAGAAGGCATAAAGAGTTGAAGAGAATGAAAAGACAGCGACTGCGGGGCGGAGATACCATCGCGCAATAAGAGCTTGCTTATGGTTAAGGGTGAGGTGGTGTGTTCCGATAGACGACCCTTGTATACATGTACTATATTTTACTGCTTCAACTATCCTGGAAATTCTCAGTGCTGTTTTATGTGTATGATAGATATTTTAGATACCAGGTTAATAATAGTATATAGCATAGAGCATAGACGGTTATTTGTTATATAGAGTTTGTCTCTTTTACAAGGGTGATTCATCTTGGAAGGATAACTTTGATTTCGAACTTCGTTAAGACATCAGTAGGGGTTTCCGAGCAATCCGATTAAACAAAATAAAAGTCACGAGCCAGCCACCCATCCTCTATCGTACTGTAGCACCATATGACAAACTCCCGCGGGATCTCTCGTTCGATAACTCCTTGCACGCTGATGATATGCTGTGAAACCCAACCCATGCCGAAGACCGCGCGCATAAACAAATTGATATAGAGCATTTATCGTTAAACATTGTGACAAGAGGAAAGCCGGAGAAAACACAGATAAGCAAAGCCCCCAACAACGGACGTTAGTAATAGTAGTAGTAGTAGTAGTAGTGGCAAAAATTATTTTGTACAGAGAAATGAAGAATTTTGCGAACATCTTAATTTTGTTCCCATGGCTCTTCCTCATTGGGAATGGGGAAGAAGGAGCGAATAAACTCCCCACTGATGGGGTCGTAAGGGAAGAAGGCATCGGTTCCAGAGGCAGAAAGTGCGAGGGTCGACGAGGTCGGATCAATCGCTGGGATTCCAGAATACGCATGCTGGTTCTGGTCATAATGGTATTGAGTCTGAACCGGCTGTTGATTTGGGCCACCGACTGTGTCGTAGAAAACAGGCATAGGCGGCGCGGCTTGGCTGACAGGTGCACCCATACCAGCATTACCATCAGTATTTGGGGTCATATGTCCGTGCGATGTTGGGCCAAAGTTTAGGACTGGCAGGTCACTCAAGTCATAATCCATGCCGATGGCAATTCGTCGAAGGTTACTGTCACACAGCTCCCATGCACGCCGTGCTGGGAGGCTACATTCGGACATGGCAAAGAGCCAGCGTATGGCTTTCTTTGATGCTTCAAAGATACCTCTCTCTTCAGCTGGCATATGAATGCAACCAAACGACAATTCAAGCAGGAGGACCGTGGTCGTCTGCATAAGATAGTGCAGAACGCACCACCAAGGACAAACCTGGTAGAGTTGGACAGCGTTAGGTTCGTCTGGAATCAAGTCCAGCATCTGCCGCGCAGAATTTAGAGTTATCTCTGCCATTTCATGACTAAAAGAGGGCTTTTGCTGAGGCTTAGTATGTCGAGCATCGCGGCGACATAGGCACGGACGTCCCAAGGTGATCCGAGCACTGTAGTAATGGAATGCCAAGAAAAGCTTTCCACGAAGCATATCCATACCTTGGTCGTCCCGCCGGGTGAAGTCTAACGCCCCCGGAAGGTTGGTATACCATATATCAATTCGGGATCGAAGCTCCCCAATGCGGTTCTCGATGTGCCTCCAGGGTACCATGGCACAGTCCAGCGAATACACCCGGTTGACGATTTCCTGAGCGACAACTGCCAGGTCCACATAATAAAGGAATATGAGCGTCTTACTGATGGGTTGACCCTTCAGCCAAGAAGCATCACGCAGTTTGTCTGTATGCCGGGCCTCCTTACCTCCCTGGGGATTTGAAGGCATGTGGCGAACAAGGGTACTTGCCAGGGCCGATTCCACCAGCCCCTGGCGAAGGTCTTGGTTGTTCAGAAGCTTAGCCGCAGCTGGCTCTCGAAGCTGGTCTTCCTCGAATGGTAGAGGCAAAGGCGTCGTACATATCCCATCCGTAATGCAAGAAACTCTACCCGTCATGATCCCAAGCATATGTTCAAATGTATAGACACACCACCAGACCCTATATCGCGCCTCCTTTGAGATACCAGGCGTGCTTTCGCTGGTATTTTTCATATTCAACCCGAGTGAGATTGCCGAACGCACAGCCAACGCGGTGATCTTCCAAGCTCTAACCAAACAATCAGAAGAACGCTCAAGACAAGCCCCACACCAACCGCACGGTGAAAGGGGGAACAAAAGGAAGAAGAAAAGAATGAGAGAAGATACATACCGGTTGATTTGGTCTGATGCCATAAGATAGAAAGCAACCAAGCCCTCAACCTGAACTTGCTGAAGATCGGGATGGCTAAAAAGAGCATCACCATTCATGCTAAGGATCCGGGCCCGAGTCAAGTACACTAAATGATCGTTGTCATCACCACGCCATGGTGCCTGCGTCAGGTGAGCATGTTTGGCGGAGATGGCAAATATCAAGTTAAGAATGGCTAGCCATTTATCACCAGGCCGAGCAGCACTGTCAAAGAAGGTTCTGTATTGGGCACGAAACAGTGTACGGCTGATGATAGGATAAAACGGGTGCACCGTCTCCAAGTAATCTTCAAACAACTTGTCCGCCAAAGGACGGGGAGGGATCCAATACACCTGCACAGGGCCGGGAACCGAGACATCCAGATCGTCCAAATGATAGTTCATCGAATGTATAGCAAATTCTCCCTCAGGCTCAGCTTCGTAGGCCCCTGGTTCCTTCTGGAGGCGTTGTTCTGTCTCCATTCGCAGTCTCTGCATCCAGATAACCTCAGAGTTCTTCCCCATGTAACCAGTAGCTCGAGAATTCGGAGTTCGATTTACATCCTCTTCCACGCGGTCGATGGCTTCTAGGGATCCAATGGAAGAGGAGGAGCTCAGTTCTTCGAGGTAGCTGTCTTTATCCTGCGGCGTGGCTGAGCTGGACTGCGAGCCAGTAGAAGCCCGTTCGCCACCCGAACCAGAATACTATGTGAGTGTTAGCGTCGGATGCAGGAAGGCCACCAAACGGAAACATGAGAAAGCGCACCGACCTTATCCAGAGTGATTCTAATTTGTTCTGCAGTCCTGCCATCAACAATGTTTCCAATGTCTCTCAATAGCTTCTCATACGCTTCGGCCTTGGTCGAGAGACTGTCCAATTGCCTAATCTCGAAGTCAGCCGTCAATGACCAAAGACAAGAGGACATGGGCAGTTCAACATACTCTTTGGTTCGTTCCCTCCATGATGCCGGGTACTTACAAGTCACCCTCAATTCTTTGCACTGTCTGCAAACTGGCGTGTCGCCACTGCACTTAGTTTTCCGCCCCCGACAGGATTCGCAGGCAAGAGGCACACGTCGACTGTAACCGGAAACAACACCCGTTCTCTGCCGCGGGATGGCCACCTTCGCATTGGTAGATTGCTTCTTGCCAGCTAAGCTGCTCCCGGAAGGTATATTCGACAGTTGCGAATTACGCGAGGCTGGAGGCTTCGAGGCAATCATAACTTTATCTTGAGTATTGAAAGAGTTCCGGGGAACCGCTTCACCCCGCGCACTGCTGTAAACTGACTGACGGTGATTAGAAGGTGCGTCCATGTTGGAGTTTTGAGATTTGCTGGAGGGTGTCGCCACAAAGCAACGGAACAAGACCACCAGGACAGATAGCGGTCCAATGTGCCTAAGATAACAATGTGGTTTGCGCGATTGGCAACGTCCTCTCGTTCTTCCGCTTTGTCGGACAATGGCTTTGAATTCAATGCTTAAATCGACTATAAGACAAACGTTCGGACCAGTGGATGACCATGGTGCATAGAACTTTAAAAAAAGGCGACTTGTGGGGGGGGGATCAAGGATGATGGTCGTGCAGGAACAGATCCTCTCTGTCCGCACTACTCGGCACTTCCACCAATATTACCAAGTACAGCAAGGAAATATCATGGTAACGGGATGTCTGAAGGAACGGGACAATTCGCAGCAGGAGGATGAGGAAAGATGGAGGAGGAACCGATTGATGCGAGAGGCGGGGCGGAGGACTTACTCCGTAGCCCAAGGGGTATCTTCCAATCACCGAGCAGTTTGGTCGATACCGCGTCCCGATTAGATCAAACTCCATCGATGACGACATTCACCACGTAGGTGGCTCTTCCATGCATTTCCTTTGCGCAAGCCCTAGACGATCTCTCTACTACTTACTCGTATATACGTCCATACTAATACTATACTGTCTTGACGGCATGATGGAAAAGAATTCTGTCGTAAAATAGAGTATGATGGTGAGCCACCAGGCGCTAAATGTACATCAAGGCATCAGGCATAAATCTTCCAGCTTCCCTTCCCTTTCCTTTCCCTTCCTTTCCTTTCCTTTTTTTTTAATAAGAAAAACCCTTCTTTTGTTTTTCCATCGCGCCGACTAGTATAAATGGCAATCCACCCCCTCGCAATAGAACGACGAAACAAGTACACCCAAACCAGTCAGGGGATATTAAAGTAACACAGATAAGAGAGATATGCAAACAAAAAAAAAACAAGACAGGGCGACAATATATGTACAGGTAATAAAGGCCCACTGGCCAAAAGAGGTGAAACGAAATTCAGAAACACGCATTATCAGATGAAGCTGTACAAGATTAGAGTAAGAGGAAGACAGGTAAGGCGGAGCGAAAGGTTGTAGAGCCAAGGCATAATGGCAACGAGGCGAGAGTGGAGATGAACGCAATTCCGAACCAGGCGTCAAAGTCTAGAGAAAAAGCAAATCCAAGCGCCCCCAGGTCTATCGATTGCGGTATGCGCGTAAGCTACGTCGCATGCTCTGCTCAGATCTCTCCGAACATCTCATCGAGCTCGTGGACATCGACACTCTCGGGATTCTGCAACTCTCTCCAGGAATCGAAGACCATCTCAACATCTGTGTCTGCCATGGCCCTAGGGGCCAGAGACATCTTACTGTCCTGTTCAACCAGATCCGACATCTTCATATCGAGATCCGGAACCCCGCTGTTGAGCATATCAATGGACCGCTTCATTGCCGAGACAGGTGCGATGATAAGGTCTTCGGGGAGACTGATCTGCGGTGTGCTTGCCATACCCTCGGGGTTCGCCTCGACATCCAAGCCGTCGTCCGAAGCCACACTCGTGCCAGACGAGATTGACGAGGCCACGGACGTGAGGGATGGGGAGGGGGAAGTGCCAAACAGAGCAACCGCGGCTGCCTCATCGAGGTCTTGCTGTTGTTGCAACTGCTCCTGTAGGGAAGGCTGTTCCATTTCGCTTCCATGGGAGAAGTAGTCACCATCCGGGCTATCGGACATGCGGTCCCCATTAATTGACGAGAGCGGACTATCTTCGACGGGAGTTCCAGCGATGCTCATGGCCCCATCGTCCAGTTCGCTAAGCCCCTCTGAAAGGGCCGAGAAGAGACTTTTGGCCTTTCCGAGCTGGTTTGCTTTTTGCTCCGAGGCCCGCTCGCGAACGGCGCTGGCAGTTTGAGTGAATTCCTTCTCGTCACCCTCCAACGGAGGAGAAGCGGCCCGGTTCGAGTGCATGAGGCGCGCATGCTGATGGTCAAAATCAGTCGCACATTGTCTCGCCACGCTATCATCGCGAGCATCCAGATCAATATTCTCTTCCTCGAAGTCGGGGGGAGACAGATCCACCTCAGGGCTTGGGCTGAGGCGCGATCGTTCCCGCGCCAACGCGTCTTCCTCGTCTAGGTCAGCGCTAGATACGCTGGGAGTGATGTTCTTTCCTTCTACACCCGGGATGATATCGTCCGAGTTCTCAGGAAGAGGCTGGCGGGGTAGTGTTGTCAAGTAGTAATACACTTTGCGAGGGTGAACTGGAATCAGCTCCTTCGCCAGAGGACACGGTGCGAGCGCTGTCCACGGACGCTTCATGTATGTGCTCAACCGGGAAGAAAGGAGCGCGGCGGGATTGGCGGAGCTGTAGCACATTGAACAATTAGTATTTACATTTAAAGCGCACGATAGGGGAGAGTGGCACGTCAAACGTACTTTGCGACATTTTCATTGAGCGTCACTAGGACGGCTGCGAGCTCTTTCACCAGATGCGGACGATTGCCTGTCTTCTCCAACTGCTCAATCACGCCGACCACAATATCATCGTTGATACCCTCCGTGTCGATCTTGGGCGCGACACTTCCATCGATAGGCGATGGGGGTGGCGTTTGTTCAAACGCCCCGCGCCGACCAGCCGAACGTACAGGCAACTGCTCCTTCGCTGTCGATATCGACACCGAGGTAGGCTCTGGAGATAGCGAAGACGAGTCGTGCGACCTCTTTACTTTCTTGGAGGGAGGCAGTTGCTCGTCGGTCGCGTGTGGCGATTTCGAGGCCGACGGGGATCGGCGGGAGGCACTAGGGAGGTGAATCCCCAGTGACGGAAGCGACAGTGACTTTCGACGAGTATTATAAGGCATGGTTTGTGAAGGAGTGAACTTTTGGTAAGGAAATTGTAGGATACACTCGGGGAGAAGATAGGAGTTCTAGATAAGGCAAACAATAATAATAATAATAGCAGAGACGTACAACCCAACTAAACACACAAAAAAGGACAAGGAGATAGATATAGTAACAACACAACTAGGATACTAATAATAATAATAAAAGTAGTAATAGAATAAGAATAAGAATAGGCACTAGTAACACAAAGGGGGGATGAGGAGGGGGAGGAAGAGAATGTGTGAGTGTGAGATGGAAAAGAAGAAGTACAGGGAAGTATGGCGATTTGGGGGGGGGGGGAAGAGGGAATGGAAAGGGAGATGATGGATGGCGGTGATAATGATGCTGTGAGAATAATACCTCCCGACCGGGTGTACGGGAAGAATAGGATAATCACAGCGCAGTTCGTTGGCCAGAGTTAGGGACCTGATGGAGCAAAAGACATGCGCAGACCCAGAAAAATGATCAAAAAATAATAGTAATAGTAATGAAGAGGATTCCACAGCTTTGAAGGAATCGCCGTTTCGCTGTGGATAATTTTCTCGATCTTCACTTTTTTTTTTTTTTTTTTTTTTTTCGGAGGTGGGAGTCTGGAGGAGGCTAGGAGCAAAAAGAAAAAAAAAAAAATATGAATAGCGGGTGCTTTATTGTGGCGTTTATTGGCTGGAATAACCCAATGGGGCACTTTTGCTCTTTTTCAGGAATGCCGGAAGGAGAAAAAAAAAATTTCTTGGTTGTTTTGGTTTTTCCTCCTTCAACATATCGTTCCCTTTATCTTCTTTCCCCCCCCTTTACCCCTCCATGTTGACAAAAACAAAAACAATGCATCTCATGCGATCCACCTTCACCGCTGAATGTTTAACTATCATGGCTCTAAAGCAAGTGCGCGTGTGTGTGTTTGCATACCGAGAGACATACGGGTACCATACGTCGGGTCCAGAATGGATGGATGGATTCAATGCGGCCGAATGAAGGGGCAAAAAAAGTATTGTGGGGCGCACCATGTGTCTATGACGACCGGGAGGAATATCTTCCGTACTGATTGGCCGCGGGGAGGCGGTGATCAACTGAGGTTCTGCATGGACGCTTCTGATGGAGTATGCGCCGTGGAGCCCTAAAATCCATAGTCAAGAGGTAATTCGGGTAACTTAGTCGTCCTCGACTTGGTTGCTGCGCAGGTATTCCGCAACAAACAATCGATCATTATATACTCCGTACATAGATTGAGAGACCGTTTAGTCTCGAGCTCTGACCTTCAGTCTAAATGCCGTCCCTACACCGTCTCATGGACTGATTTTCAGGCTTTCCTCACCGACATCTGGACACCGCATTTTTAATCTAACAGTGCCTTGATTTTCCGGCTATTGCCTTGCGATTTAGCAAGTATATATATACAGAGTAGGTAAGTACTACGTAGGTATAACTGGATACCAGCAAAAGAGATTTACGATACATCTATCAGGACTGCGTCTCAGCCTCAGATGGGGACATTCAACAATACAATCATTAGCTAGAACAAAGGAAACAGCTGCATCGTCTACGGGTAAGTGCATCATAGCTGAACGTATTCCATGGTACACTATCCATGCCCGCCGTAGTTTGAGAGAGGTGGGTGGATTTTTGGATAGAGAACAGAATAAATAAAAATTAAAAATTAAAAACTAACAAAGGGAAAGGGTAAACTGGTCAGACTAGGAACGAAGAAGCCTAGGGTCGACCGTCGAATGCCATACATAGTATAGACTCATGCACCAGTTTATGCACTAACTGAGAGAGGGGATGGAACCCAAGAACAAAACGAGGCCAATCGCAGCATGAAAAAGTACCCACCTTTGAAAGAGCGGGTTCCATGGAATCTCATTCCTAGCGCCACCGTTTAGGAAGCAGTGGCAAATCAGATCGACTTGAGTGGGGTAAATACCGAGCCGTCTAGAAGATTTGGAAGGAATCCAATCGGATGGACCAAAGGAGGCGCTATGTTAGTTTGCCCACTAAGGAAAATGGAGACGTCGAGAAAAATGGAAATTGGAATGGATCTGAATCCAGTAATAGCTCGCCACTGCAGTGCAAGTGGAAGATGCCACGGTAAGGCTGTGTTGACTTGTCCATCCGTCACTGACCCTAGATAGATCGAAAGCATCATACACTGGTTGATCAAAGCGATGAAACTGCGGGTGTTTGCTCATACATACATACATACATACATACATACAAGTACATATGTACATACATAGATGGATGGGGGATATGTGATGTATCACCCGTACGCAAGGGATCAATTTACCCATGACGCGAGTCAACGATTCAGGACCATGGATCTGTGAGACCTCCAGACAACGGTCAATAACAATGCAGTTGCTGTACGAAGTACCTCTGTCGTACGGAGTACTATTCCTTGCACTAGTACTTGTAGGCTATACTCAGAGTACATACTCTTATCTGTACACATGCTACTCAAGTTGGATGGGAGCATTCCCAAACCGGATATCAACCTTGTTGCCTGGGAAAGGGGGTTCTTGTCGTCCCCTCCTGGGACAACCAGGGTGAGGTATCCCTCTCCACAACTTCATCCTTTGTTTCAAGGTGATAGAAGGAATTGGCCAGTCGACTTCGATGTTATCGAAGTTTATTATCTATCGATGCACAACGATACGCGTCCATGCCTATTATTCATCTCCCCCACCCTTCCCAGACGGAATAATATGCAGTGTATCCATGCATCTTACGGCGACACGGCAGACTCTTCAGCTTATGATAGATCTACACGTCTCCAGCCTTCTCATCCAGCTCGACACAACACGACGGACTGTGTGGGGAAAAAACAGAAAAAATTATATTCAAACCAACGAACTGCTAGTCGCAAAGACAACCCAAAAACTTTCCAAGACGCCTAGCTGAAAAGTTTATTCCTCTTACTATAGAACAGTGGTTGCAGTGGTGACATGGTTGTTAAACCTTAAAAGGGTAAATACAACCCAGACCGGTTGTCCGTCTTTTTCTCCGACCCGATAATGCTGGGGATATTTCTGCGAGGGGTTCCGTTCCCCAAAAGTTCCAGGGCTCAGGTACATACTACATAACAGGATGGAGGCAACTGTTACCCCGCATGTGCATAACGCCATCTTGACCTCATCTTGAGGTTCCTCAGTACGTATGAAGTACACCGTTTCCAGTTCGTAATCTAGTTTCCGAGGCGATCGCCATCTTTGCTTACTGAGTGCAGAGATATATTCCCAACTCGGGAAAGAGGGCACGATACCCGCCGTTTTCGTGATTCCGTTGCGTAGGACTTCGCTAAATGTAGACAATAAAATAGATGGATATACGTAGTATTTGCATCTACCGGACTACTACTTGCATTCGCTGTAGGGGCATCGATTTAGTGCCATTATTGCATGAGGCTATCCTGGTCTCTTTCGTCACCTTGCTACAATCTTATGGTCATAGTTCCAATATATATATATATATATATATATATATAATTCTATCAGATGACTTGACAAGGAAGTCGATTTTAACTCACGTGGCTGATCACGACCAGGTTGGACCCTTATATTGAACCAAGCTTATTTACATGGAAGGGGATCAACATTTAAGGGAAATCTATATATACTTGTACATACTATAGTGTATCTGGAACCAACATCTATAGCTCATCGCGTATGTACATCGAAAAAGAAGCGTAGGAACATCTCTAGGGTTCTCTAAAATGTTTGCTGGGTTTACTCCGCACACTCATGCCGTATATTTTACAGGATGGTTAATATACAAGATTACCTACACCTGACCTCTAATTACCACGTGCTGGTTTCAGCACGTATTTCCATGTAGTTCCAAAGTGCCACCGTTTCTCCTCGACAACCTCCAGACCACTCTCCCGAACAATCGCTCCAATATCCCGGTTCCACCAACATCCATGGCGGTCCGCATGGGCGGGAGCAAGATTGTCAAGGATGCGATTCAGCCAGTCATAGTGCGACCGGCCGTGCTCTAGAAGCAAGATCTGTCCCTTTTCCGGCTCAGTAATAGACCCTAGGTGACGAAGAGCACCAACGGGGTCTGGCATCGAACACAATCCCATGGTCTGTACGATCGTATCGAAATAAGCCCGCTCATCCCCAGTCGTCGGAGGAGCAACGTCCTTCACGTCCTGTGCCCGGAAGTTGACATCCTTGAAATCGGGATGCAGCTTTTGGAACTTCCCTCGCGCGATCTCCACCATCTGCGGACTGAGATCGACCAACGTAACAGAGCGGCATCCCCGAAGTTCTACTTGACCCCTCTCATTGGGCTTTCTCTGCTGTCCAAGTTCGTAATATTCCAGATTTCGACCCGTGCCACAGCTCACCTCGAGCACATTCCCACGGGCCTTCTGGAGAAGATCTCGCCGCTTCTTCCCCATTCGCATTAGCTTCTCAGACATCTCGACATCTGCGTCGAAGGTCCTAGCTGTCTGGTTGTATCGATCCGATACATCCCTAGGCACGTCCATAGACTGTGCATGGGTCACTTCCCGCCTGTAGGAGGCGTATAGATACCCACAGTATGTGCTCATGCCGAGGACACTGACCCCTAGAAAGGTCATTACTTTAGGAGACATGCGTGGCTGTGTCTCTTGGAGATTCAGGAGATGTGGGTTAGCCCGCTTCGGCAGCGGCGATGCTGCTGGCGGTTTCTTGCTGTTGAGACGGTTAGATAAACCAGCTTTCTCATACGTCTACCAAGGGAAGAGCGGTTGTTCCCAGAAGTATGCTGCACGGCTCACAGCAATCGAAGGGAGCATCATATACTGACCCAGGACCATCGACCGGAATCTTACTGCCGGTCCTTTTAGGACCGGTAACAGGCACTTTGGCCTTTAGCGCGGCCCGGCCTACTCGGGACGCGCTCATGCTGCGATATTAAAGGGCGTGGGATGCGATAATCATACGATGTTCATTCAATTGCCGTGGTTTTGATAATCCTCGGGCCGATATATATCCTTTCTCGGGGAAGCTGGACAACCGTCCAATTGTGAGTCTATTTAACAATAAACAGAATCGCCTTTCAACAGATGATGATTAATGCATATTCGACACTATGGGGGTATATCAAATTATCAACATTTGATTCTCCGGAAGTATTAGCCGATCAACAAGGGTGAATTGAGTGGGCTGGATCGGGAGTTGCTTTGCGGTCGAGGAAAAAAAAAAAAAAAAAAAAAGCCAAGCCAAGAGCGATAGGGAGCCTATCAATTGTCATATCGGCAACTAAATCTTCGGTGCTCCTATATCGCTCCGAACATGGAGCCACTATTTTTTAAAGGTCCCCCGGACTTCTCTCTCCACATCTTTCCTGCTTCTGTGTCCATTTTGCAGAAAAGGCGCAACGGAGTAGTTCTTTCTTGACGGTGTCTTTCCAGTACAACGGCATAAGACATGGATTTACCACCCAAAATCCTCATCGTAGGTGGAGGTGTCTTCGGATGTGAGTGATGGACGTACTGAGCTGGTATTTCCTAATCTTGCTTTGATTCTTGAATTTTACACAAGCGAAATGCCATTGGCTCCTAATAAATTATTGATGGGAGTTCACGGTCGCTGATTCTCTTTCCAACATACAGTATCCACTGCCCTCTCACTTTCCCGGAGGCATCCAACAAGCGAAGTCACCGTTCTGGAGGCATCGCCCACGATTCCCAACCCCGAAGGCTCTTCAGTTGACGCCTCACGCATCGTTCGCGCTGACTATTCGCACCCCGTGTATACGAAACTCGCAGACGCAGCCATCGAGCGCTGGCGCAATACCGAATGGGGCGCCGAAGATAACCGATATATCCAAAGCGGACTACTTCTCGTCTACCCAGAAGGAAACACAAACGGCAAAGAATACGCCAGGAAGAGTTATAACAATGTCAAAGAGCTAGGAAACGACGTCGAGCTACTGCCATCCAAAAAAGATGTTCTGCGAGTGGCGCACGCATACGGAGAGGAATTGAATGTGGCGGGTGGCTACGTGAATTGGGGTTCAGGCTGGTCGGACGCCGAAGCCGGAGTTCGATATGCAAAGAAGCTTCTCGATACGGAGGGCAAGGTCACGTTCAAAACCGGGGAAGTCAAGAGCCTCCTCTACGCAGACCAATCTGCTGGTACCCCTCAGCGCAAAGTGACTGGTGTTCTCTTGGAAGACGGATCCTCCCTCACGGCCGATCTGGTCGTTCTTGCGACGGGTGCTTGGACAGGTAAGCTCGTCGACCTCCGCGGCCGGGCCCTCTCAACGGGTCAGGCGGTTGCGTTTGTCGAGATCTCCGATGAGGAGCAGCGGCGGCTGGAGAACATGCCTACGATCCTTAACTTCGCAACGGGTTTCTTCATCATCCCGCCACGCAAGAACCTGTTGAAGATCGCTCGTCACGCCTACGGCTATGTCAACCCCAAGAACGTGCCCGTTCCCGGGGTTGAGGGAGAAACGATGGAAGTCAGTCTGCCGGAACCCGGGGTCCCGGTTCCGTTAGAAGGTGAAGAAGCTCTGCGATCCGCGTTGAGAAATCTACTACCTAGCATGGGTGACCGGCCATTCATCCAGACTCGAGTCTGCTGGTACACAGACACGTAAGTTGACTCTGAAAGAACCAATAGTGGGAATACGGGAAATCTGACAAAAACTAGACCCCAAGGTCACTTCATTATCACTTATCATCCCGACCATTCGAATCTCTTCCTCGCCACCGGTGGCAGTGGGCACGGGTACAAGTTCCTCCCGGTGCTCGGGGACAAGATCGTCGATGCTATGGAGGGGAAACTTGAGCCGGAGCTGGGCGAGATTTGGAAATGGCCGGCGGTTGTAGAAGGCGAGTTTGAAGGTGATGGAAGCCGGTCTGGTGCGAAGGGCTTGCGGTTGATGGACGAGCTGGCCAAAACTAAGAAAGCACAGCGGAAGGGCGTCCTATAATCGGGTGGTACAAAGGCTGCACATAAGATATACCCCTGTAGATATACATTGTATATAAAAAGCCCAATAAAACAGTCTAACATACACAGTTACACAGTCATAAATGCAGCAGGACACTGATCTATTCATTGCTACAAAAAAAAGTCTACAAGAACTGCGTGATGTATGTACAATGCTTAGAGGAATAGACTACGAGTAGGATCAGATTTGCATGGTTTTCACTCCATTTGGTCCAGAGGCTATCGAGGAAAATTAAAAAAATCGTGCCACAAGAACCAGGTTCATTGCCTGATTCAGCAACCAGCCAGTGCATTCGTCCATTTCCGTGAAAAGGTCTAGAGGAATATCGCAGTTATTTTCTTCCCATCTGATCCGTCATCTTCTGAAAGAGTCGTGAAAACAAATAGGGCTCGAAGAACCACTTCCATGCAGACAAGGTCAAGATGAAAGGGTTAGCAGCCGATAGGCAAAAGAACGCAAAAACAAGTAATTAAGAGGGAGCAACCATCGACCAGCGCACAGTACCGCCCCCTTGAATCTGCGGTGTGCGACTTCTAATTGTAAAAAAAAAAGGACTTTAGTTTGTTGAAACAGACGACCAAAACAAACCGAATCGCTAGAACGCCGTAGAAATGCTAGCATAAGGAATCGTGATATGCGAGTTCAAAGGCAGCGACCAAGCCAACTTGAAAACGTCCTGCCTGGTTCATGATACAATCTCGCGGAGCAAGAAAAGGGACAAGAAAAAGAGCAAATGTTAATACATGGGTGCGAAAAGGTGAAGGCTTGAAGGGTGATCACCCGATGCAAGCGAGCACCGACATCAGTCTTTCTAGACTTTGCGGAAATCTTTGCGAATAGTTAGTATGAATGTCACAAACGAATAGGAATATGAGGTACTGTACCAGAAAGCACAGGGTAGATCAACTCGAATGCCTGGTAGATCTCTTCACGGACCTTGGCGCCGGTCAAGACAATCTTGCCACTGACAAAGATCAAAAGCACGATCTTCGGCTTCATCATACGGTAGATGAGACCAGGGAACAACTCAGGTTCATAAGAACTGAAGTTATGATGGCGACTAGCCAAACCTTCCAGGCGAATGGGGAACTTGATGTCACAGGAGCCAACGATGTTCTGGATCTTAAAATCCGTGAACTTGGCATTGAATCCGAGCTTTTGGATGATACGCGCGTACTTCCTGGATGCCAACTTCGAGTCATCCTCCGACTTGGCACCAGTGACAACCATCTTGCCCGAGGCGAAGATCAAAGCGGTGGTCTTCGGCTCACGAATACGCATGATCACGGCCGCGAAACGCTAAAAGAGCAGTTCAGCCACACTATGCCCTGATAGTCAAAGCTCAGGGAGGTGTGGAATGCAATACCTTTGGATTGTACTCCGCATTTCTTGCATGGAGCGCAATAGTCTTCAAGTCAAGGCGACAGTCAAGATTTACAGTAGCGACAATGTTTCTTAAAAAAGAATATCCTTGTTCAGCATTCTGGTATACCAGAAGAGACAGCAAGAGTATACTCACTGCAACGTAGGCACAATGCCACTCCCCGGAGTGTTGGCACCCGGAGTCGCAACAGGAGTAGCGGGTGTCACCCCGTTGCCGTTGGTGGCATTTCCTCCCTGCTGCTGACCGTTCACATGTCCGTTTGCACCCTGAAGGTTCATCGCCATGTTTCCGTCTTTATCGGAAGGCGGCGTCAAGTCACCGGCACCACCGGGAAAGGACAGAGAGGCAGGAGAAGTGAAGGCCCGGGCCTGCTGCGCGGTGGAGGGATGGGTCGTGAGAGAATCCATTGCGACGTGAGTAGATGATACTCGAGCTGTAGACCAGCCAAAAACTGATTGTATACGAGAGCTTGGATTGGCAGTCTGTTCCCGAAGGACAGTCAGTCAACGTGCGACTCCAGTGTGACAGCGAACAGGCAGGAAGTTTCATTCAAGGGTAAGAATATATTGAGTGAACATATACATAAGATGTATGCAACAAGTCGGTCTAGCAACAACACCACATGACCACACAGTGAGGCAAGATGCGGTCAAAGAAGGCAGAAAAAATTTTTCGCGGAGGGAAAGCAAGAAAACATACCCTTTGTGGAGATGGACAACTCAATGTCTCCCCGACAGCAAAGCTGCCTTGTGTTTGATCACAGTAAACCGCTTCGTGTAGAAGCGAAACGGGACTGAGCTCAGGGTCAAGTCAAGCAAGACCTCCAACAAGAACAACAAGAGAGATGTTGATAAACAGGAGGGGAGACGAGATACCCGACCAGGAAGTCAAGTACCAAAAGTGATGTAGAGTAGGGAAGGGAACTAGAAAAGCACAGTGAAGTGTTTTCTAGGATATTAACTCAGCGGGGTAACTGTCACAGCTATGATGGGGAAAGAGTTATGGACAGCAACGTGAAGGGAGTGGACACAAGAAAGAATATGCGCTTTTTTGGGCAAACAAGGCAAACAACAAAAAACTTTTTTTTTTTGCTTTTCTTTTTCCTTTCCTGGAATTTCAATGTCTATCTGCGAAAAAAGAGTGTTTCTTGCAGTGTGTCGTATGAAGATAGACACCTGAGGAGCAAAAAAGGTTGCAAGCTTCCCGTTCCAGTAAGTATATCTGAAACTGTGGAGGAAGAAAAATATTAAATATTTTTCTCTTCCCTTTTGGAACTTCCTAAAAAGAGTTTTCTTCCCGGAGTATTTTAGCCACCAAAACAGAGAATGCTGAAAGCAAGGCTCTGCGACCTGTATCAGGCTGGAGTGTGGAGAGATAGAGGTAGAGGGGAGGGCGGAGAGAAGACGACTGTATGGCGTTCCGGGGCGGTGCCAAGACCAAGGTCAAAAATTCCAAGAGCGTCAGAAAGTGGGAGGTTGGGCCTTTATATAGGCTGACTCACAGTTGCCCGAGAGTGCTGGCGTCAGGGGGGGGGCTGGGCCCGGCGACTGGCGGGCGGCAAAAGCAGCGATGGATGGTCGCGCTCATCCATGGATTCACTCAGACTCTCAGTGACTTAGCGCTCCACTAGCGGCTCTTGGGTGGCCAACCCTTCTTCCCAGCTTGATTCCGTCATCTCTGGTTTGTTGATCAACAGACCCACTCAACGCAATCTGTTTGGGAGCCCCACCAGGTCGTACACGCTCTGTTTGGCTGTTGCCCCCTTACGTATTCTCCCGGTCAGCGCCATGGTTGCAGCCACTGTCGCTTCCTCCAGTCCGCTGTCGTCCTGCTCTTGATGTTCGGTCCCACCGCGCAGCCTATCCATTCCCTTTTTCTTCCAATCATTCCGTGTCGCTGTTCTCGGGGTTTCCCTCACGACGCGCCCTCGTTCCCTTTCGTCGTGCCGCTTTAACGGTAGGCAACTGAACAAAAATTTCGCCTCTCCCTCTTTTCTCACCCATGGACACCACTTCTAACTCCTTCTTTCCCTTTATTTTTCTTGCCTTTCTGGGTAAATAGCGTTGCAAAATAAAATTATACATCATGGCTGAGCGAACCTTGAAAGCCAGAAAAAAAATTATATACATATATATGTATAAAGAAGTGAAGAAAGAAAACTTGAAACCTGATGCTCCCTCCTGGCAAAGACTTCAGGTTGACAGGTAGAAAAAGTCTGCCGTCTCATCCGTAGAGGCTACGGTGTCCTAATTGGACCCTCAACAAGCGCCGCTCGAGACACGGTGGCGCCGACCGCTTTCCCCAGATCTTTAGCCAAATTTGTTGTGATCCACCGAACTTGCTTTTTGAAAAGAAATGCACATCCCATGATCTGTCAAATTACAATAAATATCCGATTTTGTACAGGTGTTCACTCCTAGGATACAGTATTTGCTTTGATAACGCATGGTTTGGTATTTTACATACCTCGGCGGTATGCTGAATACCATACAATTCGGCCGGTTGAACGAAATAGTGAAGATGTGCCTTTTATGTGTATTATTAGGCGTCTATTAGCATTCCAACGGTCTTCAACGTTGAGTCTGCAAGTGTGTATCCTGGACGAGTCGTCGTTTCCAGTCCATTCCAAGAATGAAGCTTTTCTTGAACAAAAAGCGTGCAGGGTTCGGATGATGGCATTTCTTTCCTCCGTCTCATCACATGCCCGCGTTGAATCAAAGCTATTCTTTACTACTAGTAGTACTAGTCTCCGTGCAGTACGCGCGAATGAAATGCTTGTTGGAATTCCAACTCTTCTTACTCCCATGGAACTTCACGTGAGATTATTGTTCATGTGATTGTATATTTACCATGTAGTTGACTAGCAGGGGTCATTTCCTTCTCGGTACACTAAGTGCTGAACCTGCATAGACTCTATGGCATCTTATCTGGCGAGAAGTGATAAGCTTGTATCAGCAGCTATATAGACCGAACCCCGCCTACATATGTACTCCGGATTTCTCAAGAGGAGGGATACTCCAAGTCCTATATAGGCTGGAAGTCCCCGGTCCTCCGACGGATAGCGGGCCAACAGCGGAACTACGAGGCGGATGTGATTCCTATTGCCGCGATTCCTATTGGTCGTCCTTACCTCGGGTAGGCGGTAACGTAGACTGACCACTAGCCTCCCGCTAAAAGAGGACTTAGTCACCTTTTTATCTTTGCCGGTGACGGAGGGGGTTTGACCTTGAGTGCTCCAGTACCGATTCTAACCATTTAATCCAATTCCTCTCCCCTCGGGTCCTTTTTAACAACGCTGTATACCCCTTGCCATGCATTTGCTCGGCATATAAGGCCTCTAAACCGTGCGCTAATCTATTCCTACCCGTTTTCCTACCGTTGCGATGGCTTCGAAAGGAGCCGTTTTGCCTCTCTTAAGGCGCGAACTGCGACCTACTTCCGCCCGATTCTCAAGAGCTTCGTTCTCATCTGCCGCGGCCCCTCTTCGGAGCTCTAGAAGCTCTGCTTTGACACCCGATCGGAGGACAACCCGTCAGCCAGCACTCTTCACGCCGAGCCAAACTCTCGGCCAATTTCGATGTTTCTCGCAGTCGCTATCCAACAAGCTCACAGACGAGAATGGCCACTTTGATCCTCGCCAAGTGGAAAGGGAATCGGACGAGGTCGATGTTTGTATTGTGGGTGGCGGTAAGGGTCTTCCCTTTCACTTTGCTCAGTATCCTACTGGGAGATCTAGGTAGCTAATGAAGTTCCTCCACCGGTTAGGCCCTGCTGGTCTTGCCGCAGCGATCCGCCTAAAACAGTTGGCCAATGAAGCTGGTAACGAAGAGTTTCGTGTTATTGTGTTGGAAAAGGCTGGCGAGATAGGCGCACATATTCTCTCGGGCAATGTTCTAGAACCGACCGCGATAAAGGAGCTTTTACCAGATTGGCTCTCAGAGGATAACCCCTCAAGGTTCGAGGGTGCCACACCGGCCAAAGGAGACAAGATGCGCTTTTTGACTAAGAACTCGGCAATTCCCATTCCTGCGCCACCGCAGATGAACAACCACGGCAATTATATCATCAGCTTGAACGAGTTGACCAAATGGTTGGGTGAGCGAGCCGAGGAACTGGGTGTGGAAATTTACCCTGGATTTGCTGCCAGTGAGTTGGTTTATAAGTCTGATGGGTCGGTGCTTGGTGTCGCAACCAACGATCTCGGAGTAGGCCGTGATGGCAAAGCTAAGGAGAGCTTCGAGCGTGGTATGGAGTTCCACGCTCGTATAACCCTGCTGGCAGAGGGTTGTCATGGTAGTTTGACAAAGCAGGTCATCAAAAAGTATGATCTCAGACGCGATAGTCAACCGCAAACCTATGGAATCGGACTGAAGGAGGTCTGGGAAATTCAGCCGGAGAAGTTCAAGTCGGGCGAGATTATTCATTCTATGGGTTACCCGCTTCCCAAGGATACCTATGGTGGATCTTGGTTGTATCATTTCGGGGATAACATGGTCAGTGTTGGAATGGTGGTTGGCCTTGATTATCCTAACCCGTGGCTCTCGCCGTATGGGGAGTTCCAGAAGCTCAAGCACCACCCTCTTTTCAAAGAGGTCTTGGAGGGTGGTAAGTGCATTTCGTATGGTGCCAGGGCCCTAAACGAGGGTGGTTTCCAGTCGATCCCGAAGTGTGCATTCCCTGGCGGCGCCCTGATTGGTGACACTGCTGGATTTCTGAATGTTCCCAAGATCAAGGGCACCCACTCGGCTATGAAGTCGGGTATGCTGGCTGCTGAATCCGCTTTCTCAGCATTGCAGGGTAAGCAGGACGATGCAACCGTTTTCCTATTTGATTATGAGGATGCTCTTCGAAAGTCGTCGATCTGGAAGGAGCTGTACGAGGTGCGCAACATGAGACCCTCCTTCAGTACTCCGCTCGGTATTTACGGCGGCATCATGTATTCCGGGTTGGAAGCCTATCTTTTCAAGGGCAGGACCCCATGGACACTCAAGCATCATAGCACAGATGCTGCAGCCACCAAGCAAGCTTCTGAGTGCGAGAAGATCGAGTACCCTAAGCCGGATGGCGTGATTAGCTTCGATATTCTGACGAGCGTGAGTCGGACCGGTACCAATCACGAGGAAGACCAGCCGGTACACTTGCAGGTAGCAGACTGGGATAAGCACAAGGATATTGCTTGGCCTAAGTACAAAGGGGTTGAGAACCGGTTCTGCCCCGCTGGAGTATACGAATATGTTGAAGATTCGACCAAGGAGCACGGTGTTCGGTTCCAAATCAATGCTCAGAAGTAAGTGATTCACGACTATCTCTCTCATGGCTTTTCCATGTACTAATCTTGCTTTTAGTTGCATTCACTGCAAGACCTGTGACATCAAGGTGCCGACACAAGATATCAATTGGCAAACCCCTCAAGGTGGTGAGGGTCCTAAATATTTCATGACCTAATCGACTCCGGTATTGGAACTAGGTATGGTCATCGCTAGGTAATTTCCATTGTCGTATTCCGCCTTGTATAAAATAAAAGCAGCTGATTGGATTGGGCCGGGTTCCTGTATATAGATTTTGTTCAAATATTTGTGTTTCTTCTTTTTGGGTAGTGACTTCGCAATGTTTTTCTAGTGGAATAGAGAATAGGAACCGTAAAAAACCCAATAAAAGCAATATTCCATAACATGATCCCTATAGATGAAGTGTAGGACTTGGTCCTACAATTTTGTAGTAGGTACCCCAAATCGGTCGTGCGGCTCAACCCCGTGGGGACTCGATGGGACGGAACCGTGGAAATACCTCGAGAGGTACGGTGTGCTCCGAGTATACTATACTGGCCCATTTGTATGTATGTATGTACAAACATACAAACATGTACGCAGTACCAGTGCCAGGCTCTGACTGCTGACATGTGTAGTAATGTGTATGTAATCGACGACTAGTAACTTATGTCCACGGTGTGTGCGATTCAATCTCTTCTCGGGAATTTAAAGAAAAAGTGCAGTGTTCATTATTCTCCGAGTTAGAAAATACAGTTGACCGTCATGAACCCCTTGACTAGTGTCAATCTATACATATATTTTCTTACTTCTCTATTTCATTGATGCATGCAGTCTGATTGGAGGTCAACACAAGGCTGGAATTTCATTGATTGCCTTTGGCTGTTGGCGGGGCCACGTGGACCCGCCAGAAAAAGTGAGGCGAAGGCTCTCCGTCACGCTGTTTGGCTCAACTGATTTTGCATTGTTTTCCTCCAGCTGGAAAGCTCCAAGAGACAAGTCACTTTGCCTTGGTCACTGTTGGTACGGGGTACTTGACGTCTCTTTTCTCCTTGCACCAATTTATTTTTAAACTTTTGGTTCTTGCCGTTTCGCCTGGCGGTCAACACAGACCATCTCTCTCTTGTCTTTCTCTTTTTACTCTGCCTCCCTCAACTCTTTCCCCTCTCCTTATCCTCCTCTCGCGCACTCTCCTTTCTCTGCTCCCGCTATCTAGCTTTAGTATTCTGTTGGCCGATAATCCAACACTGGAAGGGTCATCCTTCAGCGATTTAAGTTAAGCCACCGAGATCCCCATCGCCCTCTAATTAGGCGCCACCAGCAACCTTCTGGACCAGCGTCCCACTTGGGGATTCAGGAACAATAGCCATTATTCCGTTAGGACCGCGGCCCTCTTGATCCCAAGGTCTCGTCTTACCCCGGTTTGCGTCGAATATCGCCGTTTTACCTGGAAGCGATTATCTTCATCGTTCTTTTTGGCCGTTGCGGGTCCTGGGGCCAGAATTATCGTACTGGGGTTTCTTATTACTTGATCAGTACTAGACGCCATTCTTCTTTGTCGTCATGACTGAAGTGTCGTCCACACGACTTTATCTCGGGAATCTTCCCCGCAATGGTATGCAGCCGTTTATCAATCCCTTCTCTGAAAGGTTCCCCTCGATTCTCCAGCCCGATCGGAATGTTGCCCTTCTCGTCTGCTGCGCTCCAAGTACCAGGATGCCCCGATGGATCACCAAGGCTCTCCTCTCATTTGGCCCTGATGCGCAACAAAGGGAATTGCGCTGCACCCGCTGTTTTCTCCCAACGCTCGCCAGGTGCCTGTCTTATAAAAGAGACTGGCACTTATTCTCTGTCCTTCTTTCTTTTGTTAAAGCACTTCCAACTCCGGATTTCTATTGGCAACCCAATAGCACCCTCTGGATAACTTTGTTATATTTTATTGCAATGAGCTAACATTTTCTCGCGGCGCCCTACGCGGGTGCCATGGGAGGCCTTCAGTCACCAAGCAGGATATCGAGGAACATTTTAGCACCCATGGCTCCGGAAAGATTACAGAGATCAAGCTTATGAACGGTTTCGGATTCATTGAATACGAAGATGCGATGGATGCTAGAGATGTTGTACCAGGTAGGAGATTGGTCCCCGACAGCGCATATATATGGCTAATATTGTTGTTCTTCAGCGTTCCGTATGTATTCGGTTTCGCGCCGGTTCCTGGACTAATTGCGCTTCTGACCGGATCTTCTTTACAGATGGCAGTGATTTCAAAGGCGAGCGACTCACTGTACAATTCGCGCGGGGGCCACGTCGCAAGGAGAACTTCCCTGGCCCAATGGACCGTCCTAATATGCCTCGTCCCCGTCGCACGGTCTACCGTATGATGGTTTCTGGACTCCCGGAAACAAGTTGGCAGGTTAGCAGCCCATGTCTATTTTTCTCAGGATTCCTGGAACGCCGTGCACTTTGGCCGATGAGTGTGTGGCATACTACCCTGCGTACCCCCTGATTTTCCTATGTCTCTTGCCCTGTTCGCATGGATAGCACTCCCTAAGGATTCGACTCAGCCATGGTACAACCTCCCATTGATGGCATTTGGATATCCTCCCCGGTGGAGGAACGATTCCAACCCTAGCACCCACAGTACTTCCAAGGCACACTCCGTGGACCTCAACTGCCCTGGGAGCTGTGGTAGGTTAGGCGTTGGAAGATCCCGTTTGGACGGAATACCCACTAGCAGCATGGACTCAGGCCGTTTCTGGAGCTTCCGTTTAGTTTGGTGAAACCGTGGCCTGAATCTGTTTCCTTTTGTATTCTGTTTCATGCGTTCCCTTGGATAATCCCGGACTCCACTATTGCACCAGGAAATCAACTCACACCGCGGAATTCTCTAGGACCTTAAAGACTTCGCACGTGGAGCGGGTCTTGATGTTGTTTACTCGGAAACCGGCCGTGAACTTGGTAGAGGGTGGGTCAATTCATAATAACCAGGACGGCTCTCGGACCCTGTTAACACTAATCCTCAAGGTTCGTTGAGTTTGAGACTGCGAATGATCTGAAGACTGCCATTGAGAAGCTCGATGGGCGTGATTTCAAAGGCTCCCGAGTGAGTTGTGTGGCAGATGTAAGAACCAACTTCCGCCTAAGGAGCTGGGATGAGGTCCTCATTTTAATATTCTTTAGGTCCAGCCTGTTGATGAGCGCCCTTTCCGGGATCCTTACCGGTCTCGGTCCCCTCGCCGGAGTTATCCACCCGTAGATGAGTACGACCGGAGATTCCCCCCACCTCGGGGCTACAGTCCCCGTGCTCATTACCGGGAGCGCTCCCCAATTCCAATGCGCCGGGATTATTATGAACGTGATGGCTATGGACGCCGTACTCCTCCCCGTCCTCGTATTGATGATTATCCACCTCCACGTCGACCTTATGATGACCCTTATGATGTCCGTCCGCCGCCGCCGCCGCCTCGGTATGAGGATCCCTATATGCCACCAAGGCCTTACGGACGGCCCCGAAGTCCCCCACGGGGTGAATATGTGCCCTATGACCGCCGTGGTTACTGGTAAATACCTGTCTCCTGTGATTTGGTTGTCTTGAATGCATGGCGGATACCCATGTGCTTCGTGTTCATTCCCCCCCTCTTTTTCTTATGTTCCTTTGTGTTTGCTCGATTCCATTTTCCCCTGCTTTCCAAAAGGAATCGGTTGCGATCCAAGTCTACCCTAATTTTCCTGGAATGGACGCACTGAAGATGCGACGTGCCTGTTGTCGAAAAATTTCCGTTTATTGCTTGACATGAGGACAATTTCTGAGGCCCTTGTGCACTTACTAGAAACCCCCCACCGAAAATCAAAGGAAAAGGTATGCGACGACAGTCTAGTCGCTATCTTAGAGCGCCGCACGCTTTCCTCGAGATGGGGTACATTTTCCTGGTGGTTGGCCAGCGCTGCGCCGGGTGTTGTGGATAGGGCCGTCTTCCGTTCCTGCAGCATACAGAATTCCCTGATATGATATGATATGGACCAGTTTACGAGGATATTGTACATTGACCAACCAAGTCTATCGCTTGTTTACCCTACGGGAGGTCTAGATGTGTATTAATAGGAATACCGGAGCTACCGTTGTGGAGTCACTTACCGATGAAATATGTAAACACCTGCGCGGGGCATGGAGTGCTGAAGTAGTATGTATCTAACCGTCATGACCTACGAAACAGTAGTGGCTGAACAACTCCAGCCTGGTCCCACTGAGATGAGGCGAGAAATTTGGGTGGAGATAACTTTTTAAGTTTCCTGGGAACTGCGCTGTACTGCTGGTGTTCAGTTCATACCGGCGTAATATTTTGTCGAAGCTCCCCGCACTAAAGAACCCCACCATCATTCTTTCTCAATTCTCTGGACACAGAACCACGAGAAGCAACCGCCATTGATCAGAAGCTGCTTGCGTGGGAAGATAACCTACACGCATTATTTGTTCTTGAGATGTGCACTTGCTGATTTGGTACTGCTTTTCTACCATTGTTGTCTGTGACATTTCAGGTGTACTGACGTCAGAGCTATCTTAGCTTTCGCTTGCAAGGACGCCAGCCTGCGAGCAGAGAACAACTCACCCATCTTATTCTTTCTTTCTTTCTTTCTCAGTTACAGGCTCTAAGCTTTTATTACGATTACAATGGCTGAACAGCGAGTTAATGTTCATATACCGCCCCACCCCGCCGTCCTAGATAGCGTGCGACTCCGTGACATTGAGCTCCCTCTACCTGCCGCCCCAGAGGCATGGCATCGGCTTGGGAAGTCGCAGCCGTGCACTGTGTCTCTGAAATTATCTTATTCGTCGGCCGTTGCAGCTGCGAATGCGGATGATGTCTCTCTTTCTATCGACTATGGGAAGCTTTACCGCCGGTTAGAAGAAGACATTCGCAATATGGGGCAGCATGAGGAACATCCAGGGAAACGGATGATTAGCTTGGAAGGCAGCCGACGAAATTCGATGATGAAGACTGATGTTGGTCAGGATGTACGACTGACGGCGGCCATTGTTGCCAACTGCAGCCTAGAGTTACTTGATGAGACTACGGCCGGGGTTAGGAGAATGTCACACTTGCATAATGCTGCAAATCAACCACCGGCCTCGAAATCCCCTATTGACGGTATATTTGGTCGATGTGAGGTTTGGTTAAATCTCCCCAAGGCTCTGCTGCGTGCAGAAGATGGCCTGAAATACCGTAGCGTCACAGTTTGGGGTTACAAGCAAGAGAACGAAGTCGCAGGCAGCCTTCAGGACTCTGAACGGTGTCCCGTGGTTCTAGAAGAAGAATTCCGCATTGAGGGCATAAGATGCCATTGTATTCTTGGTGTCAATTCCCACGAGAGAGTTGAGAAGCAGGCCGTGATCATTTCGCTAGAGTTTAAGGGCCCGGGCCAGTTGGCATGGGGATCAACTGTGGTAGACACTTACCAGGCAATGACTAGAGCTGTCGCAGAGGTTAGTTCTTCTTTTCTGTCCCTACTGTCAGGATGTATTTGCCTATGCTGAGCTGTGACTAACGTGAGATGCCCACGTCTGGTAGCGCGTGGAGGAAACCACTTTCCAAACCGTGGAAGCACTAGCGACTTTTGTCGCGCGCATAGTGACAGTTGAGTTTGCCAACGAGCGCGTGACAGTTCGAGTAGAGAAGCCTAGCGCGTTGGCCTTTGTGGGAAGATCAGGGATAGAGATCACCCGGTCCCAGGCTTTCTTTGAAAGAGCCGAGATGGATGGAGGGCGGGTATAGAGCATATACGGAGTACATAACATCCTCTCCGCGGTCCGCCCTAACACCGCCCATGACGTCATGTGAGGCTTGCGATGGTCTCCGTAGCCGATCTGTAGTTAGATCTACCAAGTTCCTACCAACCTGATAATTGTAACGGTTAAGGTTATGTCTCTGTCTGTTTGAATGAGGTAAAAGTAGGACCCAATGACTGCCGCACGTGAAGACCCGCGCTCCCCGATAGGGCTAGTGCCGCTTAGCTCCGGAACACGTTGATTGGTCCCCGGGGTCACTGGCCAAGCGTACTTTTTTTTTAATCAAGTAATAAGAATTAACATCTGCGACTGGAAAGCCCCAAGCGGTCACACTTTCTTTCTCTCTCTCTTCCTCTTTGAACCTAGGAGTTTATCCTGGAAGGTAATCCCATACTTCCTTTCTTCGGTGTCCTCGGATTTCAATCCATTTAACAATTGCAAACATTCGCACTGCCACTTCTCTATGTGCTTGTCTGCGCCCACGCTGTCACACTCCGATATCGTTCGCTTCGTTGGCCGCGCTGCCAGCACTCGCTTTGTTTACCTAAATACCAACGACGACTCGACTGGTGTCTACTCAGGAACTACCGCGCTGGCTGGATCTCGGGTTGTATCGTCTACCCGGCTTCCCGAATCCTCCGTCGACAAGGTGAATTGGCTAGGGGTCCTTGGTCCGTCCTGAACAAGGGCGGACGGTAATTTGCTGCTTCTGAGCATCCAGTGCGATCAGTCAAGCCCAGCCGGCTGAGCAGAAGTAAGATCTATCGCGAAAGAAAAGTACGCGTGGTTCAGAGTTGTTTACTCCCCTTGCATTGGTGTTTCGCAACTCCTGCTCTCGATACCCCACTTTCGTGCGTCTTGAGGACAAAACCGGGTCTAACCTGTCTATTCCATAACCAGATACTGCTTGATAGGTCTCGCAAGTGCATAGCCGCTGATCCATGACTGAGTGGATGTGATATTTCTTCGTTTACGCATTGTGCTTATCGGCGCCTCTTAAGCTTTTGGATCTGTCATCATTTTGGGTGTGACGTTCCCTTTTCGGATAATCTTTGGATAAGTGACGCAAGGAAAAGGGAAGTACATAAAGCTATAGTGAAGAAAAGCAAATGGAGATGTCGAGCACATTTCAGGATGATCTCTCGGTCGGCGACGTCTTCAGCCCTCAGGCTGACATGTCGCAACCCCGCGATGAGGTCAGCTTGAACAGCAACCAAACCGTCAGCTTTCGAATGAGCGATGCAAGCCCTAGCCGCAAACCAGGGCTTTCCGAGAAGGATGCCCGGAGAGGTAATCCTTTCCCAGCATCAAAACTAAATGCAAATCCGCTCTCCGGAAAGGTAGACCGACGAAAAAAGAAAAAGCAACAAACCGCCGCAACGATCTCGACCGTTCGTGGTTTCACCCCCATGGGCTCTGGTGATGAGGACTCGGACTTTTCGAACTCTAGTTCACGCGCACTGCGCTCTTCAGCACGATCGGGTAATAGCCCAATGCCACAGGCAGCTTCAGGCCATGGTGTTAGCGCTCTAAAGCTTCAACTCGATTCGCTGAATCTGTCGGGAGACCGCTCTCTTCAAGGCGCGCCGAGTGACCTTGGTTCCGAGGCACCAAGCAACGCAAGTGTCTGCTCTGACAGTGACCAAACAGAGGTTCTGACCAGCTATGAGGTACCTCTGGAACACGACTATGTCAGCGCTGATGCCGTAGCGGAGGAGAAGTCTCATAATACATCAAGCGTTAAAGATATGCGCACGCAGCTTTGCCGGAAGATGACCACAGATGACTTCGAGCCCCTGCTCTGTCTGGGCAAAGGCTCTTTTGGGACCGTCTTGTTAGTGCGTCATGTGCTCACGGGCAAACTCTATGCTCAGAAACAGTTCCGGAAGGCCTCAATCACGGTCCATAAAAAGCTCGTGGAGCAGACCAAGACAGAACGTATGATTCTAGAGAGCGTCAACCGCCATCCGTTTGTTGTCAAGCTTTTCTACGCCTTTCAGGATCATGAGAAGCTCTACCTCATCCTGGAATACGCCCAAGGTGGCGAGCTATTCACGCACTTAGCCATGGAGCGTATGTTTGATGAAGATGTGGCGGCATTTTACATGGCGGAAATGGTCCTCGCGCTCGAACATCTGCACCAGAACGTCGGTGTGATTTACCGTGACTTGAAGCCTGAGAATTGCCTTTTGGACCACGAAGGCCACCTTCTGCTGACGGATTTCGGTCTCAGCAAGATTTCTGCCAATGATGATGACCGCTGCAACTCTTCGCTGGGCACCATTGAATATATGGCCCCAGAGGTTATCCAGGGTAAGCCATACGGCAAAGCTTGTGACTGGTGGTCCCTCGGGGCATTGGCATACGATCTCCTCACAGGATCACCTCCTTTCAAAGCTAATAACAACGCCAAGCTGCAAGAGAAAATCCTGAAGCAGAAGCTAACCCTGCCCTACTTCCTTGGCCCAGATGCCAAAGACCTGTTGACCCGTCTCCTTCGTAAGGAGCCCTCCAAGCGTCTCGGATACCATATGCCCAAAGATCTCCAGACCATCAAGAACCACCGGTTCTTCCGCAAGATTGACTGGAAAGCTCTTGCGCGCCGTGCAGTCACTCCTCCGATCGTCCCTGTTGTCACGGATCCTGCACTCGCGGAGAACTTCTCCGACGATTTTACTCATCTCCCACTGAGCCCGATCGTTGCTTCTGCCAGCTTCGATGATCACTACGCTGCCCATCAGCGCGGCAGCCAGCGTCCCATGTCATCTGGCTACGACGTCATGGGAGAAGAGAGTAACCCCTTCGGAGGATTCAGTTTCGTCGCTTCCAGCAGCTTGCTTGACCACGGACTGGGCATCGCGACCAGAGGCTTTTGACTCGCTGTGCACGTCCCTAGCCTGCGGGACGAAACACAGAGTATGGTGACGGGTATCTTTCGTTTGTCCATTCATCTTCAGGTCACAGCACAGGTAGACTTAGCTTCAATGGAGAATATTGGCTTGCGTACACATATTCTTGGATCCTCTGCGTAGTCTTCCATGGATAACGTTATACGTTTCGGATAGAATTGCGCTAAGTTTTGTTACAGACCAGCCACCCAGGAATATAACGATGTGTTACTATACTAACACCTGCTAGCTAGAGTAGTGTCAACAGAAGTAGCCAGTAATATTGACCTAGGTAGCAATACATTACAAACAGAATTTCCTAATTTTCTCTTCTTTTTTTTTGTTTCTCTTCATCTTCCTGTAATGGCATTATATCATCGTGATATTCAAACCGATGACCCTGTATATTTCGTTTTGCCCCGTCCACACTACGAAGAATTATGTACTGTACAGTGTAGCCAACGAACCCGCCGGACTTTAAGAATAGACGATGAAATAGGATGTCCCAGTGATGTAAGCAAGGTTATAACAGAGATATAGCTGTTTTTAAAGTGTGGTAAAGATGCAGAGGATACCGTGAAGAACTTATAATGACTATAGCTCGCCCTCTTCGCTTCCTCCGCCTTCTTCGTCCTGGTCAGGTGGCGGAGGAGGCGGCGGTGGCTGTTGGTTCTGGGGTTTATCGGAGGGAGGAGAAGGCGGGGGTGGAAGATGTTGCTCGTCGGTGGATTTTCTGCTGGTGGAGGAGAGGTCTGAGCGACGTCTTCGGCTGGGGTCTTCGTGTTCGCGGTATCGGTCTGAGTTGCGTCGGTCTCGGGACGGGGGCCCGCCTTGGGGAGTGGTCATGTTTTGGGATACGATCTCATCAATCCGTTGTTGGATTGGGTCGTCGACTCGGGCGTTTGGACGCCCGCTGCTGCCGCTTGGACGGGGGTCGCTGTCTCGACGGGGGAAGGTTCGCGGAGCGGGAGGTAGGGGATGTTGGTAGCGGTGGGGAGGGGGAGGGAGATGACCGTTTGTGTGGTGGCGGTCGTGGGGGAATGAGCGTGTCCCCGTTGATTGGGAAGCTGTTGCTCCCTGGGAGGAGTTGAACGATGTGGAGTTGGATGGGGTTTTTTCGGTAGAAGCATCTTGTGCGGCAGCGTCTGAGCCCATGCGTGGTCGTTTCGGGGATCGTTCACCATTCGTCGGTCCCTGATCGTGCGGAGCCGGTGGTTCTTCTGAGTGGCCTTGGGCTTCGTCTTCGGGCTCTCTCGACCGCTTCCGTCCATTCGCGGTGTCTGTTTCATACAGGGTACCAGCCGGGCTGCCAGCGCGCGGGATCCTGGTCTTCTCAGTACCCTCGTCTGCGAAGATGGGGGTGGTCGGGTAGTACTGGCTATGTTTCTGCATGGCATTGTTCTCGTATAATTGTGCCATTCTTGTGCACGCGCGACGCACCTGTGCCAGATCCACGTCGACCTGTTCCCACCATGGCCGGCCAGAGGCGTCGTCCTCAAATCCCACCTCGCAATGTCGGGCGGCAGCGTAAAGGGCGGCGGCAGCAATATTTCGAGCCGAGAATTGCAGGCAAAGAACGGTGAACATAGAGTCGTTGACGAAGGCCCAGGCAGCGTTGCGGAGGGGTTTGTTTTCGTTGACGCCGAAGTAACAGATGAAATCGTAGAGGATGCGGTAGGGCTGTTCGAGTTGGAGATCAAAGCAAAGGGCTTCCAGAAGGAGGTCCTCGTGGTGCAGAATCGTGTCTCGCCATTTCCAAAACTCCTTAGACTGCTCGTCCACGACTAGGTTGGGTTGTTTCTGCGCTACCCGACAACATGCAACCACCAGCTCTCTCATCCTCCGCACATTCTCCTCCACTTTGGTCGATAAGAATAACGCGGTGGCGGCAATCGGATAAGGGTGCATTCCCGGTCGTTGCGGCAGGTCCACCATGCTGTAGCGCATAAAAAACCGGTGAAGGTATACGGCAGCAGTTGCAATGGTGAGCTGGGGCAATTTTAACATGATGCCCACTTGAGTGATGAAATTGACCCCTTTACTGCGGCTTGTATGTTCTGCCTCCAGTGCCATACCGTCAAGCTGCGATGGCGCACGCGTGAGCTCCTCATCTGTAAAAAGCCATTGGGATTGTGTCGCAAGAAGGACGGGGTTCGATGGCGCGGGCACAGATCGCTTCTCCGCCGGTTGTGATGTTGTGGACGCCATGCAGGATTGTGTTGTTATCCTGGCAGGAACAGGATATCTGTTGGGGTCCGGTTGAGGTCGATGATATGGATAAGAGGAAGAAGTCAAGTTCAAATGACTACAAAGTAGGCAGGATCAACCATTTAGTCGTCCAGTGAGGCCAAAAGGAAGGACAAGAAGCGCCGAAGCTCTGTCCTCTGCTGACAACAAGAAGCTAAAACTAAGGTATTAACAGATCAGATCAACCATGGCGCGAGAGACCCTTCATCGCATCATGGGCCGAGCCTGGATTCAAGGCCAATCGCACTGTTGTGTTGTCGGAGGGTGCTCTGCTCAGAGACCGGAGAAGAGTAAGAGAGAAAATAGCAAAAAAAAAGAAAAAAAAAAGGAGAAATGGATCGAAGAATGGAGACAAGGCGGTGGAATTTATTCGGTAGAGGATTGTCTCCCCTGCAGATCTGGCGGTGGTTTTTGTTGGAGTTCGAATGATCCGCAGCCGGACAAATGCGTGATCTGAGATCGGATCATCAAGTTGTTCCGGCCTGGACTCTCAAGCACAACTCATTTGCATGCATCAATCCAACTCGAAATACACATAATGGTATTGGAACTATCCTAAATCCTCTATACAAGTTGGCGATGCAATAGGTGGTATCACTGCTATCAATAATTGTAAAACTCCATTGAGTTCATTATTCCGCTCCAAACTCCAAACGAACGCCATGCTTATATATGATTTTGAAACACGGAAAAAAGACACACACACACACACACACACACACACAATTATTCCAACAATGCAAAGATAAAGAAGGGAGAATTACTCTTCCTCGCTGACTTCACTCTCATCATCACTAGGAGCATTGTAATGGTGTAATGACTGATGACTCCTGGCCTCCTCTTCCCGAGCACTTTCTTCAAACGCAGCCTCCATTTCTGCCGCTAAGGCGTCATCGTCCTCAACCTCATCTTCATCAGCCTGTGCGTTGTGACTAAGCTCTACCCTTCCGGAACGAGCAGGTATCCCTCCGTGCCCAGCAGGAGAGGGCAACCGGAGATCCTCGATATCCTCATCTTCATCGTCATCATCATTTGCTGGTGTATTATTGGAAGAGAAGTGAGCAGGGTCAATTCGGAATGCAGGACGAGAAGGTGGCGGTGAGCCCATATCAATGATAAGATCTCCGTCAATGATGATATTAGACCCAGGTGAAGGAGCTGGTTGTTGGGATAACAAAGCGCTGCTTCCATTTTCGAAAGATGGGGATTTGGTTGCTTCGATTGTGTCATCTTCAGCAGGAGCCTTCTCTTTCACGTCCTCATCGCGAGGTATAGGCTTGGAGCTTGTCTTAGGGGTCCCTGCGCTGTCATGCTTGGCCGGCTTGACAGGCTTCGGGAGACGAAGCGGGTTGGACTGGGTTTTGGGACGAGGCTTCGGGCTAGGCTTCGGACTCGGTGTGGACTTGATAGTCGCAGGCATTAATGGGGTATTGGCTTTGCTTGTGTTATAATGAGGTTCTGGTGTAGCGTTGTCTGAGATCGACTTGTCGTCGTCGGCATTCTCCTTGGGAAGGAAATGCCGGAAGTCGTATGGATTACTGTCATCCGCTGGGCCATCATCGTTCCCACTGGCATGGTCTGAGCCCCGATCGTCTCCTGAGCCTTGGTCGTCCTCCTGCAAAGTCCGAAGCTGTTCATACTTTTCTAGCACTTGCTTCTCCGTCTTCGCTGGAGCTGAGCGGAGGTTAAAGTTGAGCTGCGCTGCAACCGGTTCCAGCACAAAGGCCTTGCGATGGGAGTCGAACACCAATACCAGGTTTCGCTCTTCGGCTTCTGAAACAGCTTGGTCTGGGTCAACGCTGCCTTGGTAAGAATATGTTAAGGTGTTCTGTTCAGCATTCGGTGCTTTATCCGTAATGGTAAGGTTGTAGTGATCTCTCGACTGCGACGACCTGGTAATGGTTTGTTGTGCGGTCGCGGACTTTGTCTTGTAATTATATTGGATATTGACCAGTTTTGATAGTGAAGTGCCATTTTTACCTGAGAGCCTGTCACCCAAAATAATGGGGTACTCGGCCTGTTTGGTAGGATCGATCAATCCGGTTGAGAGAGCGGGGGCGGCCATCGGTAGAAGGTTTAACCACGGTGGGTGAAGTGAAATCCCCAAGTTGCTGTTCAATGACTTGTTTATCCACACCGACTATAAGGAGGCTTTCATTCCTTGGTGTGAGTATGGACAGGTCGTGCGTACGCAAGGGAGAAGGACGTCACACAAGAGACGGCAGTGAAGACGACGACGGAACGAGGGTAGCCGGCAGACCAGCACCGATCAGAGGGTTATAGGACAGACATTCAAAATGTATGGAAACAACCGAGAGCATAATATATATATAAAAAAAAGAATATCCCTGATCTGGGAGGGAATTAGAAAAAAGAAAAAGAAAAAGAAAAGGGAAGATGAAGGAAACAAGGAAAGGGAGGGAGAGAGAGAGAGAGGAGGGAAAGATGACGGACGGAGAAGCCGGCGGTCCAGACAACGACCGGCGGAGGTCAAACGGCACCCGCCGCTAGTGCCCCATACGGCTAGCGCGCCGAACCGGAGTCCTGATTTACTCCTTTTAGCAAGTAAGAACGCTTACATAGGTATCAGCCGCAGTCAGATGAACAGGGACAAACTTCCTCTCATGCAATTCCAAGCCCTTGGACGGGTGAAGTCGCCCGTAAGGTCCCCTTGGAAGACCCGGATGCTGTATTCCCTCCGGTGAGCTGCTCCAGGCGCCCTGCCAGGGCTCGGTGCTTTCTTGTCACCTCCTCCCACTCATAGGCCATATCTTCGTCTTTGTCTCCCATATCACTCAGTTCTGTAAGAATCATTCCAAAATCTCCACCCAATCGTCCGAGACTGGCGGCGCAGTATAGAACTTGGGTGAGGAGACTTTCACGCGAGCTCTTGTCCCGCACATTCGGAAGATATGCTCGCAAGGTGTCTGTCAGTAATTGGACCAGATGCATGGGAAACGTTGCAAGTGCTGGTGGAAGGTGCTGTAGTGGATCTTCTTGCTGAGCGGGTCGCGGTGCTGTTGATTTAATTCGCGCGTCAATTCCTCGCAGTCCTGTCACTGCTAGTTCCGACTCGGACTGGTTAGGGGTAAAGATGTTCTTGTACAAGGAAACAATAGCGAAACTCTGCTCACGGAAGATCTCAATATAGCGTTTTAAGAACTTCTCTGTTTGATGTCCATCAGACCAGGACCCGGGCTTCTTTTCTGTACTTTGGTTTCTGCGGTGCGATTCTTGGTCCGCGAGCTCTCGCAAGGGTTCTAGCGCTTCGAGCGTTGCCACCAGATTCGCCAATCTACAAATCAAGAATAGGGCACCAAGGGCGCCTTCTCCTGTCCCAGTTCCTCCGTCGCTACGGAGATTCTCCAATTCGGGAGCAACTCGCCGCAGCCAACCCACGGTCCTCATAGCAGCTGCTAGTCGGAGGTTTTGAGCCCGAAGACCGGTTATCAGATGCGTAGTCATATCCTTCATGGCGTCCTCGGCTTGAGCGGAGACATCTCTAACTAGAGGAGAATCCGGATATAGAGTTTGTAATCTCTTGATATGCGCATACACGTCTAATGCCGCTGAATATGTCGTGGAAGATGAACTACCTGCAGGCCCGGAGCCTGCGGCCGCGGAAGATACGGCAGTTGAGAGCAACGTTGGCAATTCCAGAATGTCCGACAATCGGTCAACATTCCTTGCCAGTTGCATTACTTTCTTCCGCTTCTCCAGCGCTGCATTCTCAGCAGCTCGACTGTATTTCGACGAGAACAGGACTGCCTCTTCATCAAGCTTTGGAATCGCATCCCGTAATTGCTGTGCATCTTGAGACAACTGGGGGATTGAGTTCCGTAGACTTGCGAGGTTGTCGGCGGAAGAAATGAAGGTTTTATGGGAGCGGTTTGATAAAGCTTGAAGCGATAGGATATTTGAATGAGATGACTGCGCGAGTGACTGTGGTTCGGTTTCTTGCAAAGCCTGGAGTGAGAGGGTGGGCAGCCGGTTGAGGTATTGGGCAGCGGTTGTATCATTTTCAGGGTTCAGTTGGGTGGGGGAGGCATTTGTGGAAACTAAATGTGGCGCCAGAAGCTCATAAAGATAGTCCGCCATGATGTATCTTCCTTGCAGGTTTTCCAATCTAGAAAGACAAGCTGTGGGGCATAGAAGGCCGGCAGGTTTGTTAGAGAGAGGAACTGGACAACTTTAGTTGTGGGACGCGATACTGTACGGGAGCCGCTGCGGCAACTAGCGCAGCATCTCCGAATGCTCAACTACCTCATCCTATCTATACCTCTAGTGTTGTCTAATGGACTGGACGACGTCCGGACATTGCGTTCGCATTCATCATTTCTTTTTCTTTCCCCTTACTTCTCGACTTCTAACTTTGGCATCGATATGATGTTCTATCATCCGTATCTATGAAAAAATCTGTTAGACAAGTTAAGGCAATCTATCTGCAGACGATCACTACTACTACGAATAAGAATCAATCACTAAGAATAGTTTAATCGGAGAAAAAAAAAGATCCCAATGTATATTAGGCAAATCTGAAGGGATAGAGACGGTGCATTTCAATTTTATCGTTATCAAGATTGCATCTTATCGGGATTCTTGAGCCCTATGTCTGATTTCAATCTTGTCTCACCTCGAACACTCCTCGGGGAAAGTCCGTTGGAAACAACTTAACTATTCAACAGCTTTCTGGAGCGTCCAAGTACATGGGAGTTATATCTTGCGATAACAGAACATATACTTATATACTTATATGTTGCGGGCCAATATGGAAGCGGCTATTAGCATTCGAGACTTTAAGATGATAAGGGACGATTAAATTACATCACTGGACCGACTAACCGGATAGGGTAACTATCAGGTACTGCCAGGTGCAGAGCGCGGTTCCCGCCTTGCAAACTCACAACTACGTCCACGTTACTTTTCGTTGTTGTCTTGTTCTTTTATTTTCTTGTTCTCTTGGGTACACCGCTTGTTATCGTAGCTCTTGCTGGTTGGACTATCCACTTGACACCGTACAGGCAGTACATGCAGAAAAGTCCCTTGGAAGCAGCCGTCTTACTGATCTTTTCAACCCCGCCTGTGCCCCTCTTGCGAATGCAGCATTAACCATGGGGAAACCGCGGGTGAGTCCTCCAGAACGATTATGCATGTGCTCTGTTTTACTCATATGGGCTAGATGATCATTTTGATCCGCCATGCCCAGTCAGAAGGCAACAAAAATCGCGAAATCCACCAGACTATTCCCGATCATCGGGTAAAGCTCACTCCTGAAGGGCATCGACAAGCCCATGAGGCCGGTTCCCAACTGCGCGCCCTCTTGCGACCCGATGACACGATCCATTTCTTCACATCACCGTATCGCAGAACCAGAGAAACTACGGAAGGAATCCTTCAGTCGCTAACCTCTGATTCTCCATCTCCGTCGCCCTTCCCCAGACACACTATCAAGGTATATGAAGAACCTCGGCTGCGAGAGCAAGACTTCGGTAACTTCCAGCCATGCTCTGCTGAAATGGAGCGCATGTGGCTGGAGAGAGCGGATTATGGACACTTCTTCTACCGGATCCCGAACGGCGAGTCGGCTGCTGATGCCTACGACCGGATAAGCGGTTTCAACGAGTCGCTGTGGCGACTCTTTGGAGAGAACGATTTCGCCAGTGTTTGTGTCTTGGTCACCCATGGTCTGATGACCAGAGTCTTTCTCATGAAATGGTACCACTGGAGTGTCGAATACTTTGAAGACCTTCGCAATATCAACCACTGCGAATTCGTAATCATGAAACTCAATGAGGACAATGGGAAGTATGTGCTGCAGAACCAGCTACGCACATGGTCAGAGTTGAGAAAGGAGAAGGAACTGGAGAGACAGCGAGATCGGGTCGTGAGCGCAATCCCTCCAGCGATGCCAACACCATATGAGTCACTCGTGCCCATCCGGCGTAAATGGGGCGGTTGTCCGGACGGGTGTAACCATGGCATTCGCAGGAAAGGTTCTACACGGTCTACCCGAGCGAATGGAACAGATCTTGCCCGGAATACTCTTGATACTCAGCACAGAAAGGCCCACGACTCCATCCATACTCATAACCAGTCACCACAAGAAAGCAGCAACGGCCAAGGATCCTCAGCGGAACTGAAACCGCAGGTTGCGGAACAGGTTTTAACAGCACCCGAACCAGCGCTTGGAGACCGTTCCAAAGAAACAAGGCCCTTCACCAGTACTATTCCTACTCCCGCTCCACAATACAATTCACTCGATCGTAAAGAAACACCCAATCTCCAGCCCACTCGATCCGACTTTCCGCCAAGTGAACCCAACAGCAACAATCAAGAGAGCAACTTCAACAACGGAACCACCAGGGCAAGCCCTATCCCCAAACGTCCAGACCTATCCAGGTTTCACCGCGACAGCGAGGACCACCTCCTGCATCCCCCGCGATCAAACTACGCCCTCCTCCACCTCAGTGGCCGCGACGGAGGCGGCACATTAAGCGGAGCCAACAGTGTCGCACCATCGGAAGACGAGCGCGAGGACAAACCCCCTAAACTCACCACTCATCAACCAAAGCCCTCCCACGACCTAGGCAACGACGGTGATGACGAGGGCAGCGGCACACAGGCACAGCGTCTTCGGCGCTCACGCTCTCACCACACCCACCACCGCCACAACCACCTATCCACCCCAGGAAGACGACATGTATCCAAGAAACCAGCCAACGACTACCCCGACAAAGACCGAAACCTAGACAGCGACCACCCAGACTCCTCAATCGACCACGAGGAAGACCCAGACCCAGACTACCACGAACACAACGACGACGACGACGACGACGACCTCGAGGCGCAAAGACGAGAAGACCAAAGTATCAGAGGAAGCGTCTACTAACCGATGCCCACTACATATTTCCATTACTCCATTTTGCCCTTCTCTTGGAACCAACACATAATACTTACTTCATCCTACCTCATTTGCATCACGGCATGAATACTGACGATGAAAACCTATCTTATCTACTTCACTGTAACGAGCAGCGACCTGTACACCTCTTTTTCCGTTCGTTTCAAAAAAGACTTCGATACCCGACCTTTTTTGTTTCTCGTACACCTTCTACCTCTCTACCTCTTTTCATGATACATAGATACTACTACACTACATACATGACTTCGATCACTTCGTACATTAATTGAACTGAACTATTGCATAAAGTTGTTTCGTAGGTTTGAAATAAAGTATACTAAATGATTGTCTGAGGTATGTTCATATGATTAGTTCATGGTACTTAAGTCTGAAACATACCTTGCGTTGATTGATCTGCGGAACCTATCTACCATATTGAGATCGAACTTCGAAGGCTAACAATTCATTACTCTTGTCTACATCGTAATACACGATTCGGGATTCATAGGAACGGAAGAGTGACCGATTCTTTTGGGGGAAATCCGGATTTTCATCGATTTTCCACGATTTCATATGGTATGTTTGAGAGAAGTTAAATCTAACTTACAATCAAAGAATGAGATTGACAATAGCACAGGTGGTTCAGCACCGTGAGAAGAAGAGAAAAAAAAAAAAAAAAAAAAGGGAGAACAAGCACATGGGTGAGAAGGGGGAGTATCACTTTTTTGATAAATTGTCTTACCAACGACAGGCGGAATAAAATGTAGAAAATTGTAAGACAGGCACGGATCAATGGACAAGTCGTAACAAATGGTAAATAACAAAGGTTGAGTGTTCCAAAAGAAAATAAACTACAACCGAGAGGAATGATCTTCGATCCCGGCGTCAGGGCAAGCCGAATGAAATCTCGGGGTATGACGTCGTAGCATCGAGGAAGGCTCCGATTAAAGTGAAGAGAAGAGAAGGATGTGACAGCATCTGCCAACCGAAACAGAACAATGCAACAAGCCGGCAAGGGAATCGAATGAAACGAGGTATTAACGCCATAATACTCAAGGCAAGAAGCTGGTAGGAAAAAAAGTAATAAAAGGGAAAACCAAGGTCCAGGGTCAACCAACGTCAAGAAAACGCAATCTATGAGTGACATCCGCCAGTAGATATGCCCAACCAAAAAAAAAAAAAAAAAAAAAAAAAAAGAAAAAAAAAAAAAAAAAAAAAAAAAAAAAAAAAAAAAGGTAAAAAATAAAAAAAAAAAAAAAAAAAAAAACAACGGGGAAACATCATGAATGTCGTGACTTTTCACTTCAAAAACTTGAAGTCCAACGATCTTTGCAAGTGATATTCGAACATGATGGGCAAGTGTCCATAAACAACGATATCGTATCAAATCGAGATGAAAGGGCCTATGCCTCGTCGTAAATACATGTTCGAGCTGTGTCGTAAATGTGGCACTTGTTCGAATATCGCTTCGCGGCACTTTTTTTTTTCGAAATTTTTTTGTTTCCAATATTTCAGGAAAAAGGCGATCAAAGGACTTTTCAGACACAACAGTAGGAGCCGAAACCGAATAAAAGGAGTGTCATCACCAGACCGAAAATTGCGAGATGCGGTATCATCAATAAACAAAAGTAAGCAAGTCTAACGAAAAAACAGTGTGGTCGATCGAACTGAATGCGCATTGTACACCGCGGATTCCGAAACAGCCTGGCAAGCCATCCACTAGCCGGCAAGGATAGGTTGCATTCCGCCGAAGGCACCAGCGCACATATAGTGCTCAACGTGTTTAGCACAATGTAAACAACCGCAAGAGGAACCATGGCCTGTCCATACGCTCTGTGCAAATGGCAACGCATATGACGGGGTATGGTGGTAGGAGGGTGGCTGCGACCGTGGCGCTTGTGGCATGTATTGTGGCTGGGGAGGGATCCAAGTCCGGGAATATGGTGGTGGCGGGTTCGTATAAGCCCACGGTCCAACTGCGTAGTAGTCTGGGGTGTTGGGACCACTGTGGGGGGCTGATGGGGGCGAATACTCAGACGCCGCCGGATTGAGCCAGGAAGTCTCAAAGTGAGAGCTACGCTGGTACTGGGGAGGGATAGGACCTTCCGGGGACATGAGCGGCTTGGAAATTCTAGAACCCCTGGACACGTTAGTGTCGATCGGGGCCAGATTGTGACGCGAATCATGAGCCCGGGCGGTCTTCGCACGCCACGTGTCCCAGTGAGCGCGCCAGGATGCGAATCCGTCCTGATCGTCATAGATGCGGTCGTGGATCTTCCACTCAAAAGCAAATAGCCATTCGAGCTCCATCGTATTCAGCTCGCTCACAGGGATGTTGCTGACCTCCGCCCACGATTTGTTCTGGAAGGTGTTATCGTCCAAAAATTTGCTTCCCAGAAGGAGGGCAACGGTGAGCATCCGGTAAACTTGACCATTACCAGACAAAAACACCTTGGAAGAAGACAGCATGCGCATCCTGCAGGATAAATAGTAGAGACCCAGAAGGATCGTCGAACTTGGCAAGCGAGTCGACGACAGAATCTGAAAGACGTACTTCCGGAATTGCGGCGGGACTGACGTTCCTGGGTAGACGCTTCGCGCGAAGTCAATATCTGCTAGGTGAATTTTGGTGTTGTACAAAGCATACATTCCCTGGGCCATCTCAGCCACGAAGTCGGACATCTGGTCCATCTCATAATCCAAGCGGGCGGCAACACCTCCAGTAGCCTTCTCCTCCTTGCGCTGTTGCTGTTCGGGTTGCACCATGACGTCTTGTCGGCGGTACTGAGGCGGGATCGCGCTGTCCATAGGGGGTAACTGGACGTTGTTTCGGAGGGGAGGCAACACATTCGCGGTAGGCATCGGACCGAACATGGGCTGGCTCATCATGGCCATATCTCTGCCACTGCGCATCGACGACGGGTGCATGTTCATCGGGGCGGGCTTGGAGTAGCAGGTCGATTGGGAATACTGCTCAATAAATTCACAACCGCTCTGCGAGTAGCGAGGGGGAAAGGCGGAGTGGCCAACCACGTAAAATGGGTGCTCGGAGTCCAGTCTGCCACCGCTCATGATGTGGGGAGGAGTAGGGGGCAGGCCTTGAAGGCCTGGCGCGAAAAAGGACGGCATAACGAAATAAATAGAAAAGAAAAGAAAACCAGTTCAGGACGGCGAAGGTAGACGGTTCTGGTGCTGTACAGAGTAAGAGTTTCCCGTCAGTATATTTATACCACGATGGTAAAATCGATCGCCGCTAATCAGGGTACCACAGAAAACTGAAAAGCAGATACGAACCGTCTACACGTCCGCCAGGCCCTGATCCTGGGGGGAGAGCGTTGCTCGGTGAGCCGCGGCCCTTTAGTTTTGCGTCTTGAGTATCGTTTAGTTAAATAACATGGAGGTATTCTTCAACGGCACGTATCAAACCCGGGAGCGCGGTTGTAAACGGATAAAAGTCGAAGAGCGAACGAAGCGCGCTTTATTTGACCGTTTGTTCTTCCTTGTTGGTCCTTTAGTGGGAGTCTGTGAATCCTTTCTTTTCGTTGCGTGGACGGCTGTGGCCAAAAAAAAAACGATGCACTCCAAAGGCTGGGACGAATAGAGCCAATGGCACACAATGTCACCAGTGAAGAATTGAGGCTAGCGACAAAGAGGACTCGTCGGGCGTAAAATTGGAGCCAAAAAGAGGCGGCGGGAGAAGTTTCCTTTGCTTAATGTGAGAAGGAATAAAGATTACTTTCTCACGCGTTCGAAGGAGCCAGTCCCGGTCCACGAAGACAACGACACTTAGTGAAAAGCTCGTTGAGGATCAAAGAGGCAAGGCAAAGAGGAATATATGGAGGGAAAAAAAAATCCCGATGATAGAAACTCAACAAGATTAAAGGGACAATGGCGGTTAAAGGTAGAGGAAAGAAATGGAGAAGGGAATGAGGCGAGGGGGAGATTGAGAGAAGGATGGGGGGGGGAGAGGGAGGGAAAAAAGAAGTAGAGTGAAGGGCAGGAGACGGAGAGAAAAAGAAGGCTAGTGGTAAATTCAGAGGTGTCAGAGAGTGTTAGTAACCATCGTCCGTTGAGGATTGTGGATTGAGGTTGATCTCCGGGTCATGGGTTAGTCAGACTCCTGAACAAGTAACGAAATTCTAAAGGAAGTTTGTTAGGGGTCCTTTCCATTCATTGAGTGTCACTAGATTCATCGTAGGAATCTTCCGAAGGCTCCTACACTAAGTAAGTCTAGCACCATCCGTCTCTGTCTGTACTAGGCCCATACATACACTGTCTCCAATCTACCGGCCGGACGAGTCGGATTTTAGAACATCACTGATTTTTTTTTTCTTATTTTTTTCTTATTTTTTAATAATATTAATATTTTTTTTTTACCCTACAGTAAGTTTAGTCTATCTATCCGCCGGTCAGGAGGACCCGGAAATAATAGAAAAGGGTGAAGAGAAGATAAATACTAATAATAATAATAATAATAAAAAAAGGGTGTTAAGAAATTAAATGAGATAAAATAAGACCGATGAATAATAAAAAGCAGTTAGAAATTAATTCTTAACCGTCACAGTGAAATTACCACCGCCCAACCAAACCACCCGGAGTCATGAAATGGCGGGAAAAGAAAGCACCAGAACAAGAGGGTAGAGGCAAAGGGGGGTTTGGCCCAGCCGCAAGACCCGACCGGGAATCCTCTTTTTAGAGTTTTCTTTTGTAAACCGAAATTTCTTACGGAGTTCTGTATGTATATTAATTCTGCAACCCCCTCCCCCGTCATGGAATTCCTATCCTAAGTGAGAAGCGCGGCCAAGGGTTTCAAGTTTAAGGGCAGCGAAGAATCAATAAAAATAAAATCAAAATTCCGCTAACTGCAATGTGATCGTATGGTACTCCATCGCGAAAGGACGGTTACCAAGAGAGACCAGAACACTCACAACGCAACTGGATCCATGGTTCGTTGCTGAATTCCTTAGCGGTCTAGCTGAAGCTCCCTTCCAAAAAAAAAAAAAAAAAAAAAAAAAAAAAAAAAAAAAAAAAAAAAAAAAAAAACAAAAAAAAAAAAAAAAAGAAAAGAAAAGAAAATTAAAAAATAATAATAATGCACTGAATAGTTGAACTTGTGAAGTGCAATTCAACTTTTCATCATGCACCACAATTCGTTTAAACAGTATTAATTCATCTGAATCAGTCTTGGAAGTCATCTGTCCACCATTCATTAGGGGGTTCACCTTTGGACAAACAGGAGACCGCCATGCAGATGGGGCACCTTCCCTCGGGCTAGTCGTCGGGGTGAGTGAATGAGGTTGGTATGAGAGAAACCTGCCGCTGGAGCCGTTTTTGGGGGATCCTTTTTTTTTGGGGGGGGGTTTTTTTTTTTTCATTCCCTTCGACGTACTCCGTACTTTGATACCACTGTCAAGAGAAAGAACTAGTAGATTGTTTTGGTTCTGCACTGATCCCAACAATAATAGTAAGAGAGGAATATAAGGCATAATGCATTATGTCTGAAGATCATTACGATAAGGATGCGATATTTTTATTTATATTTTTTAATTTTGTTTTCTATTTTCGATAATGACCTTTCATCGACAGATCCTAATAATAACCCATCAATAATCACAATGCAACAAGAGTCAAAAAAAGGATCACGACAAGAGGGAGCAGTACCCCATACAGAATAAAAGTAATAATAACACGACCCATTTAACTAAATAGGAGGGTGGAACAAGAAAGAGGCAATGCGAGGCTGTGGAATTCCTTAAAGCTAAAGGACCAGTGACTGGCTTGACTGGGAGCACCGCCGACCCAACAAGGCAACACTGATGCAAAGTCGCAGTCACACTCTCACTGAGTGATTGGGAAGGGAGCACAGGTGAACTACTAACTACTGCGCAATAGTGACTGCCCGCGGTGGAGTATTTTCGTACTCCATACCTGGAGAGTACGTATCAGAGCGAGGGTGTAGCGCCCGTTCTTGAGCAAGTCGACCAGAAGAGAGAGATGGGCATTAGGGACTTGCCTCGAACCTTCATAGTGGGTTTTCTGGGACGTGCACCTTCCTTTCCTTTTCTTCTCCCCCGTGCTAAAATAATAAAAGTCAGAGGAAAAATTAAAAACGTGTCTCTCCGGGTGGTACGTACGACAAAACTCACTACGTACTTTACGGGACTAGTCTTATTTTTTTTTAAAAAAAAAAAAAAAAAAAACCTAAGAGTGGGAAGATCCAGGGCTTGGGACTTGTCTATTTTCGGTCATGGAAAATCCAATCGAGTTCCACTTTTTGAATTTTCAACTCTCTTCAGACCAACGGGATTACCTAAGAGGGGATAGTTAATGCGGTCACGGGGGGTGGAATGATGACAAAGATTGAAGGATCTTCAAGAGTTCTTCTGTTTGTATGTATGAATGGATGGACGGACGTACCCATCCATACATACATAGTACATAGGCCATAGAAATTGTACGTCTAGAGAATCAAAGGTTCTAACTTCTTCGCACGGTGGCAATATATAACATCATAACCCAGCCTCAGTTCTCTTTTATGACACCATGTATCCAAAGAAAAAAAAAGATAAAGCAAGGAAAAAACTTGGTGGCAAGGAGAACGCCTCATTTTAAAAACGATACACTATACCAGTCAGACATGGCGGTAATATTTCCGTTAAAAGGCTGTCCGAATTGATGTACAATGTATGTATGTATGTATGTATGTATGTAGTCGTTGTACATACAGACACACGCATAAACAGTACAGCCCGGATCAAATGAGGCATGTCCCCGACCAACACTTATTGGAAAGAAGGCAGAAAGAAATAAGGTCAAATAACGAAATAGCCTCTCGCATGCATCCCGGGAAACATTCTTCCCACATAATTCGTTGCTCTGCCGACGTCAGATGAGACGCTGACTGACTGACTGCAGTGATCCAGGCATACTAGATTCAATAATTCAAGAAGGCCTCCATGGGAAGTCGTCAGTCACCCGATGGCTGGATGTCCAGCTCAGCTGCCGCCGCTGCTACTGCTGCTGCGCGCCCTAATTTGCCCGGATCCCTTCGTCATTCGGCGAGTGTGACAACCACCAAACTACCAACCAGATGGATGGAAATCTATACCCAGCCACTGATTAGCCCCCCTCCTCGTTTTTCTTCCCACTTGGATCTCTGAGTCAAAGGCCATGATCGAATGACTCTTGCCAAGATGGGGGAAGGTCTTTTTAACACATCCCCATTATAGGGTGGTACCTACTCCGTATTCAGGTACCATATCAACATCCACCATCGGTTCCATATTACAGCGCATCGTCGGGGGACCAACGAATCACTGCTCCAGCAGTTGTATAACCAGACAAACCACACCCGTCCAACTCACTCGTCAGTAAGGTACGCGGTGTCCATTCACCAGTCCTTATCCAGACTGCACATCATCAACGGTAGGTACGGATTATTGTACATATGTAGGGTACATGGTGTTTCTATCTATATGGCAAAAAACATCACCCTTGCTGGTTCGTCTTCCCACCGAGATCGTTCGGAAGAATGGAACGAGAGAGTTCATTATATGATTATTTTACCTGAGAAAACCCATGCTCATGCAGTCTAAACAATCCGGTAAAGTGGGGGTGGAACCTGCGTGAAAGTAAAAAAATAAAATAAAATAAAATCAAATCAAATAAAAATACAAAGAGGACATCGCTGCCCAATGACCTGACCTGACCTATCCCATATTACCTCTTACCATGCTCCCTGACGTAGGAGAAAGTAGACCACTAATGAGTCCTTGGGTTTAGGAAGACAAGTCTCCGAAATGTCCGTTGGGTTTGACTTTCAACTAGGAAGAGAACATCACGAATGGTATCGGTGCCTGTCATCGGATAGTTAAGGAACCTTAGAAAGTCGGGAAGTCAGGGAGAAGAACGACGGGGGGTGAGGGGTAAAACCACCGAATCGCCGCAATATCGTTCACATCAATTCGTTAACCGCCCATTAACCCGACACTTGCTGATTGACTCAATCCCGACTGGAAAGTAAGTACATTCTAGAGCCTTAAAGCAACCAACCTCCAAGGTGTATATTCCGTGTGGATTGGATATACATCCCAGCCAGTCGGCTATCTTCGGTTTCCAACAATAACAACAACAATATTTCTCCCGTGACCTGAAGAGGCCTTGGGTTCCCTAGAAACCGTCCTGCGGCTAGGGGAATTTCGGGCTCAAATCTAGAATGCAGAACGAAGACGAATCACAACACAAAAAAATTGAGAGGGGAAGAAAAAAAAAAGAGTTATCAGATAAAAAATGTCATTGACCGACAGTTAATGCCCAGATTCATCTTTTGTCTATGCAACTAACTCCTAGTTTTGCCTCTTACACCTGCCACGACAATGGAAAGAATTTACCCGGTAAATCTCATGGTTCCGGGGCCACGACATGAATCAAAAGAAGCCCAGAACGTAGTGGATATCATCGAACAAAGAAATCGAGATAGCGAAAAAAAATACGGAATAATAGAAACGGAAAGAGCAAGCCACTGGGGAGCAAAACACAATGTCATACTCGTGAGACCGGTGACAACCGTGTCACCGATCATGGAATCCCATAATTTTATACCTCCTGCAACACCAGACCAATCGCCAAATGTAGACGTTCGTAAACATAAGAAAGAAATTCCAAATCGTAACTCGTTCAATCCAAGCAATCCTATGGAGCATCTCAAGCGCAACCATGCAGGATTCTGGAGCCGTTGTCCGGGTTTCACTCATCCTTCAAGCCTCCGACCAAGCCACGAAGCGCGTCTAGAATGACTGCCTCGTCCTTCGGCTCGCCACCAGGGAATGAGCTTTCCGTGGCCTCTCCCAGAACGCGGGCACGGGCGCTCTTCAGCACTTCCCGAATATAGTTCTTGTCTTCATAATCCTCCATGAGGACCGCTTCGAAGTCATCAATTGCCTTGTTCGCGCGGTCATTGAACGAAGACGTTTCGGAAGTGTCCATAGGGCCTGAACTGGGCTCGCCTGGGGCGACACCAAGGTTGGGTTGGTGTTGCATGGGTGGGCCTGGGTTGGGCGGAAGATTTTGAGATGGCGGGTTCATTGACATGGGAGGAGCTGGTGGTGGTGGAGGGTTGGCTGGTGGATAAGGTGAGTGATGCTGGGGCTGTGCTTGCATGGTCTGTTGTTGCTGCGATTGCTGATATTGAATCAGCTGCGGAGGGGGATCGGAGGCATATGGGGAAGTGTATGTGGACGGCGTTGTCTGAGCAAAAGCAGGCGGAAGATTGTTTCTTAGTGGACTTGGTATGGGGAAAGGGGTAGAGGCGGCGGGTTGAGATGGTGGCGGATAGGGACTCGATTGCTGAGGTGCAGGAACAGGTGCAGGGGCAGGCGAGGGGGCAGGGTACGGATTTGATGGCATTGACGGAAACTGGAAATGGGGGTTCGCCATATTTGCCTGCCCATTCGTTGGGTTGGAGTAGGCTGGGTTCATAGGAGGCATATACTGCGGAGCCGCAGGCATCGGCGGCGGCTGTGATGGCGGCGGCGGCGATGGACGCCTCTTCTTCTCCTTTTCAACCGATGCTCCCGGACGTAGTTGCCATGACCATCCTTTACCGTCTCTCTCGGCATGCATAAAGAGATGGCTGTTGCCGTTGAGGTTGTGTCGCACACTGGACGTCCAGCCTTCAGTTTCACACTTGAAACGGAAATAAGGATATTTTAACTTGAGCGCACGATAGATCTGCTTCAACGTCATCGGCGTGCCAGCCTCAGTGAGAGCATCGAAGATAAGAACCGCATAATTGTAGGGCGGTTTGGCCAGATCTTCTGGAGTATATGCGGATTCTGGTGGGTAGTTGGGCGAGGGTGAACGCGAGGGCTTGCGCTTCTTGACTGGAGGGGCTTTGATGTAATCCTCCGGGCGCTGGTCCATAGGGAACTGGCCACCTTCTGTAGAAGGCAGAGGGAAGTCCATAAGGGTGCCATCAGGCTTCTTCCTCTTGGTGTACTTCCGCTTTTCAGGCTTGGATCCAGGAGATTCTCCACCCATGGACTCCTTGGGTGTAGTGACAGTAGTAGTACTCGTAGTCGTTGTCTTTCCGGCCTTCGGCCGATTGGCAGGGGGAGGAGTAACACCTCCATTTGCCTCACGTTTCGCAGCCAACTTTTGTTCCCTGGCCAATTCGGCCCGTTCACGCTTCGACATAATGCCATCCTTGGGTGGCCGTCCCGGGCCTCTACGACGCATAGGTTGCTGGCCGTCAGCAGAACTTTCAATGGATGGTACCGGGCGTGTCGGATCGGGTTCTTTTGTCTTAAGAACGATCTTAGTGGTCTTCGGGGCATCTTTGTTCTCTGTACTTTCAGATTTGCGGCGTTTCTCATCCTCATCGTTCTCCGTTGCAGGGACTGAAGCCTGTGCATTTTCTTCTTCTGCCACGTAGGGTTCCTCGACCCTGTCGGCGCCCGTCTCACCGATTGGTACATCTGGAAGTAGAAATCGTATTCGTACACCTCCGATTTGGATATAATCGCCACTGTGTAAGGGCCTGACCTGACCCGGCGATAACCAATCAGCACCAATGAACGCTCCATTTCTTCCCATAACCTCCATCTCAAAGAGATTCTTATCAAAATTATATGCAATCTTTACATGTTTCCGTGAGATACCTCGGTGTCCGGCGGCACTACCGTCTGTAGTGGCAGGGGGGTGAATCGGGATCGTTGGACAAGAATCTGGGGACGGAAGCAAAGCTAAAGCATCAACTGGCTTAGCGTCTCCACCCTCGTCATTCAAAGATTCCATAGCAAGGGCATTGTAATCAGTGGTATTCGACTGTAACTGAGCCGGTGTTGCATGCATCGGAGCTCCCAATTCGGCGTGGGAAGAGTTGGACGATCGCCGACTTATACGGGAGGGAAGATGGGGCGGGACATCAGGATCAAAGCCCATAATTCCACCACGGTCACTGACGACACTGCCTATGATGCCGCTGCCTTCATGCTTCATTCGGATAGGAGTATGCGACGTATTTCCACCACTTGAACTTTTTGCGCGGGTGTGTCTCATGGCCTGTCGGACCTGAAATTCGCGCTGATGGGCGGCCCGGGCAGCCCGTACGTCTCGCCCGAGAATAAAGGAATATGTGTTGCAGTAAAAATGACCATCGTCGAATTCCAGTTTTGCAAAAGCCTGGATGCGAGGCTCTGATCCCGCGATCGAACCGGTGTCCTGTAGATGTCCTCCGGAGTATCCAAGGGCTGATAGGTCAGCGTTTTGGGAAAGATAAGCAGCTGTAAGTATCTCGTGTTGTTGTAATGCCTCGAATGGGTCCTTAGCAGCGCCAGTGATATCAAACGGCGTAAATAGGTCGGAATGGTCTAGGCCCGACTTTGAAAAGAGTAGAGGGTCCGTGAGACCTTCCGAGGGGTCGGCATGTTTCAATGATATGTTCAAGTCCTCTTCTGGGTTCGAAAAGGGTACCTCCGATGGTTGATCGGAGTTTTTCTGTTCTTGTTGAGACTCCGGTAACTCGTTCGAGTTGGCCGGGATTTGGTCTTGGCCCCCGGTCGGGTCTGAAGACATCGCTGTGGTTCCCGCAGGCGCGTCCGTCGACCATTGTCCATTCATCCCATCATCGATATCCTGGTGTTGCTTCGTGTCTTGCGCTGCGGGTACGGAGTGTTCCGCAGAGGGCCCTGGTCCGTCGGAAGGCATTGACGACTGGTTGCCGAGCAGTTGAGCCAAGAGCGCACTGGCCGCAGACTGACGCCTGGTATCGCTTTGCGAGCTTTGTTCGGCAGCGGAAGGAGGAAAAGCATTGTTATCGGACTCGGACTTGACAGGCATCGTGCCGGAGGGAGAAGTCAGGCCATTGGAAGGAGTATCGGGGGGGTCGGGGGCAGAATCGTTCAAAGCGCGGATTGCGGAGTCGCTGGGCGGGGAGGGGGACCGATGGTCGTCAGGTTGTTGAGAACGACCATAGTCATAGATTGACGACATATTGGGACCAGCATCAGGCGGTCGATGGCCCACCGCTGGCGCTGTCATGGTCTGCGACGACGACATGACCGGCGGCTGCTGCTGGTTGAAGAAAGACAACGGGCTGGAGGGATGAGAGAAGCTGGGCGGTGAAGTGAGGCCATGGAAGGAGACAATCTGACTGGCAGGAGAAAAGAGGAGCCGGTCGTTTTTTTCTTTACTTTTTTTTTTTTTCTTCTGTTTTTTTCTGCCGCTTTCACTGGTCCGACATCCCGTGGTCATGTGATTACATGTACGGTACATGTACGGTACCAGTCTGGATCTCTGAATGTTCTCGAGTATTTTGTGGCATTGTTTAGAGTTGTTACTGCAGGAGGTACCAAGTACTTGTATGGGACGACTGGAACAAGAACTCATCCCCGTGAGGGATTCATGGCCATGTGTGACGATGTTTGAGCTGTGATACTATCTGTATGATGCTTGTAAATTAATATGTACCTACGTACTGTACGATGACCCATACGTCTCGTACTGGAGGCAGATCATCCATTCTGTTTCAGGTTGCGATCTCCCATACAACCAAAAGCGTTGACTTGACGATATTTGAAAATTATCGGCACAAACTGTACTAGGTACATATTAAAAAGAAAAAAAAAGAAAAAAACTGGTGTAACGACCAGTCGGGAAGTATAAACATGCCGCAACAAAGAGCCAAAAGAGTTCAACAAAATCTAAATACAGTAACGCCAAGAAATTCCCTGCATTACTTGCAGTTTTCTCCTCCACGGATCCAGAGATGGTAACACCACTTCGGTCGATCTCGACCAGAACTTTATCTCATGAAGCTATCACTATCAAATCTGGGGAATACATATAGATAACGATAATATAACGCTTATACCAACTACCAATTTCGTGCATTGTCATATATCAGTACCTATATCTATATCCCCATTGACATTTAATACCGTACCATCAATACGAAAAATAACTCCTGATCCCATCCCAGACCTCCGCTCCGACCCCAAAGAAACAAAGACAAGAAAAAATAAACCAAAAACCAACCAGCTAAAACACCCACCACAAAAGACAAACCAAACAAAAGAGGGAAGAAGAAAAGAAACGAAGAAAAATAAAATCAAAATCAAAAACCATGCCTCCAAAATCCAAATCCAAAAAGGACATCATTCCCGCCAAACCACAGCAACAACAACAGGCCGCCAAACCAAACTGGCCGCCTCTCCGCCCCCTCATCCCCTCATCTGACCTCAGCCTCGACCCCCTCCTCCCCGACCAAATCTACCTCATCCCAAACTTCTTCACCGCAAACCTCTGCAAAAACTACGTCTCATTCCTCTCCTCCCTGCCCCTGACTACTACCCCCGGGAAACCGAAAAAGGGCGACGCTGTTCGTGTCAACGATCGCTTCCAGATCCAGGATGAGCGGTTTGCGGAGTCGTTGTGGAGCGGGACAGCGCTGAAGGACCTAGTGATGAACGATGATGGGGAGGGAGAGAGGTCTATGAAGGAGATCTGGGGTGGGGAGCCTTTGGGGTTGAATGCGAATATTCGGATCTATCGGTATTCGAAGGGACAGTTTTTTGCCCAGCATTGTAAGTTCTTACTCTCTTTCTTTCTTTTTTTTTTTTTTCCACCCTTTCCTTGTTTGTGGGTTCTAGCCGCAGTATATGTATGTATATCCCCTGTAGATAAGGTGTAAACCTAGAGGTTGTATGGATGCACTGTAAGATGCAGAAGCGGGTCTCCGGACATTTAATTGCCTACGTGCGGGGAGGCTAATGGTTGCAGACGATGACTCCAACACCCTCACCTTCTCTTCCCCCTCCCATCCATCTCAACCTGCTCGCACCACGTGGACCCTTCTTATCTACTTGACTACCTGCTCGGGGGGCGAAACTATCTTCTACCCGGACTCGACTCGCGGGAATCGCAACCCCGAGCCTGTTTCAGTGGCCCCTGTCACGGGCATGGCACTACTACATCGCCATGGCGATCGATGTCTCCTGCATGAGGGCAGTGAGGTTTCAGACGGCGAAAAGTGGGTGTTACGGAGTGATTTGGTGGTTCGATGATGAGTGTCGGTCTTCTAGGCCCCTTTACTACTTACGACTCTACTCAAGACGTGTGCATCTGGCCATGGATAACAGTAGTCCTATTTGCACAAGACAGGGCTCTCAGCTATGACACGATATAAGATGCCATATACGAGATTGATCATGTACATATGTGTATATTGACCACAGTTCAGTGACGAGATCAACATTGAGATGGTTGGAAAGAAGAAAGGACGCAGCCGCATGAAACGGACCAACGGTAGGTATCAAACGGTTGGTCCGACAAAAACAGTTTTCTTGCATGTAGCCACCTCCTAGATCACCGGATAATGGTGACAAGAAGTACTAAAGACCAGTCATGATTCGCCAACAACGTGAGGAGCTTTTGGGCTCCATCTTTCGTATCTGGAGACAACTCCCGATGCTCCCTTCACTAGATCCCATAGACACCCAAAACAAGACATACAATTAGCAATTAAAGGAAAGATGAGAAATAAAAGAGAAAAAAAATGAGACAGATGATCGCATATCGAGACGAGGACGTGGGGATGTTCACTCCAGCTTCTTCGGAAACGAAACAGATCTGCTACGAAGCTGCAGGCTTCGGTTGAATCTGTTCATACTCAGCTCTTCTCATGATTTCCTCCACGGGCCCTAATAACCGTTTAAATCCATCCCGACCAAGCTTCGCCACCTTGACATCAGTCTTAGCAACTATGCTGGCGGCTCGGGGTTGGTCGTCCAGAAGAGCAAGCTCTCCAAAGTAATCGCCCCGTTGATAGGACTTCACCGGTCTATCCACGCCTTCCTTGAAAGCCTCTACCTCACCCGACTCGAGAAGGTAGAAAGCATCACCTGGATCACCTTCTCTGATGATTGTAGAGCCAGCTGAAAACTTAATTGCGTCTAGAGCATCGGCAATCTTGGAACGTTCATAAGGCTTGAGGCTGGAGAGGAGCGGAACCTCTTCCAAAAAGGCCTCATACATGCGACGTCGCTGGAATGCGGAGTCCATGAGAATCCTTCGGAATGTGATACGGTCCAAAGCCCACAGGGTGCTCTTCGAGTCAGTGGACACAATTGTCGCAGCTCGGGGTGCGTTGTACATGAGAGCCAGTTCTCCGAACGAACCCCCGGGTCCAATTGTACCCGCCTTAGACCCCATTCCATCGGAACCCGACTGTACCGAGCCTGATGGGTGAATGTAGACGTCGAAGTGACCATCTTCCACGATGTAGAAGTAATCACCTGCATCGCCCTGTGAGATCACTTTAATGCCCTTAGCAGGAATGGGCTTTTCGACCAGGGCATCGACCACAGTCTTGAACTGGTCATCATCAAGGTGGGAAAACAAGAAATTGCCGCTGACGGCGGTCTTCAATCGGGAGACCTGGTCTTCGGTCTTTGGGTGGTGCGGGGGCACCCAGCTATCTGAACCAGCCGAGGTGGGGTTCAAAGATTCAGCAGATACGGATGTCCGACGACCCAAAGCGTAGTTATTCGGGAATCCCTCATTCAAGGCACCCGTCGGGCGAGGTCCTTCAGGGTGTTCGTCGAAGTCGTCTTGGTCTTCATCTCCATCCCCAGAAGGGTCCGCAAAAGGACTCCTGCGAAAACGTATACCTCCGCCTTGTGGTTCATTAAATACATTGCCTCCGAAGAGGTTGTTTCCAGCGGAGGACGAAGCTGCCGCCGAGTTTGCAGTTTGAAAGGTCGGGTCAGTTGGTGACGTCACCTCCCACTCCTCGTCCTCGGAGATCTTTCGGAATGCTGAAGTTTTATCATCTTTTGTGCCCACCTTGAGGTGAGGGCTAGCGCTGGAGAAAGAGCTTTCAGCCATTGTGTCGGCAGTAGGGCCGGAGGAGATAGCTCTCCGGCCACAGGGAAGCGGGGAAGACGTGTAGAAACCGAATACCGCGACTTGAAGCCGCTGGAGAGGAAAGGCGGAAGGAAGTTGACTGGACAAGGTTAGATATGAGGTACGATGAAGACAAAGGTTGAAAAGAAAGAATGAAGGAAGGGGTTTGAGAAGGGATGAGGACGGTAACAAGAAATGAAAATAGTTATGTGTGAGTGCGCACAGGAGCCTGAGCAGCACAGTTGAGAAGGACGAGGATGAGGGGCGGGTAGGGAAACCGACAGGAAGCACAAGTAATGGATTGGGGTCTCCGCCCAAAAGTGGGTATCTCAACGAGACGTTTGATTGGAGAATCTAAAGACGCAGCGGACCAAAGATGGTGTGGTCTATGATGGACGATTTCCCGAGTGGTAGCTCTAATGGAGATTCCAGTACCACAATACCTGCTGTGGCTTGACGCAGATTTGTTAATTGATAGTGTAGTTTCAGTGTTTCAGGAGTGTGTTGTATGAAATTTCCCGTGTGAAGACAGTGTATTCATTTCTGTCTGTCTTCTTTTTCCTGTTTGTGGATTCAAGAAGAAAAGATGTGGCAATAGGGAAATAGCTTCAGTTACGACAAGCTTTGGAGGGGTAACCGACAAGGTTGGTTAAGTGTATCACACCTGCACCTCTGCTTTGGGTCGCGTGGAAAGTCTCTTGGGATGAAGGAACGAAGGGACAAAAGAATTAGAAGAGAAAATGGAAGTCACCTACCTGTGCGCAAAGGAAGCTTTAAAAAAGAAAATAGAAAAAAAAAATAGTGAAAATAAAATAAAACAGAAAAAGGGGGATGAGCAAAGAATTCAAAATTTAAATAAACGTCGAAAAAGAAAGGGGGGGGAGGAGTGGTGTTGATAATCCTAGAAGGCCTGAGTTTGGAGGGGTTGCAGAAAGGGAGGAGGGGAAAGAGATGGAACAAGGACTCAGCCAAAAAGGTGGGGAGCAGGAATGGAAGTCACGGAAGCTTCGATTCTGTGACCCGGAGCTTCTTCAATGAAGTTTACTGCGAACCGACTCATGGATTCTTGTGATAGTGTGGTTTACTTACCTCCTGAATCGCTTCTGCTACAATACTACTAATACTACAAGGGTCAATCGTCTCTCGTTTGTTTAATTAAATTATCCATCTCACAGATAATTAATTAAATCATGCTATTTCTATTAGCCAATGCCCGGGACCGATGATGGATCGGATCCTTTCTAAAGATATGATCATGCGCAGTACTACTGCAGACTACTCGTGGAAAGTCTTTGCAGTCAGAATCATAACGGGCTGGGGGATCGCGCGGATCGGTGTCCACATGAACCAATCTACTACTTCAATAGCTGGACGTTGGTGTCAATAGTCTGTCTTCTCCAGAGGAACATCGAATGATCGAATACATGGAAAAGGGGACGAAATCAGGGCAGAGCCGGTCTTCTGAAGAAGGGGACGCGCACGGGTGATGGGCGAGAAGCTTTGAATTCAATGTTGTCTGGTGTTTTGTTCCATGAGGATTCCAAGTGTCTTCTAGAAGGAGGGCTGAAGTCACGCTTGACTCCAAAAGGGGGGGGGATTCCGTCATACTACTCCGTAACTCCTTCCTTGGCTTCGGTTGCACCACTTCATCTATACTACTTATTTATTATCCCTCTCCTGAAATTATTAAATTTAATTTCTTACAATTACCCGAAGAAGATCTTGTTCATTATTATGGTGCTTATGACCGTGCTTCCCTATTATCAAGCATTTCACGGTCAAAGTACTGGAATGATTCAAGAAGCAAAAGCAGCCACTTGTCAATCATGATGTAGTTCATTTCCCATCCTTCCAATGTTATTGGGTGGCAAATCTTCCCCCACCTCTCCAACCCAACTCGCTGAAGTCATGATTCTACAATGGCACTTCTTTTTTTCTCTGACGTCTACGGAGCACCGATGCTATCAGCACTCAGAAGAACCTTGGATCTTTTGTCAGCCTGGTCAAAAACGCGTTCAGTTTAGCCTTGTTCAACTGGCCCCGGTACTTTAGCATCCTACTTTAGATGCCCGCCGTTTTTATGAGACGTTTTATCTAATCGAACCCACTCCCCTTTTGCTTCGGGCACGCACTGGGCATTTCTGATCGCTCATAGCATGCATATTCATAAAACTTTCTGTACAAGTAGCACGCTGCTGATGTCTCAATATTTACGGCCTGGGTCTCTTGTCATATTTCCTATAGAAGGTGAGAGCTCTCAGAGTAATCACACCTGGAGTTTTATGTCACGGTATAAATTGAACTTAGAATATCTCTAAAAAAAAATCATATATATATATATCATACAAGATGATTGAGTAGTGTTTTCACCAATTATGGGCCATGAAGCAGAAATATTCAATTAAATACTAGAAGCTTCTCGTTCCAAGCAGTACTAGTGTACTTATGATAGACCTGTATTTTATGCTTTGTGTGAGGGAGGTCGAAGATGTAATTTCGATACTATTGCGGTAATGTTCTATTTGAAACAACATCAGTAGAAACGTGAATTTGACATTACTCGCCAACAGCGTAGACATGATTCCCAGCCTCTCCTTCAGTTTACTCATGCATGCCCAGTGCCTTCTTAGTCTCTCCAGTGACATCTTATCTGATTTATCAAGAAGTCAGCATCACGTCGTATGCGTCATATATTGCCGGGCGTGCACCACATAATCGCACAACATTGTCTCCTGTCTCCCTTAAACAAAGGAAGAAGCAGAAGCGATGGATGATAGCAGTCTCCATCCTTTTCTATGACTGGTAAAACTGGCTAAAACATGGGCGACACCCATCATCGAAAACTACTAATGGCGTTGCAGGCCATTGGTATCTTTCTTGATTCGCCTTACCTAACTACATCTTAAACTGGTCAAGTCCATCTTCCCACCTATGATCAAGATAGGGTTCAGTTATCTCGAAGATGCAGAGATATCGGGGTGTGGCAGAATAGAGGTGATCGGTTAGTAATAAGACCTGAAGCAAAAGTTTAAACAGAACGAGGTAAAATTAAATACTTTGCTTCCTGACCTTTAATCTCAGGCGGAAGTCCAGGCTGATATCATGCGCTGAAGAAAGAAACAAGATACTTCCGCACCCCATACATCATGAGCTCTCACCCTCACCTATTTGTTCAAGATGACTAGCTTTCGAGAGCAGGGCTCGCCTTTGGCTCCCTTATGTTTGGGCCAATGTCAGAACTGTACACCTTCAAACTGGCCTTTCTCTCGGGATTCTTCGTATTCGCCATCTTCAATATCACCCGTCGCTCTGGTATACGGCCTCCAAACCGTGATGGTATGTCGATTTCTCGTCAGATCTAGTAGCACCGACCCTCTAGACACCGCCAGGGGCACCTTAGCCGATATATCTAATCACATCAAGCACGGAGCGGCCGTATTGATCTTCACCAGCGCAACCTTTGTGGGCTCAATGAGGCGATAATGAGACTACCAAAAAAAATATAAATAAATAAATATATATATATATATATATATATATATATATATGAAATAAAAATAAGAAAGAGATAATGAAAATAAAAACTTATTATTATAATAATATTAATGATAATAATAAATAATAAATGGAAGGGGAGAGGTATTCATAATTCTGCAATTATGAGACAACAAATTAGAAAACTCGTCCATTGCGAGGGGCACCAAAAAAAAAAATTAAAAAATAAAAGTAGTAACGAACGACCCCTGAGCCGGAAACGGCGACGACCTGTAAAACTTCATTGCAGCCGAACACCATATCGAACTAGGAACTTTGGGGGTTTTCGTTGGGATGATCTGACTAGGATTGTTAAGAACTAACTAGAAAAACCACTTCCATACTGACAGCTGTCAAGGGGCCAGCGTCTGGACCCGGTGTTCGTTGGCCGTTTATACTTCCTTGGATCTTAGCTGAAGGTCTGTGTTACCGCCACCCCGCTTTGGGCCTTGAAAAGGATCTTCAGCTTTTCATTCCCAGCCTCTTCAGGCAGCTTGCATTTCTTGTGAGATTTGTGACCCCTTCTGAGACACGGGTTCTCTTTAAAAAAAACAAAAGAAGCAATTGGATTTATCAATTCCTCATCTTCAATCCCCCTTCGACTACGGTTCCGCCTTCCAATTCTCTCTCCCAACCGAAGAGATGGGAAGCTACACATTCCGATGGTAAGTAGAGCAACCTAATTGAACTTTGTGCTCCTCCGAACCAGGATTCGCACTCAATCTCTTGGTCATCTGGGGTCAATTTCGACGATTCCCGCTGTTTCCCTGATCTGACGCGAGTATCATTGATTCGGAACATGGGTTCGATTGCATAGCTGACTGATGCGACTCCTGCATGGGAGATTAGGCCTCACCACGCAAATGAGGTGTTTGTGACCGGTACCTTTGATGACTGGGGTAAAACCGTCCGACTAGATCGAAAAGGTGATGTCTTCGAGAAAGAAGTCCCGTTACCTGCGACGGAGAAGTTGCATTACAAGGTAAGGAACAGAGAAGGCTTTCCTCCCATGATTGCTTACTGCTACTCCTACTATTATTGTACTACTTATTTCCCGCTTATTTCTTCCTTCCCGCTCAAAGCCCGATTAGGGAATAGTATGATATGATTTTAGCCCGTGGATCGTCTGAACTTCAATGACGATGTTCGCGCTCTCTTGCCGTGTTTTCCTGACGTCATTTGCCGCTTTCCACCTCTCAGGCTCCCATGGATTCCCTAATCTTCTTTCCCCGCCCCAGAAAATGCTATAAAGAATCGTGTCTTTCACGTCAGCATGTTGTATTGGATCCACTAACGTCTTTCCACTCTATCTAAAGTTTGTCGTTGACGGCATCTGGACTACCGACCACAGTGTTCCGGAAGAAGACGACGGCAACCATAATATCAACAACGTGCTCTATCCCGATCAGATTCGGAAAGAAGATACCACCTCGAGTTTACAAAACGGCATTGCAGTAATGGCTGGCGTAGCTCCCGATTCCACAACGGCTGCACTGGCTGCTGAAGTTCCCAAAGAGTCTCGCAGGGATATCCTGGGCGACGCTGCCTTATCGTCTACCGCTCCTGGATCGACTACAGCAGAGCTCGCCAAACATGCCTCTCTCGAGCAGCGAGCGAATGTGCCTGGGTCATTCCCTGCGACCCCAAGATCCGAAGTTGAGCAGTTCTCTGTGAACCCCATCCCCGCCTCAAGTGGCACAGGAAACCCAATCAAGCTCAAGCCAGGAGAGAAGGTGCCTGACCCGAGCACATTCAATGCCAATACAATCCACTCTACCGCACGGACAGACCAAGCCGGATACGAGCAGGATGCCAGCCATCCATTGACTGGGGGCCAGTCTAATAAAGATACCAGCGCATTTGCTGTCCCCCCGATCTCGAATAATATGATCCCTGAATCTAGCCTTCCCATGGGTCAGGCTAGTGAAGGGAGTTCCGACCCTGTCACGATTCAGTCTGCAGCGCCGACATCTACTACTGCAGCGCTTGCCGGTGCTGTTCCTCTTGAGTCCCACAAGAAACAGACCGTTGGTGGCCCTGGCGCACCTGTGGGCGATGTTCCGGAGATGGTGAGGCACTCGATGTCCGAGGCTCACGCAGATCCGGAAGCAGCTGCTATTCAGGAGGCAGTCGGAGAAAAGAAAGAGATGGAGCATGAGCTTCAGCAGAAAGTCCCGGTAGATGAATCGAGGGGCACACCAGCGCCCACCACTGGTGTTACTGCTGCAACCACTGAAACTGCCCCTCAAGCCACCATATCACAGCCTGATTCGGCACAGCTATCGCCGCGGGCGACAACCCCAACCACGAGGCCTGATACGACTTCCGAAGCGGGACCGACCGTCACGACTGGGCCTGAGACCACCAAGACATCTGAGGTGTCGGGGCCTGGTAGCGGCTCAGCTGCCGCAACAGCTGGTGATACTGGAGCGAGTGCAACCAAGACTGCTGAGCCGACTCATCAGGACACCGGCGTAGGGGCAACGAAAGCACGGTCGAGTACTCCACCCAAGGACACGGAGCGCAAGGATTCTGGATCTTCGAGTGGAACTCCATCCCAGAAGAAAAAGAGAAACCGCGCCAGTGCATTCTTCCATAAGCTCAAGGAGAAACTCACCTGAGCTCGCACCCTGTCGTTGGCCAACCGTATGCGCTTGGCCCGTATCCTGAGACGATCCGTTCTTATTACAGTTACGATAATGAGCCGGCAGACTGAATGATTCAAGACTGGTGGGCGGAGGTGTTACTTGATTTCTTGATCTGGATACCTTTTTGTTTTGTTGTTCTGCCCGGATGACCTTATACCTACTCTGTTGTGCACAGCTATTGTTACGAGGAATAGTTTAATTCAAGGCCAGTGTTGAAGATTGATTGTCATTCATCGTACAGGAGTTGCGCCCCATTAAGCCATTAAATTTATATCATACATCCAGCCCCTATTAAATCGGTATAACCTCATTGACCTTCTGATTTAATGTGACCGGATACCCTAGCATACTACATATATCAAGTCAGCCTGAACCATTTTTTTCAAGACCACCCACCATATTAGAAACTGAATGAAAAGAGCAAAACTCACTCCTTGCCCGTCTGAGTCAAACAACAGCCACAAAAGATGGACGCAGGATAACAAACAATCTGCACCCAGCGCGCGTTAGTATTACAAGCCAATACGGATACAATGTACGGTATCCATGGACATACCGCCGCAACAATCGTCACACAGAACCCTAGACCATTAAATTTAGCCATTCAGCATCCTGGTACATGTAAAACGGAGGGAATAACAGTAATGGCCTATACCTAATGTCGGGCCGAGGACTTTACAGCGACAGGGATTCTGGTCCGTGCCGCATTGGAAACAGATCGGGAAGATCGGGAAGAAAGGAACGTCGCACATGGTTAGAATTAGTTTATTGTAGGTTATTTGTGTATGACTGGATGAATTGGGTTCGTTTCTTTTCTATAAAGGAAGGTGTACATGATGGTTTTCTACTTCTGATAACTCATACTATTACTATTACTTTGCTTGAGGTACCTACTGGAGGGATGATTCATGATGACGACAGTGATTGACATGTAACCTTAAGATCCAGTATCTTTATAGAGGAGGGTGTCAGTTAGGTAGTTATTTCGTTCTTGCAAAGAAATCGAAGCCAAAAAAAAAAAAAAAAGGAAATGAAAAGAAGAAGATTCGGAACTCTAGGCTTCTACATTAATAGTAGATATAAAAAGACCGTGGCTTGGCTTCTTCAGTGTCAGTGTCAAATGCCAATTAATTTAAATCTAGTACCAAGAACTAGAACTGAACAAGCCACACACCATCATCCATCATCAAGAACACCAACACAGCCACTTCCACAATGCAAGCAATCCACTCAAAGGACCCAATGGCAATCAAACCCCTCAACCGGGGGCCCCTGACAATCAAACCAAAACAGCAAATGACAACAAGGTCGAGTACCTTTTGTGTAAACATAAAAGAATATTCCTCGGCCCAGAAAAGGGAAAAAAAAGAGAGCGCTAAAAGTAGGCATCAATATTTCCCATGTTCAATTTTCCATACCCGCCCCGCTTGCCAACGCTTGGCAATTAGACAAGGGTATTTGACTGCTGTTGGTGTTTTTTCACCCCCATTTCTTTTCTGATTTGTCACCCTGGGGGGATTTTGAACTTTTGATTTGGACGCCCTTGTTCTCTTTCTTCCGCGGAACTTATAAATAGGCATAGCAAGGCACACATCCATTCATCCTCTCCATTCCCTCAGGTCACGATATTTTTTTTTTTTTTTTTTTTTTTGGGTCTTTCAGCCACGCCGGCACCACATCTGATCCACTCTTTTTCTCCCGCTCAGCCCTACGCCTTATTTGGATTTAAGAAGGCGGTGCGAACCATTTCATCCTGCTTTCGAATACTACTTACTCTACACAAATTAAACCAAATCCACCGTATCTCGAAACAACTATACCTACACTTGTTATACCTCAGATCTATCAACCAACCAATCAACCAAAACCGAAGATAGGATAAAAGAACCAACCAAAATGGCCCGCGGCAGTCTCGTCCCCCTCATCATCCTCGTGGTCGTCGTCGCCGTACTCGCCGTAATCGGGTACATCACCTGGTCGATCGTACAAGAAGTAACACGGAACACAAAGTCCAAGATGGAGAAGAAGAATGTCGTATGGACAAAGGACGGCATGAAGGTCGGCGTGAAGGAATTGAATAATGAGGATTATCAGGATCGGACTCAGAGGTTTGTTTTTCTCCCTCTTTCTCTCTTCCGTTTTCCTGGTACTTATTTCTTGGTTTCTGGTGGCTAATGGTTGGATAGTGTTCTGGTGAATATGTGGAATCATACTTCGTTTCCTGCTTATAAGAGTCGGTTGTGGAATATGACGCAACCGGCGGCTGAGGTTCAGGAGGTGGAGAGGAGGAGGAAGGGGTATGTATTCTTTTTTTCTTTCTTTCTTTTTTTTTTTCCCCTTTCCCTTTTTCGATTCTTTCTTTGGGGGTCTGGTTGGGGATCTTTGCTGACGGGTATGGATATAGGCGGTCGAACTAGATTCATTCCTTTGCCTTTTTTTTTTCTGTGGTCGGGTTACGCTTGCTTTTAGGTGTTTGTTGGCTATACATGTCGTTTCTTTCTTTTCTTTTCTTTTTTTGTTTCTTACACAGTTCAAGGTTTCTGTTTTGATACCAGTCCTTCGGTGAGAATTGCCTCAGAATGGTCTTACTTTTATGATCTTCCCGTTTGCTAGTTTTCAGTTCATTTCTATTCTATCGTTTCTTGGGCATGATGATATGATATATGAACAAGGAGAATGTTTATGAAAATATAAATGAAGTGAATAACATTGAGATACCTCATGGCCGGTTTGCGTAGTAACTCTCGTCCTGATTCAACAGATAGAACGGCTCGGGCTTGGGCTCCCAGCTGTCGCCGTACCATATAGGTGTGCTGAGAGTCTGCGGCGTGTCCTCGCGCCTGGTATCGGAGAATACATGCTCGAAGGTCTTGGCCCACTGCACACGGTTATTGAGCCCCTCCAGCTCCCAGAGCTCCTGCAAGAAATGGAGCATGGAGGTATGGGTGTATGCTGAGTTATTGGCGTACATGGTGCCATCGTTGTGGATGAGGGTGTTCGGCTCGATGTAGGGCGAGATGATGAATGCAGGAACGCGCACACCAAGACGAGTGAAGTCATATGTAACGGGCCGGCCTTCTGATTCTCCGTCGAATGCGATGCCATCTTCTGGCTGGGGAACGTTGACGGGTGGCAGTACATAGTCCGCAAAGCCCCCGTGCTCATCGAAATTGATGATGATCAAACTGTATAGAGAGTTAGTTGTGAAGTTCGAAACGACGCATAGAGTTGCATCGTACACATTATCCCAATATTTGGATCTCCGGACCGCATCGTATAGGTGTTTGATCATTTGCTCACCAGCTGCCATGTTGCTCTTTGGGTGCATCGAATCCATGGTACAGCATTCGGGGTTGATGTAGGAGAATGTGGGCAATGTGCCCTCCTCAAGATCCCGATAGAAGTCACTGGCGTGGGCTAGATTGTCTATCGCATTGTCTTGGACCCACTGTGAAGGGTTAGCTGACTTTGGTACATCAAAGTAAATGACATTATCTTACCTTGTACATCCACCCATCGACAATATCCGTTTCATAATACTACAACAGTATTAGCCGGTGAGGATCTCTGGAAACAGTGGACTGCTTTACATTTTTCCAGCTAATGTTCTTGTTGCTAAGCGCTTCGAAGATGGAAGTTGCACAAGTTGTTCCCGTTACATTATTGAAAAACCCCGCGGCTTGGCCTGCATTATCCACGAATCCACAAGTCGAACCCGAGGTAGCAAATTGACGGTTCGGGTTGGTAGGCCCAGGGTGTTCCGCAAACTGTTCCGTCAGTCACGTTCACCACTGTCTTAGGTTGTGCAATATCCTCACATAGGAATCCCAGAACGCGAAATTCTTGGCGATCTCGGCTAGAGTCGAGGATTTCTTCTCATCGTATGCCTTGATGACAAACGCCGATTCTCCTGGGGTAGCCTGATATTTCTCTGACTGGCGTTCGATAAAGCCCCCCATGTTGGGGACGTCATCATTTGTTACATTCCATTTCCGGTAGATTTGATATGTGACCCCGGCGAACTCATGATCTGGATCTTCCAGCGGCACTTCCGTCTCGTAGGGCCCGGCGCATATATCGAGAGGCTCGCCCCAAACTGTCCAGCTGGGGTTAGTGTATTCATTGCAGTATTTTCTATTGCGCAGGTTGTCAATGTCTGGATGAAAGTCCCAATATCCGGCGATGTTGGAAAAGGAATGGTTCTCCATCATCAAGTACACTACATGTTTGATCTAATAATATTAATCTTCGTTTAGTTCATGGTGACAGGGGTGATCAACCTACGTTTGACCGAAGCTGGCCCCAGACATCTTTGCGGGCTTCATGAGGTAGGGCTGAAGCAGCTGTTGCTAGTGCTGTGATCAAGACCCAAGTCCACTGCATCTTCCGTTCCTGCAACCTCTTGTCGTTCTTTTTTCTTTTTTTTTTGTTTTACATCGCGAGACCTTTCGTAGGGCTTAACGCGCGATATTTATCCCCATACCACATATTATTTAGTCGCGTCATACCAGTAGGGAGTCACATTCCAGAGAAAAGAAGGACGATCCACCGTTCATCCATTGTCAGGATCAATCTCCAACCAGTATCTCGGTATGAGAAATCATCGGTGAAGACCAGCTGCAGCTAGTCCATGCCATGTGAGACATCACTGTAACATGTCTGTTGATCAAGCGGAAGAGTGCTACGGAGGTCTCCGGAGGTCGCGCGAGGAGTTACGAGAAACGGGATAGAGCGGACGGGCCCTTGCGTCGAAAACGAGCACTATTGGGCTAGTGAGTATATGAGTGGGGTACCGTCGCGTTCATAATGTGAATTCTTCATGATCGATTGAAGTATGCTGCGAGAACTTAGTACTCCATCGGATTACTAGTCGTTAGTCGACTCTGCAATGGTGGACATGCAGTACATATGCAAGGACAAGTCCTGTCTCATGTCGGAATCTCTTGCGCTGTGCTACCAGAATAGTAATAGTGGTACTTCTGCAGTGGATCAGCCAGCATTCAGAGTTTAGATATGACTCCAACATGATAGGCTCGAGGTACTTGTCCGATGGGCCCTTACCAAAGAATACTAAACCTGATGTGGAATAGTTGCCTCAGTCCAAGCTTTCCAGGTACCCCACCCGGTCTCTTGGGGTTTGGACGAATCACGTCCCCACGTGCCAAGAGATCCCCTCATTTGAGGCAAATGACCGCCTCTTCATTTCACGCACGTTGTTGGTCATTCTCCCTTAATAGGCTCTGTGGCAGGTGACACTGGAGCAAGTCGGCACAAGGTCTGATCAAATGTGCACTGTGGATTTGCTAATTCCCACCCTCGGTGGAGCATACCTCCCAATGCTTCTTGCTGGGGTATATGTCCCGTGCTACTCTCATTTGATCAGGTTCTCTCACTCGTTATCGGCTTCCTCTCTGGTCCATGCTTCATTGTGACACTAGACAATAGTGTGATCCACTGGGAATAGAGCATTGTTTTGCCTACATAATTATATAAACCCGCCTTCCCGTCAGTGTTCCCGGCATCACTTGACTCTCCTTTGAATGTACGTATTGGTCGAGATCGTCGCACACCAACCATACCACCATGTCAATTTCCTCCATCAGGGGTCTCCTCTCCAGCTACTCCCCCGTCTCGGAATTCTCGCCGGACTTGGAGAAGGAATACCAACTACCCCTTCGAAATGAATCGTCGAGCGACCTCGAGTCTTCAGTCGAGGAGGCAAAGCCCCGTCGGCCAAAAACGGAGAAAGCGGACTCCAAAGTCATTGACGGTCGACTGGTGTCAGATGCCATCATCGGTCTTTCCGACGGTATGACAGTGCCATTTGCCCTGACTGCGGGACTGTCTGCCTTGGGAGATACAAAAGTGGTGGTATTCGGTGGATTGGCTGAACTCATTGCGGGTGCCATATCCATGGGCCTAGGAGGATATTTGGGAGCAAAAAGCGAGGAGTAAGTAGAACTAGCGTGACCTAAAAGACCGCTTTTCACTCACATTTCTGCGTAGGGAATCCTACCGCGCAACACTAAAAGAGACCGAAAGCCAAACCATGACAGATCCAGCTGGGGTGACTGACACAATTTCCGATATCTTCGAGCCCTACGACCTTCCTCCCCACCTCGTCTCTGAACTCACAAGGCATCTTTCTACCTCCCCGATGCTCCCATCTTTCCTCATGAATTTCCATCATACTCTTCAAGAACCCTCCGGCTCACGCGCCTTTATCTGCGCTCTGACGATCGCCCTGGGTTACTTCATCGGTGGCTTCATCCCGTTACTCCCCTACTTTTTCGTTGGACCGAATGATGCCTTCATTGCGCTGCGTTGGTCTATCGCTACGATGGTCGTGGCGCTGTTTTTGTTCGGATATGGTAAGACATGCTTCGTGAGCGGTTGGAAGGGCAGTCGGAATATTCGACGCGGGCTCATAGGTGGTTTACAAATGGTCTTGGTTGGCGGAGTTGCAGCAGGATCTGCCATGGGGTTGGTCAAAGGTTTCCAATTAATGGCCTCTGGTAGTAGTGAAGGAGGAGAGCACTAATACTCCAACTACACCTTTTGTTTATATTCTGTCACTTGGCCTGGTTTCGGCGTTATTGGGTAAAAAGGCACTGGGTATGGTCAATGGGTCGCAGGGACTGAGTATATACTAGTACATATAAAAACTGTAAATTCGTATAGTAAAAGAAAATTACAAAGTTCAAAAAACATTTTTCCAAATTTAGCTATCGCCACCGAAAAACCGTTCCAGAACGCCAAACTTTGTTAGTGCGAAGATAAAGCTTTTCTTACCAAAGAAAGATTCTGGATCGCTGCCAGACCATAGAGCGACGAGATATTAGTTGAAATCCAATTTGCCTCTTCAACATTTACTGGGACGAGACATCCGGTTACCAACTGGCTGACCCATGGCAAATCTGGCGCATAGCCATCGCCATTATAGAACTCCTTCCATGAACGTTGCCCTAAGCCCGAGTCTTCAAGGTTCTTGGCCGCATATGCCGTCAAACGAGAATGTCCCTGGCGCAATATCAGATTTCCAAAGCTTACTCCGTACCGCTGTACCTGACCTTCTGCGGTGGCATTGAAATGGAGACAATAATCCACCCATGCTTTCTCAAAGCCCCTCGGTAAGTCACTTGCTAGGGTGTCAATAAGCACCGCGCAGATCTCAAACAGACCGAACATGGCGGAAAGATGGGATACTTGGACCACTCCGTGGTTTGACGAATCGTGAGACGGAGGATGGATTTGTCCTGTTTGGGTGTTGTAAAGAGCCATTCCAGTCACGAAGCCATTGTGAAGCTGGGAGATCCCCGCCATAGACGAGAACAGCTTGCTTTTCGCCTCCTCCCAACCAGGTGCTCGTCTCTCCCAGGCGATGAACCACGCTGCTGCAAAAGCTGACCAATCGGTTCCCAAAGAGATGGATACAGCTTCAGCGGCAGGTTTGTATGATGTTATATCCCGTCGCACCTTACGGTATGGATCTAGAGCTAAGAATGTCTTTTCTGCACACCGTGTCTCGTCTAGCAGCTCGCCAGTCCGCTCATCGCCTCCTGTGAGGTAAAAGAAAATCCACCTATACATGGCATTCGAAATGCGAGATTGCTTGCAACTATCGCTCCAATGCTGGACTCCGTGTCGGGTCCCAAGCCCTTTCCACCGTCCGATATGGTACACATCCACCTCCCCTGTGTGCCTAGTAAGGGCTTCAGCCAGGCGGTATACGTCCTCTCTGCTCGTCTGCAAGAAATATAGCCAGAAGAACAAGTCTGGAGAGAGCTCGGAGTTGTCCCATGCATAACCTCCGATATCATAGCACCAGGAGTGACGGTCTCCATCGTAAGTGTGCATGATGTCTCCATGATCCCAGAAGCCGTACCATCGGCGCTGAGATATCTGTGTCATGTAAAATTCGAAGAGAAAGTCAAGGTTTCGGTTGATTTCCGCTTCTGCAGGGGTGGCAGTCTCCGTGGAGTCTCTCCTTGACCAAAATGTGCCTAATGCGCCTGTTTGTAAGATATACTCAGGATCTGGAATCACCACGGGTGGGTTCCGCATATACTGTACCGAACTGCTTAGCTCTGCGGAAGTGGGGGTATGGTCAAAGGCAAAAAGAAAGATTTCATTCGTCCGTGCAATGCCGAAAGGCGTTCCTGTCCCATGTTCCCAATCTTCATATGTGATACGCAGGGCATCAAGCTCATCATCATAGGTTTCTTGTCCCAGCCCGTCATGGTACGGTCGAAGATCCATTGCTTCTGCGGATGGGCTGTACAACCACAGCGTGATTTCTCCAGTGGCCTCGTTAGCATTTCGAACATCCAAGCCGGTCGGGTATCGTTCCCAGAAATAACGCATTCCCAGCCCTAAGCCTCCTCGAGTTGCACTGCCAAGGTATGCAAGCCCGCCAGCTTGAGTGCCGCCAGGAATATTGACCCAGCTGTGTCCTGCTGCAGTTCTTTTCTTCATAGTATATCCGTCTGGCGATAGTTGGGAAATACTGTAATCGTTCCAGCACGGCACCCATTTAATATATCTTCCAACCTCGTCATTCCAGGTATCCATAGGAGGAAGAGGTTCGCCGTTAATCTGAGCTGTACGGACACTTGACCCTGGATCTCTGCGAAGGCCGGTAACACCCTGTACAGCCTCCCCAAAAATGCCATCACCAACACCAGCAAAACGGATGTGCCGGTTATAAGGCAGCTCATCTTTCAACGGAACATCAAACTGGATACCGATTCCCTCGATGAAGCTTGTTTGTGCGTCTCCATCATACGTGATTGTATGGACGATCCGGATGGAATCTGAATTGTAGTACAGGTAGAACCGCAGAATGAAAGGGAGCCATGGTGCTTGTGAGCGGCCGCCAATTTCAACCGCCCAGTGTTTTCCGCGTACAGTCAATAGAGCCCTTATGGGGCCTCCCTGGTCAATATTTACGCTTTCAATGCTGCTCAGAAACTGGCTGTTATCTGATTTATCTGTCTCCGTCGGAAGCAATGCTTTTGAGAGCATTATCAGTCGGCCATTTTGGCCGATTGTCGTCCCATTACTCAGGACGATACTCTTGATTATTTCTGAACCGGTGGTAGGAAAGACCACGCGGACCTTGCCCGTGTCAACTTCTATAAGGTCTGAACAGGTATCCCTTTTTATCGAAATACCTACGTTAATAGGCTCGAGATGCTTAGGCGTCGTTGGGATTGCTTCCACGGAATAGCTGTCAGCCACGTCGGTATCAGCCGCAAAGGCATGCGCTGTCCATTTGATTGACCCATCTGGCCAGTACGCGATTACCCATGATTGCAAAGCAATGGATCTATTCCTATGGCTAGAACAAGTGAAGGTTGTTCTGTCAGGCCAATACTTTCCACGGGACCAAGGGACGCCAAAAGTCGCACTAGAATTATCTTTAATATAATGCCGTTCAAGGCATTGGAGCTTGACGGTCTTGTTATTTGTCGACATATTATGAAATACCACTCTCGAGCAACGTGCTAGGATGTGGCTCCGGGTGGCCGCCACTTTCAGTTGTTGTTTAGGGTGGTTCACTAATTTGAAGGATATTCTCCTTTCGCCTTCTAGATGAGCCATCGACTCATGGTCAAAAGAGGGTTCCAATGTGTTCAATTTATCCACCAACCATAAGCTCGAAGCTTATCAAAAAATTTGACGGAAAATAGCTACTGGTTAATACATAGAGCCTATTTACACTAAGCGTTGAGACGGAGGAGTCGGGCTATGGTAACAGTCTGGTGAGCGCTGATGCCATACGCACTTACATGACGAGCAATGCCCTAACCGCAACTCCCTACACCCAGCCATTGTTTAGCCCGTATCTGATTTCCTATCCCTCGTTATTATCCGTTGTCTGTTATTTTGGTATGAACACTCAGGGCTAGATCTGTAAGATGCTATTATCATCTGGCTTACCGGGACAGTACTTCATCGATCGCACCATCGAGCTCTGTGAGCACTCTATCCTTGATGACTATTATCACAAAAATACGATAGAGAAAAATCATCAGAGACAATTCTAGCCATATTATTTAACCGATATGTTCCTTGTTCATCTGATGAGGTCGACCAGCCAGCCCTCGTTTGCTTTACGCTGAACCTGCACTGGGACTGTATCTGCTGATCTTAGTCCGAGGGAACTACCAAAATGTCGACTACGTCGGATTCCAGTCACTTAAACGATAAAAATCAGTCAGAAGCCCCCCAATCCAGCCCGCATAAGGCCGGGGATATCCAGAGCACTGAAGTGGCCAAAGATGGAACACATGTCGATCTTGTCGAGCCAGAAGATGTACCTGAGTACAGGACCTTCCTGTCCATCTTCTATTCCAAGAGAAAGTCAGTCGACCTCGATGCTATTGCTACTACGAGGAGTGTGTTTGATGATTCGAATCTGGCCAAATATTACCAGCCACACCCGCAGTACGAGAATTTGCATCGATTTGACCCTTCTGAGAGGTGGACCTACCGCGAGGAGAGATCAGTACGCCGGAAAACCGATCTGAAGATTTTCCTTTGGATCCTTGTGATGTTCTTTGCGCTCAACATTGATCGGGGCAACCTGGGAAATGCTGCTGCCGATAATTTGTTGCCGGACCTGCACATCAACACCAACGACTACAACAACGCGCAAAACATGTATCGGATCGGCTTTTTGATCGCTGAGATTCCATCTCAGATGATCGGCAAGAGAATTGGTCCGGACAGATGGATCCCCATTCAGATTATTCTATGGAGTTTGGCATCCGGTGGACAGTTCTTTATGCATAACAGAGCGGGATTCTTTGCCTGTCGGTTCTTCCTTGGTTTCTTCATGGGGGGGTTCATCCCAGACGCGATTCTGTACCTCTCTTATTTTTATAAGAAGACCGAGATGCCCGTACGCTTGGCGTGGTTTTGGTTTGTTGACTCGGTGTCGGGGGTGATCGCCTCGTTCATCGCCTACGGTGTCTTGCACATGCGTGGGGTACAAGGCCGTGAAGGATGGAGATGGCTCTTTCTTATCGAAGCCTTGATAAGTATAGTGATTGGATTTTTGAGTTTCTTATTTCTCGTTCCGGGGCCTACCCAGACAGCAACATGGTGGAATCCCAAGGGATACTTCACCGAGCGAGAAGAGAAGATCATCGTCAACCGTGTCCTGCGGGATGACCCATCAAAGGGAGACATGCATAACCGTCAGGCGTTAAGCTTGAAAATGCTTTGGCAAAGTCTGCAAGACTATGATCTGTGGCCAGTCTACATCATCGGTATCCTGTTTGAGATCCCTACCTCGCCACCAAAGACATATCTCAGCTTGTCGCTGAAGGCCATCGGGTTCAGCACCTTCCATACCACCTTACTGGGCATTCCGGTCACCGTCTTCGCAGCAATCAACCTGCTGATCATCACCGAATTGTCCGAATGGTTCAAACAAATCTCCATCTTTGGAATCCTGACCCAACTCTGGTCTCTTCCTCTCCTGATTGTTCTGTACACCTCGGCTAGCACGCTATCCCACTGGGGGCTCTACGCGGTTACATTTGTCCTGCTTGGATGGCCGTCTATCCACGCTGCACAAGTCGGATGGTGTTCTCGGCTGAGTAATGCTGTGCGAACGAGGGCTGTCAGCGCTGCTCTCTATAACATTACCATTCAGCTTTCCGGGATTGCGTCTTCGAATATTTACCGTGAAGATGACAAGCCATACTACCATCGGGGAAACTCGCAGCTGATTGCCATCAACGTAGCGACTATTATAGCATACGTGCTGGCAAAGCTCTACTATGTGGCGAGAAATAAGTGGAAGCGCGCAAAATGGGATGCAATGACGACAGAGCAGAAGGCTCACTATCTTGAGACGACTAATGATCAAGGTAACAAGAGGCTAGATTTTCTGTTTGATAGTTAGGTATGGACTGCAGGGAATAGTAAAGCCCTGGATGAACTTTAGCATAGATGATACTGTCAGTGGATAGTCTGATGAGTCGAATGTATTAGACCATTACCTTCTTATCAGCTCTAGAACAATATTCCAATGATCTCCTATCTATGGTATAGCATCAGTACAGCTATAATGACGCAAGGTTATAAGCCCACCAATAATGGCAATACTTCAATTTAATACTAGGATATATTAAAAATGCGAGAATGCTACCCACGGTGAGACATAAGCATAGAAGGAATACTTAATCTATCGAAGAATAACCCCCAAGACCATAATCAGAGGTTCTCTCTTCATTCCTTTCCTCAAAGCCCTCCCAACCAATATCCTCAAAATGCCAGTATCCGAACCCCAACTCGCCCTCCCCGAACGTCCCCCAAACCTCCCACACCCGGAGTATCAAACCCCCCACGGCGTGTCCCCCCTCCAATCCGTCCGCGCCGCAGGCCTCCAATACCCAAACTACACGCCCTTCAAGCTCCCCAACCTCACCGAGAAACCCTTCACAGACCGCGGCCTATCCGCAGACCCCACCAAATCGCGCCTCCTTCAAGCAGCCACCGCGGTAACACACCTGACCCCCGAGATCGGCACCGAGCTCGCCGGCCTCCAGCTGAAGGACCTCACAGACGAGCAGAAAGACGACCTGGCACGGCTGGTCGCCGAACGAGGCGTTGTGTTCTTCCGCGACCAGGACCTAGACGTGCACCAGCAGATCGCCTTCGGAGCCTACTTTGGCGATCTGCATATTCATCAGATGGCTGGCATCATCCCTGATTTGCCCTGGGTGCACCCGATCTATAAGGATGAGACGGCGGTGAATGGGAGATCGCATCAGATTTGGCATTCGGATGTCAGTTATGAGATTCAGCCGCCTGGACTGACGCTTTTGAAGATGGATACTTTACCCAATGCGGGACCGGAGGGGGGGTTAGCTGGGGGAGATACTATTTGGGCCAGTGGGTATGCTTTGTATGAATGTGAGTTCTTCTTTTTTGTTATCTATTTCTTGTTTCTTATTCTGTGGAGAAGGGGATTGGATGTGTTAGGGCTAATGGATTTTGTCGGTAGCTCTATCGCCTACACTGAGGTCTTTTCTTGAGACCCTAGAAGCTAAGCATAGTGGTCTTGAACAAGCGGAAAAGGCGCTCCGGACTAATGGTTGCTTGAGAAGGGATCCTATTGAGACGATTGTAAGTCTATCCATTAATATTGAGAGTTGAATAACCGGGCAGAAAGCTCACACCACCAGCACCCTGTCGTCCGTACACACCCCGTTACAAAGTGGAAGACGCTGTATGTCAACGAGAATTTCACTAAGGAGATCATCGGCCTCGAGAAACGAATTGGGGATGGTATCCTTGATGCTCTGTATCGGACTGTTGCCGAGGGCTACGAGTTCCAGGTCCGATGGAAGTGGACTAAAAACGCTGTTGCTATCTGGGATAATCGGGCTACTTTTCATACGGGTATCTTTGACTACTGTAAGTATTGAAGACAGGGTTTCTGCTCATTGTCCTCGTGGTGAGAGGTGGCTAATTCAGTGTGTAGTTCCTCATCTGAGACATGGTTTACGGGTTGCTCCGCAGGCTGAGAAGCCCTATCTTGATCCTGAGTCTAAGACCCGGAAGGAAGCGTTGCAGCAGGAGACTGGAAAGAACAAATAAACCAGTATAATTAGGATAGCAATCGTACTCTACGTATTATGGTTACTGAATACTAAAGAAGTTTCAAATGCAGTTACGCAAGTCATATTTGTTATGGTTCAACCAAGTATTATGGGTTTAACAAGAACGAGTATAGAATCAATCACCGCAACGTTAACATACATGGTATTGCCTCATTTTTCTTATCAACGTAATTAAACCACTTCAAATATCCCATCACACCCAGACTTTCTCCATCCACAGGACAGCTCATGCCGACGATGATATCATTTCCTCCTGTATGAGCTCACGCAATATAGCTTAGCATAAGCAATAACCTATCCTATTGGCATTGCGGTTCAAACCGACAGGATAACGGCTAAATTGGTCAAGCTTCTACATCTGTCAGGTTAATTAATCAAGCTTTAGCTTAGCTGTCATCATATCAACTATCATGTCGCAATCCACGTGCCCTTATCTTCCTGCATGAAATTTATATTAAAGTGATGACTTGATCGACTCTAAAATCACGACACTCTACCCTGATGCCCTGAATGGATTGATAATACTGTCATGTCATATTTGGAAGAATCTTAGGTAGGATATCGGTTATTTCTCTGTGTGCTCGGTTGTTAACTCCCTTGAGGGTATCTGCTATATGGATTTGTATCAACCCAGCAGGTGTAGCCCTAACTCGAAGTGTAGACTCAGTATGCTCCGAATACTCCAGACCACAGTCCCATGTCGCAATTCATGTATCGTACTTCGAGATAGAGTATATTCAGCCCCCAATTAATAATATATGGTACATCCGCAACTATAAAACACGCATCCCAGAGCCAACAGCAATCTCCCATTCCATTAATCCCAGCACCAAGAAACCAAGACCAAGAATGCACCCACTCCTCCTACTCCTCTATTCGACCCTCGCCGTCGGCCAACTCATCGGCCCCGTAGGCCCAACAACCCCCCTCTCCGAAAAGACCACCGAGTGCAACATCCTCTCCTACGGCGCCGTGGCCGACAACAGCACCGACATCTCCACCGCCCTCGAAACAACCTTCAACCACTGCATCCGCCCCAACCCTGGAAGTCGACTCATCGTCCCAGAAGGCCAATACCTGCTCAACCGGGCTGTGGTGCTCAGCAACGCCACCAACTGGGCCTTCCAGCTAGACGGACTGATCACGGCCGCATACGGCGGCAACTGGGAAATTGAGCGTTCGTTAATCCTCCAGGGCTTTGCTGGCGTTGACTTGCTTAATGACACGATTAATGGAGAGGGTGACCATAAGTTTCTGTTAGATGTTTTGGTGATTGTTAATGGTGAGTCTTTCTTTATCTTACTGACTGAGATATATATGTATATGTGTGGTTTGGGGACTGATTTTGCCATCCAGCCGTTGATTTCGAGTTTTATTCTTCCAATGGATTGGGCGCGTTTCAGGGACAGGGGTATTTGTATCGGAATTTGAATAAGTATGAGAATCCAGCTTCTTTCATATGTCCCAATGGTTCATGGGTCGATTGAGCTAATGTGTCGATAGCACGGAGCGACCCCGTCTCGTCCGCTTGATCTCTCCAACAAACGCCTCCGTCCATGACCTGATCCTGGTCGATAGTCCAAAGTTTCATATTATTCTGGACTTCGCCGTGAATGTCGAAGCGTACCATCTCACCATCCGAGGTGCCAACCTGGGCAGTTATGACGGTATCGACGCAATCGGGACGAACTACTATATCCACGACAACGAAGTATGTGACCTTCCCAACCCACTCACCCTTCAACTATGAAAACCACCCACTAACAAAAACAAAATGAAAAGGTAACAAACCGCGACGAATGCGTCTCCATAAAAAGCCCCTCCCACCACGCCCTAGTGGAAAACCTAGTCTGCAACCAAGCAGGCTCCGGTCTCTCAATCGGCAGTCTCAACGTCTCCGCCGAAATCTCCAACATCGTAACGCACCCCCAGTTCACACACCCCCCCCTTCTAACAATTTACTCTATAACCCTCATTCCTCAAATAAAACAATATTAACCAAGAAAAACAGGTTGCCAGAAACATAAGCATCCTCCAAGGCAACAACATAGCCTTCATAAAAACGTACCCCGGCGGCTCCGGCTACGTAAGCAACATAACGTTCGAAAACTTCCGATCAAAAGCCAGTCTCTACGGCCTAAACATCAACCAATACTGGCAGAACACCTTCACCCCGGACACCGGCGCTGTGACGCTCAGCAACATCGTCTTCCGGAACGTGACGGGCTCTGTCGCCGACGGGGCGAAACGGCCCCCGCTGTATCTGATTGCGAATGATCTGACCTTTGCGACGAATGTGACGGTGGAGGATGTTTCGGTGTGGACTGAGACGGGGGATGCGGTTGTTAATAAGATCAGTAATGTTTTCGGGACCGGAGATGGGACGTATGGGGTTAATGATGGGATTGAACCGTTGGAGGTTGGTGAGGCGCCCACCGCCGCTTATACGAGGACTGTTACGGTGACCGAGACCCCGTCGGGATGGGTTGAGCCTGGATTGCCAGCTTGGGCGGCGCCGAGTACGGGGTTTGGGAGTGAGTTTTGTCTTTTCTTATTCCCTTCATCCTTGTGATTGGGATTGGTTTGGTGTGGATGTGTTGGGTATGCTAATTGTGAGTAGCGGCTTCGCCGATCCCGGTTTATACGCCTTCGCCTTTGTGGAGGCCCGGTGGGGTGGACTATGATTTGCATTATTGGGGGAGCTTTTGAGGGGGTAGCATCTAGCTTTTATGTCGGTATTGGGGGTGGGAGATGTATAGAAGGGTAGTTTGGTGAACTTTTGTTGATCGTTATGTTATGGCAGACTCAAAGAGGGCACTAAAGCGAGTGTGCAAGTGAAGATTGAACTCCATTCTACCCGATACAGCGATTCTGGATAATCAGATGGGCAAAGCACTACTTAGAGAGAGGATTATAGTCCTAGGCAATGCAAAGCCGACTTTTTTAATGACAGTCGTACACCAGTATCTGAATAGCCCTCCAAATACTACCCATGATTCAAGTGACAGAAACAAAGCATAACATGAACATAACCATAAAATTAGTAAAAGTTACTCTATAACGCTACGGCCCATCGCGTCCGAATCCTCTCACCATACTTCATCAATAACAACGGAGTCGGAACAATAACCAATGCCACCAAGCCGAGAAGAGTATTCCCCCAACCATACCCAAGCCGATCATACATTGCCGGACCAGATAGAGGCAAGAGAACCGCAACAGCAGACCGAAGAAGACAATTGGCCGCTAAAGCACTGGCCGCATAGATAGTAAAAGTATCGACAAGATACACCTGCACAACGATGGCCACGCCCACGATACCCACGCCCACAACACCGGAACCAATAATCGGGGCCA